TCGCTGGCTCTTCACTGGGCAAGCAAGCAGGTGGCATCAAAGAGGTAAAGGTAAAGGACCCCTGGATGGTTAAGTCCAGTCAAAGGCGACTCTGGGGTTGTGGCCCTCATCTCACTTTCAGGCCGAGGGAACTGGCTTTGTCCACAGACAGCTTTCCGGCTCATGTGGCCAGAAGGACTAAACCGCTTCTGGCGCAACAGAACACCGTGACAGAAACCAGACCACATGAAAACGCCGTTTACCTCCCTGCCACAGCAGTACCTATTTATTTACTTGCACTGGTGTGCTTTCGAACTGCTAGGTTGGCAGGAGATGGGACAGAGCAACAGGAGCTCACTCCATTGCGGGGATTCGAACCGCCAACCTTCCAATCAGCAAGCTCAAGAGGCTCAGTGGTTTAGACCACAGCACCACCCGCGTCCTCATCAAAGACAGTGGGGGAGATGTGGAGACTCGCCCAGGGATGGGGGCTCATAGAGGGCGTTCCGGAGCTGGGACTGCTCCCCTCTGCCAGTTTTAGAGATTCTGCTGATTCTTTGCCGCCATCTTCCCCATTAAGGGCAAAATGCCCTTCCGAGAGGATCTTACCTGGCACTGACTTTGATGTTGTTGCAGTGCCAGGCAAAGTCCTTTTTGTTTGCCAAAATGGTTTCCTGCTCCATGTTACAGCTTTGTTTCCAGTGGCACATCTGCGGCTTAGTTCTGGCAGCGTTTGATTTATGCATTTCCAAGATCCGGATGTCCCTGATTTGGTTGGAGCCATGACTTTGTGCAGAGACGCAATGGGCAGATGATTCTGCTCTGGGTCTCCCTTTTCTTTTGGAACTGCCTGCCCCCAGCAGAGCAGGATGGGAAGCGTGCAGAGCCAGAGCAGTGGATCATGCAGGGGGCCATCTTGACAGGGGAATGATTGATCCGGGGAGAGCATGAAATCCAGAGAGGCAGCAGGCACCCTCTCTAAGATGGATTACAAGAGGCTGTTCTTACTCTACAGATGCATGTCTTGTGGCAGACTCATGTGCTCTGGCATACAGCTTGGGAATTACAGCATCCGGATGCCTGTATTCTGAATGTCTTTAACTTTGGCTTTCCTCTGTCAGCATCTTATTCCTCTGAATGGGCTTTTGGCATTCGTTTGGAGGTTGCCTTAGCCCCTTGTTTCATCTCCCTCCCATTCCATCACGTCCCCATGTCTGCTTTTACGTCTTGGAAGTGCAGGAATGCATGTACCTGCCACCATCCAGCTCTAAACTATTTTCATCCTGCAAAGTCCATTAGAGCTTTTTTTTATACAAGACAGTAAAAAAAAAACTGGCTTCGCATTTTATTTGTCCCTTTGCAGCGCCGAGGTGAGGAAGCGTGTATTTAATACGACTCCCTGTAAGCTTTCCGAAAGGAAACCGGTCACTCCTCGCTGCAGTACCATTGCCAACAACTGAATATTTTTACATTTTTTTTGTTTTTGTTGTTGCTCTGGAATGACTCCCAAATCTCTGGAATCTTGGCGACGGGCCATTTTTAAGCCTCTTTGGTGGGGGAGGAACAGCGGCTCGCTCCCAATGTAGGCAGCTCAATGAGCCATTTCCTCTCCCAAACTTCCGTCGAAGGTTAAACATGCACACGCTTTTGAGCAAGGGAGCTGGACCTCGCCAGAGCCCCGTCTGCATTCTGAGCTTGGCCCGGAGACGACAACAGTGGCGCTAAAAATATTTCCAGAGGGGAAGTTGATCCAACTATAGATTAAGAGGCAGGGATGGAGGAAAGCTTCGTTGGCTCTGCATCTTGAAGCAAACCTACCCAATCTGCACCTGCTGGTGCAAAATTCTCCTTCTGATCTTGCACTTTGCAGCGTTTTGTGCTACAGGTCTCAGCTCAAAAAGTGCACCAAAATGCATTTGAAAATGCAGGTGTTCAGATAAAATACATTTTGAAATGTGTGCTTTAGGATAACATACATATTTAAATATCTGCTTTGCTTTAAAAAAAGTGTGTCTATACTAAAATACTGAAATACAGAAATTTAAACTGACCACTCTGGAATCAGGATGGAATGGCAGCTGTCTTATACTGTCAGACCCCGGTCCATCTTGCTCAATGAACATTCATTGTTACAGAAGCCAGTTGGGTCCTTGGTGACAGGTTGGAATCCACCCGTGTCCCCAGACAGCAAACCTGGGTTGCTCACCTAACTCCTGGGCACGGAATAGCCACGTTCGGTTTGTACATTTTTTTCAGGAATAACATGGATTCATGTGCAAATGTAAACTAACCAGATTTCTCCCCCATCTCTGCCACTTTCCTTCCATAGTTAAGGGAAGGTACACTTTAAATCACATCCACTGAAGCCATCTTAAGAAAGAAACCCCGTAAGGTGTTGGGCTGCATAATAGCCTTCCTTCTCTTGCTCCTGCACAGCTGCTTTCTGGTGCAGCCCATTCTCCTGTGCTGGGCGACTTCCAGCCCATCGCTGTCTGCTTCTGCAACTTTCATGGGAATCAATGCTTCCTATTTTCCAAGCATTTGCAGTAGCCAAGCCCTGTACATCCTTGAGTGCAACTTGTGGCATTCACTTTCCTGTGCCCAGGAATCCCAGACACCCTTTCTATAGAACTAGCCAGCGATTGTGGAAAGGGACACCTGACTTCGATGGAGCCTTTAAAAATGTTTCGCTCCCCAGGGAAAACACTCCTTGCTCACGCAAAATGGCCGACGTTTAAGTATTTTCCAGCATTTTGCAACCAATGCTCTTGGCGTGTGTGTTTTTAAGCAAACAAGAGTTTCTTTGATTATTATTATTCTTTCTCTCTCCACCCTCCCCACCCCCCTTTTTATTTTATTTTTAAAGTCAAATTTGGGATTCTGTTGTTCAGAGCAGAGAGGTCACAAGACCCTAATGCATTTAGCATTGACTGCCCTCTCTTGTACTGCTTCTATTAGTCAGTAATTTGATTTGTACCTATTCATTTGCAGTCCCTGCAGGAGCACTGAGCTGGCCCGGCGTCTAATTGGTGCTGTCTCTATTTTAGCCTCATTAAATTAGCCCTGACTCCTGGCCACTTGGTGTCTGCGCTTGTCTGTCCATTTATACAACCTAATGTAACACAAAATTCATTACTGATCACATTACTTTCAACTCTGAAGCCAGCCTTGTGATAAACATTTCCTTAACCCTTCTCTTGCTGGCACACACAACACACCCACATAACCTGAGGCAAGAGCAATGCACTCTCCAGAAGGCGGGAGAGGGATCGATAGGGACGATAAAAGCTGAGTGGAATCCCATTTCTAGATTTGCCGCCCCTCTTTGAGGAAGGGAACAGATTGGAAAGCATAGAGGAGATGAAATTGGATTGAATCAGAATGAAGGGACCGTCTGTCCACTGCCAGCACTGACTATAACAGCCCTGCTGGATCAGGCCCAAACCCCTTCTAGCCCAGCATCCTGGTCTCACAGATGCCCCAATGGGAAACCCATGAGCAGGATCTGAGCACAACTGTACTCTCCCCACTTACGATTTCCAGCAACTGCTATTCAGAGGCATATTGCCTCCGATAGTTCAGCCCTCCACGCATTCATCTAGTGTTCTTTTGAAACCATCCAAGTTGGTGGCTCCGAATGTTATAACCTTTCTTCACAGGGGTCAGAGACCTCTGGAGCAAGTAGCACAGAGGTGTCCAGGGAAGGGCCCCACCTCAGCGGCAGAACATCTCTCTTGCATGCAGATGCCCCAACTTCAGTTCCGCACATCTACCGGTAGGACTGGGAATGTGCCCCCGTCTGAAATCCAAGATAGCTGCTGCCAGTCAGTGTAAGCAATACTACCTTCGTGGACCAGGAGTCTGATTCCGCATAAGTCAGCTTCCAATGTTCCTATGTGGATTTTGGGGCCGCCACCAAAAAAATCAACTGCTAGGTCCCCACATGGAGAAGCTTTCTTAGTTTTTGCTTAGGAACAAAAATGACATCAGAGTTGGCGTCTTAGCCAGGGCTCCTCAGATTTGCTGAGATTTTATTCTTACCAGGATTCTCTGGAGGTTTGTGTGTGTTTACCTCAAGTCAAAAGAGGTCATGTTACCATTTCTGAAAATTGTTGTCCTCTCTCCTTTGCACGCAGGTGGAGGAGTATATGAAAAAATTGTACTTTTCTTCATTAACATATATGGGAAGAAATGGTCACTCTTGGACCTGTTAAGAGCAAAGCCCCCTTTTATTGGATTCTTCTGCTTGTCTTACTGCTGCTAATTACATTTTACGTTGCAAATAAAAACCAGATGACTCTCGGGACACCCAGGCCAACCTCCTGCGAGTGAGAATTTATCTGACGATCTGAGTAAACAGTGTCTCATCATTTAACAGTTATTGCATATAATGGCTTTCTAAGCGCTTTTGTTCTGCGGGGAGTTAGCAGTGGCTCAGCATAGCTTGACTTCACTGAAAATTTGCAGGCCACGAGATGTGAGGCATCCAGAGTTGGGTTCTATGTATGTGTACTCCCCTCTCCTTGCCTTACAGAAGCATTTCTTCCTTCCAATACAAACAAACTTAGGGCTGAGCAAAAGTGTGTGTGGATGGTGCCATTCTACAGCTTAGTCACTAGGAGGCACTGGACTTAATTGTGACTGGGTAAGGTCAGGCATTTCCCGCCTCTTCTGGTTTAAGAGGCACGATAACTTTATCGTCTAGCTTCCTGGCTGGTTGCATCCCCAGCATACATTAAAAGCACATTTTCCTCCACCACCTCAAAGAATCTTGAGAACTGTAGTTTGTAAGGGTACTGGGAATTGTAGCTATGTAACTGCAGTTCCCAGGATTCAGGGTGGGAGGTTTTAGTGGGTATGCAGATGGTGTGACCTGAAGGCCCTCTATATCTGCTGACTTTTGTGAGTGCCTTTGCAAGTCCTGAATGTGTGGGGAGGAGGGCATTTCAGCTCATTTTAAGCTCGCTATTGCCTACAGTGCCTCTCCAGGGTTTCAAACAAGGGATATTCCCAGCCCTACCTGGAAATGCTGGGGATTGAACCTGGGACTTCATGCATGCAAAGCAGATGTTCTGCCTCTAAGCTACAGCCCTTCGCCTGTCACATTTCCTAGATTATATCAGTCGGAGAACACCACACTGGACAGGGCGCAGGGAGGCAATCCAAATTTGTTCCTATTGGATGACCTTCTTTTCTTTGGAAATCAATTACAGGGTGGGGGGTACTGTTTGCAAAGGAGGCTGTTTTTAACGGTTGCTGATGTTAACTCAGCTCTGTGATCCTGGGCAGCTCTCAAAATGAATCTAATTGCTCAAACATGGGATGCGGAGAAAGGAATGTTCTTGGTTTTTCATTAACTCCTCAAAGCTTCTCATAAGGTCAGTTTTTTCACAGCTTGCGAGTATGTTACGGTCTGTGGTTCAGCTGTTTGACTGGCAGTGTCCTCAAGGGGTTGCAGAGCGTCAACTGACTACGGCCTTTTGATGGGTGTCAGATGGATATTTGAAACATCAGGCAACCATGTCACCCCCAACCCAACCCACTTCATGCAGACTGGAGCTTCGGACAGACAGAGAGCTGTTGCTTCAGCAGTGAAGCAGCTCGGGCAAAGAGTTTATATTGGGAGTTTAGGGCTCCGTTCCCTTCCTGGCTGCCTGCCAGGCCCTGATCCAGGCAGGTGCTTCCATACACTTCCTTCTCCTCCCGAGGAGCCTCACATAAAGCTAGCTGGACCTAAGCTGCTCCCTGACTCCTCTACTCTGTGGGACAAGAGTCTGAGAGATGATCAGGCATCCAGGCCCCTGGTGTGGGGACCTTTAGCCCTGAGCAGAAGGGTCCAGTTTCAGTGGCCCTTCAGAGTCTATATGGAGCTCTGCTAGAGGGTCCTGCTCCCCGTCACGTGAAGAGACCTCATCTTCCAAGGCCTGGAAGGGCTGAAACATGAGCAGTCTTGACTACATCAGTCTGCACCCCCCCCTTTAAAAAAACCACCTCTGCATTTATAAAAAGAGCACATGGGAATGGCTGAGCATAGCCCTCTCCTCAATTTATTATTTTGCTACATGTAAGGGATTTTTTTAAAGTGGTAAAGCTTATAAAATGGGGAAAGGCTTTACAGCCCACAGACCACATTTCTTCATTCACTTGGCTTGGCCTGGGCAAGATAGTGAGGCCAGGGAGGGGAGTCACTCTCAACACCCAGACCTGAGGTCACCATCCCTGATGCTATAAAAATATGACATTCTTTGCCACGCACAGCCTGAAATGGCCCAGTCCTGGAGATTTACCCCTTGGTCAGGCTGATGGTGTCATCGTTGGGCTTCTGCTCCCATTAGTATTTTCCAGTAGGTAACTTATTCTCCATGTCTTACTTGCTAAAACTAGATGCTCGTTAAAGGATCCAGAAACACAAATAACCTCAAAATTGGTAAAGTGTGGGAGGAGGGAGGCCAGGTCTTACACATGAAAGGAGTTGCTAAAATTTTGAGGTTAAAGTGTGTCTGAAATCCCTTAGTCAGCATATTGGTCAAATGAAGCTCAGACCATGATGTAATTGCCTGATTTAGGACCTTTGTGCCTACGAGCCAGCTTTTCTCCCATTTTCCCTAGACAGTTGGGTTGACACAGCAGTAAAGACACCGTGGGAGGCAGTATGCCTCCGAATGCCAGATGCTGGGAGTCGCATGCTGGGCTGTGCTCTTGTGTTCAGGTCCTGCTTGTGAGATTTCCATAAGCATCTGGTTGGCCACTGGGAGAACAGGATACTGAACTAGATGGGCCATTGGCCGGATCCAGCGGGGCTCCATCTGATGTTTCTATAAAGTACTTCTGCTTGCCAGAAGACTTTTTTAGGTTGGCAGCACTGGAGTTTTCAAAGGATCACAAGTGATCAAGTCTTGCCCAGAACTAATTTATAAATTATTAACAATAATCTTACTTTTCATTGTTATTTATTTCTTGCATTGATATACTGGCACGGGTATGTGTGCGCGCACATATAGATCACTTAATGCCAAGAGAAGCTGAAATTACACTGTCTTAAGTAGTTGCTTAAAAGCAGGCAATAAGGTAAAGGAGAAACACACCTCGGTGGGATGGGACTGTTCCATAACACTCCATTGAAAGGATCTTTTCTTATTCCCAACATCTTTCAGCAGTAGAATCGCAAGGATCTCAAAGCAGACTGGAGAGCTTAAAAGAGAGGAAATAGTCCCCGAGAGGCCCTGCTTCCCAACTGTTATGGGCAGGGATGGCAAACCTGTGGTCCTGAGAGGTAGTTGGGCCATTGCACCCATGGGATGTACTGCCGAGGGGTTATGGGAGTTGAAGGGCCACAGATTCCCATTTCTGGTTCAGGTCTGCAGGGCAGGGGGTGGGGAACCTTTATCAGCCCAGTGGCTGACTCAAGAGTAACGTGCAGGCAGGGGACACAAGTCAGTAGCAAAAGTGGCCAGAGCAACCAATGTGAGTCGTACTTTGTACAGGTTACATTCCAGCCATGCAAACATCAGGCCTGATCCCAGTCCAAGGACTCAGGCCATCAGGCAGAAACTCTCAAGGAGGGCACGGAGCAGGGCCAGGATGGGGTCCAGGGAGGGTCTTGAGGGCCACATAGTGGGCTCCATTTTCCTCCAGGTCTGACGTTGCCCATGTAAAAGGGTTCTGCTGATTGTGCAAAGAGATGTGCGATGTAAACGCCGAGAAGCAGGAAACAACTCCCTTTCCCCCAAAGCACACAGCGACATAAATGGGATTGTCGTGCCTATTGTGGAGGGAATTGTTTCTCTAAAACACTTGCTCCTTTATCTAGTGTACTTTTAACCTTCCAGAAATTGTGCCGAGTCAAACTTGGAGAAGTTCCAAAGGGCTGAAGACTAAAGCTTTGACAGACCAAATCATCAGTGCTCTGTTAACAAAAAGGGGGGGAAAACCACAAAAGCCTTTAAAAAATAAATAAATCCTGAACTAAATCTATTTTTGTCAAAGGAAGGGGGTTGGGTGGAAAACTCTCTCATCTGAAATCCCTGTTGTGGTCTATTTGGGTATCTGTCAAACTGTATGGTTTCCTTGCTTCTCCATACATGGCTCATTTATCTTAACGGAGCATTGATACTCAGTGGTGTGCAAAATGTTTTTTAAATGTTGTATCTGAGATAAGTCAGCCAAAATTTGGTGACAAACCTGCTCCTTGCTTCAGTATTCATGCGGGCTTTTGTGCATCCCATAATTATGTGATCGTTCCCACACAAACCAATGAAGGATTTGACATTGGGTGCAGCCTTTGGTGTTCTGTGAGAGTCTCATCTACAGTAGTACCTTGGTTTACGAACTTAATCCGTTCCGGAAGTCCATTCTTAAAGCGTTCTTAAACCAAGGCGTGCTTTCCCAAAGCAGCAGGAGACTCAATTTACAAATGGAACACACTCAACAGGAAGCGAAACATGTTCTGCTTCCAAGGCAAAGTTCACAAACCAAAACACCTACTTCCGGGTTTGCAGTGTTCTTAATCCAAGTTGTTCATAAACTAAGCTGTTCTTAAGCCAAGGTACCACTTTATTCTGTTTCAGGAGAGAAAAACTAAAGTTTCTAGTCTTTGTGGATGGGCTTAACAAAGTATTCTGTTTATAGGGCTGCTGTGAGGATGAATCAATTCACTCTACCCTGAGCTGAGTATCTGAGTAAGAGTGGAGTCAGATGGTGCCTTGGCTTCCTCAATTAATGTTTTAGAAGGCTATAGGAGGGACATAATTTGTCTAAAATCACAGGGAGGGGCAGAAATCAGGGAGTTATGGATTTCCTTAAAGATTCCCCTGAACCTTTCCTCCCATAATCTCGTATCAACCTGCCAGTGTGTTGAGAGATGAGGCCCTCTTGGCTGTCCTTATACTCAAGTAAGCATGGTTTAAGGTGCCAAGGAAGGGACTTTTCAGTGGTGGTTCCTTGCCTGTGAAACTCACTCCCTACTGAGGTATGCCTGGCCCCACCTCTTCATAGTTTAAGGTGACTGGTTAAGACACACTTTCCAGCTAGAATTTGCAGGAAACCTAATTGGACAAATGGCTTAGTTAGATGAGTAAATTGCAGTTTGGTGGCTTGTTATGAGTTGTGTTGTTAATTTAAGGGTGTGGGGGTTCACACATGTATTCTTTTAATCTTATCTGATTTAGTCATAAGCCACCCTAAGGCTTGTGCACAGGGCAGTATGTGACTCGAATGAATGACCTGAACGGTGCCTGAACTTCTAGGAAGAGCAGGGTGGACGGGTGGATAAGCTCACCAGGCCAGCAGGCGCCACTTCCCATTGTCCCCACTCCTGCCACCATTGGAGGTCTTGTTCCTTTTAGAAACGCCATCGTCAGGGTGCATCTCAGCGTAATTCAGCACAGGGATTTGAAGGGGGGGAGGAACATTAGTTGAGCTTCAGAAAGCCCAGCGCTGTGAAAAGTGACTGACGTGTGAAAACGAGGCTACAATTAGTTCTTTCCACCAGCGCTCTCCCATTCAGTCTGGGGTCACTCCTTCAGCAAGCCGGGCACGCTTGAGCCTAATGCGTCGTGACAGGTGGAGAGGAGGAAGGAGAATCCTGGGATCCGAAGTTGTGCCTGCCGCCGCTCTGCTTCCCCCGCCGCCAACACATCGGCCCCGACTGTCATTGTATCATTTCGTCCACCCTGCGCCTCTGCAGGAAATGGTGCAACCCTGGTAGGGCGGGTGGCACAAAGAGGGACAGAACAGCTTTTGGAGCAAGTCCCTTTCTCCCCGTCCCCCAGTATCCTCCCTCTTCATTCCCAAGTAGGATATTTCTTGAATCTTCTGCTCAGCAATTCCTTCTGTCGGGGAAAGGAAAAACCATTAGGAGGGCTAATACACCAGAGAGCAGATTCCACAGTTGAGAGAGAAAGAAAGAGAGAAAGACAGAAAGGGGGGAGAGAGAAAGTGGGGAGAGGCAGAACAATTTATGAGTGTTCCAGGCAACGGAGGACTACATAGAGTTTCTGAGCAGGCCCCGGATTAATGTCCCGTATAAAAATGGTTTCAGGTTTAAGCAAAGCCAGCCGGGGCCTTCTTTCCTTTTAAGATTTCCGTTGAGTCCTTTGATGGCTTCTGGGTCTCAGTCAGACAAAAGATAATGACTGATGGCAACTCCATGTTCCAAGAAGATCCTAAAAGCAAAGGCGAATGAAAATTGGTTATATCCAGCTGTTCTCAGACTCTGTCCCAGCCGCCAATTTAAGGTTCTTTCTCCACTTACCCAGGAAGACTAATGCAAGGACACAGGGGTTGGCTTAGTACAGGGATGCAGAACTTCTGGCCCTACGGATTTTGCTGGACTGCAACTGTCATCATATAAATTGGTAAAATAATGATAATCCCTGACTGCTGGCAATTGAGAATGGAGCCTGAGAACATCTGGAGAGCCACAGGTCCCTCATCCCTGGCCCTTATACCATCTCAGACTAACTAGGTATTTTCTACCTTCTTCCAGCTAACAAGGCATTTTCTACCAATCTTCCCCACCCTGGTCCCCTCAACACCACCAACCAAACATGGTCCTCCAAGCCTTTCTGTCTGGCCCTCGAGACTCTCGCCATACCCCACACCATCTCTGCAAGCCACATCCCTCACTAGCCCTCCTGCACCCTCTCTGTGCTTCTTTGCCTGGCTGAGATGTGTATTTTAACTCTATTAATGCCTCTTGCTTGCCTGGGTGGAGGGTCGAGAGAGAGGAGCATGCGCAGAAACTAACCCACTGTAAAATTTACTCATCGCTCCACCCAATTTTGCACCTGACCCCATCCACCAATGGCATGGGAACTCTGGGTAGCTGCCCAGAAAGGAATGTGACCTTCAGGCTGAAAAAGCTTCCCCACCCCAGCCTAGATGAAGTGCTTTGAAAGGGGGATATAAATGCCTAAAATATTAATGTTGCTGTTGTTGTTGTTGCTGCTGCTGCTGTTGTAGCCCATCTTTCTTCTAAGGTGCTTATTCAAGCTGGTATACCTGGTGCTCCCCCACTCCCCATTTTATCCTTACAACAACCCTGTAGGTAGATCAAACTGAGAGACAGTGACTAGCCCAATGTCGCCCAGGGAGCTCCAAAAGTTGAGTGAGGATTTGAACACCAGTCTCTGTAGGCTGGGTCACCAACCCAGAGATCACCAACCCAGATGCCCCAGACTCTGAGCTTTCGTTTTTAAAAAGTTAAGCAATTTTTGTACAATGAGAATTGTGTACCTTGTACATTTCCCCTGGCACTGAGGAATGCTCCCTGTTATTTGACAGCAACTGCACTTGTGTGTACAACTCTATAATCAGGACCAACAAGCATAACTGACTTTCCATGATAAGCATAAGGTTGTCAGGGATTGTTGTCTCTCCAATTTTGTGTTATGCCATGCTCTCTGTGGCAACCATTTTGTGAGCGGCATCCTCAGCGCTCCCTCAAAATTCAAAATGTGCCCAGTAATCCAAAAAGGTTGGTCACCCCTGGACTAGTCTGACACACCGCTATACCACACCAGCTCTTATTAGGGCTGCAAATATTTATTTATCACAGACCAAACTCAGTACTCCAAGTCCCACTCCTTAATGACAAATAACCAAATCTCCAAACTTGCAGCAAATTTCACCTTCTCTAAACATCTTTACTGCTTTGGGGTTTCTTTAGAAAAAATGTCATAGTCCCCCCTCCAAATGAACACAGCACTCTGTTTATCCACAGAACAGGCACTGCAACTATCGCCGCATCCAAACGCAACCACTCCCAAACACCTCAGCCCAAATGTAGCAGGACCACCTGTAAGGTTGAGAAGGTAATTCCTGTTTTTTAAAACAAAAACGCAAACATCCAGCCACATCCAGTGCTCTCTTCCATCCACGAAGTCAAAAGATGCCCGTCAAAGTAAGGTAAGTATTGCCATCCCACTTCAATAATTTCCAGAGAGGCGACGCAGGCAAGTTCCACTGTGCCTAGAACGACTCCAGGTGGATGTTCCCAATCTCTTCAACCGCTTGCTCTCTCCTTCCCCGTCTCTTTCTGGTTCTGAGGGTCCTACGGGCTTCTGGTAGTCCAACTTTTGGGATATGTTCAGGGCTACAATGAAGCTACTGCACATGTAAGGCAGGTGATAGGCGCATGGTGATTGGCACTGGTCTCTCCTGTTCTTTAAAGGAGGACAGCACGGTAGGATGTAAAACCTCTGGCTTTAGCATGGCTTGGAATGTAGCCTGCTGTGAAAAATAAGTGTGTCAGTTACGGATCCAGCCACTTTTGCCTCAGGCCCCACCAATTACTGGCAAGCGGCCCCCAGAATGTTCCCCAGGAGGGAAAGCAGCCCCTCTATAGCAGACCTCTCATGATGATGTCTCATCAACAGCCTTCTCTTCCACCCTTCTCTTAATATCCTTTCAAAGCCATCCTGTGAGAACAGATTCAAGAATCTGTAGCTAGGCTGAGAAAGACGGTGATTAACTTCACGTCAGCCAGTGAGGTTCATGGCTGACTGAGGAGCTCAACCTGCACCTCCCTGGTCCTAGACCAACCCCAATCCCTGGAGGGTCTTTGTACCACCACCACCACCCAAACTCACCCTGCCTATCATAGCAGCAGATGTGCTGCTGTTACTAGCAAACATGATTCTCCCACCTGCCAGTCAAAAGTGGTACAGTCCAGTCTGCTGCCCTGAGACTCTACTGCCTCATTCCCATCTCATTATGCCATAGGACAGTCCATCGTGATTTGTCAGCTGATTTCACCTGGTGAGAATTTAGAGTTGGTGCAATGAATTTTGACTGGAAAAAATTTCTTGCGGGAACTCTTCACCCATATATATTTGCGCTTGGCTTTCCTTAACCACCTGCTCATAATATTTAACTTCCTGCCTCCTTGACTGTCCCTTGTGTTTCCCCCCAATATTTGGTTCAACTGAGTTTCAAGCATGTCAGACTTCTGCTGCGCCGACTGCTTAACTGGCTGCTCTTGGGGTGATGAGGCTTCCACTGCGCTGGTGCTGCGGTTCACAATCATTCTCACCTTGAAAGTGGAGGTGGGATGGTTGTTCTCTCTCTCTCTCTCTTTAAATGTCTCTTTTTCACGCTTTCTTGCTTTGGTTGGGTGTCCCGTGGCAGTTACTAAGAGCTCTTGGTATTGATCTGCCTGTGCCAAAAATACTTACTGGGGGCGGGGAATTAAGCTTGTCATCTACAGAACTGTGGGAGGAAACAGGTCAAAAGAGGTTGATGGAGAGGCATGCGCACCAGCTGTTGAACAGGAAAGGCAAAGGGTACTTAGCCAGGGCAAAAGTGGAGGGATCCTCAACGCAAGAGGCTGCCTGACACACAATGCTGGAATAAGGAGGGCAGAAAGATGGGAAGCTGCTTCTGAGGGTTCCCAGCAGGTGGTGGCTATCACAACTTGTGAGCTTCCTGGATTACTGGCGGGGAACCTGCTGCCCCCCAGATGTTGCTGGACTACAGCTCCCATCATTGGAACTTAGCCTGCAGCTGGATCAGGCCAAAGGCCCATCTAGTCCACCATCCTGTTCTCACAATGGCCAACCAAGTGCCCCAATGGGAAGCCCTCAAGCAGAACTGGAACGCAATAGCAACCCTCCCCCTTGTGATTCCCAGCAACCGATATCGCCTCTGACACTGGAGGTAATATACAGCCATAATGGCTAGCAGACACTGATAGTCTTATCCACCATGAATTTGTCTCACCCAGTTTTTCAAAGCTATCCAAGTTGGTGGCCATCACAACATCCTGTGAGAGCCTGACCATTGGCCATGCTGTCTAGGGCCAGTGGGAATCAATGTCCAACAATGTCTGGAGGGGGGGGTTACAGGTGCTCTAGCCCTGACATGTAGGTGGGGCACTGTTGGCACCTTCAGTGCTGGGGTGGGTGGATCAGGAGTCCCATGCTCATTCTGGGCACTGGTGAGTGTGCTCAAAGGAGGAGGGACCAGGAGAATGAGGGGGGTCTCAAAACCAAGAAGAAAAATGGTTGGAAGAGGGGGACCTATTTAGCATGGCGTAGAGAAGGACAAGGGAAAACACAACAGCAGGCTCCAAGTATCAGAGGGTCTGCCACACAGCAGATGGAGAAAAATGGCTCTTTCTTGCCCCAGAGGGCAAGACTAGAAGTTATGACTGGAAATGGCAGAGAAGCAGTCTTTGGATAAATATTCAGACCACGGTTCCCATCATCCCTTTCCAATTACCATGCTGGCTGAGACTCATGGGACTTATAGTCCAACACTATCCGTGCATTAGGAGAAACTTCCTACCAATGAAAGCAGTTTGACAGCGAAGCAAGCTGCCTCAGGAGGTGGCACACTGTCCTCTGGAGGGACGAAGCAACAGTTGAAGGGCTACCCTGCAGGCAGGCTGTCATTGCAAGGTTCTTGCCATGAGTGGGTTAGACCAGTTGTCCTCATCTAATTCTATGACCTCTGTGGTTTCAGACCAGAGCCTTTCTGAGCCCAACCTGGAAACGCCAGGGATGAACTTGGGGCTTTCCATGTGTCATCTTAAGGAAGGGGGCTGAAACTCTGCTACTGAGCTACTGCTTCATCCCCTGAAATGTATCCTAACATTTCTGCCCTTCAGCAGTGGCAGCTGGTGCCCTTTAGGACTGGTAAGGCAGGAGACTGGGAGGCCAACAGTAGGTGGAGCCAGAGATGGGGGAAGCAAGTGCTGATGGCAGGCGGAGCCAACTGGATATAGCTTTGTCCCCATCCTCCACCATAGAAGGGCAAAACCAAGACTAAGGGAAGTTTCAGCCAGTGCCATCCCCTGGGCTGGTTGTAAGAAAGAAGGCAGGAAGAAGGGGCTGGCTGAGGGCAGGCACTGCCCCATTTGCCCTAATGGACCAGCTTCTGCTGCCCCTCAGGTCACCTCTTCCTCACCCCAAAGAGCTTCTCTCTGCTTTGGCAAGCAGGTCACTCATCCATCTTCACAGACAAGCAGGATTCAGCAAATATTAACATATGCTTCCCTGTTCCCAACCTTGCTTTTTCCTTCTTTCTGTTAAAAAAGAAAAAAAGACATGCAACATTGGCATGAAAATCAATACTAGGTTGTTGGGGTTTTTTTTTTTTTTTCTTTAAAGGAAGAGACAGGGAACCTTGTAAGGAGTTCAGAAGCCAAAAAAGCAATGTTTGGGCGGAGCTGTTGCCCACATTCCGTCTCCCTGCTGACGGCGACCCGTGGAGTGACGCGAGATGTTTAACCAGAGCCAGCTGTGTGCGAGGGGGAGATAAAAGGAGCCAAATCAGACAGGATAAGACCAGCATTAGTGTGGAATATGCTACTCATTGCAGAGCTACACTGCAGTTTTGCAATCCCTGAACTCATGGGAGAATAAGGATATACATACACGCATGCGTAATTTTATCTGTACGCTGCCTTCCACAGTTCAAACCATGCTCAAGGCGGCTTACAACATGAAACAAATACATAACCACAACATGGCAAAAGTAGTCAAAATCGATAAATGAATCATTAAAAAATACAAAACCAAACTGAACAATTCCCACATAAATCACAACAAAATCTAAAATAAAAATACAAAAAAGCCAGCAGTGCTCAACAAAGAAACCCAAACACCCTGGCCTAAGAGTCTGTTCAGCAACCTCACCTTTTGTAGTTGGAGTCAGTTCAGGCCCCACCCTCCCTCGCCAGGTGGGAAAAGCCTGCAAGGAAGGGAGCAGATCTCCCAGGACTCACAGCCAAGATGGTCTCTGGCCTCTTCAGCTTTTGTAGGAATAAAACAGAGAAGGGAGAACCATGCACACTTCAACTCCTTGGAGGAATATAAATGTAACAAATGTACAAATAAACCTGGACTGGCCATGGGAGGTGGCTGGGGAGGGGGAGTGTTTGAAGTTATTCATATCTCCAAAAATGGGGGAGGGGACACACCACATACAAACCTACCTTGTACCCCAGACGGGTGAATGTAAACCAAGCCCAACCATATAGTTACACACACCCTCGTAAGCCCCTCCATGGCCTTCTAATGTCTGTCCTCTCTCTTTTTACCTGAAGCACTGACCAGAGTGGTGCCACCTTTTCTCTCCCCACTACAGAGCTACAGCGAGAAGGAAGCATCGAGACGCTCAGCAATAGCTCGGGCTCCACCAGCGGAAGCATTCCACGCACCTTCGACGGATACCGGTCGCCTCTCCCAACCAACGAGAGCCAGCCACTGAGCCTCTTCCCGACAGGCTTCCCGTAAACAACTCCCGGCGTTCCTGAAGCAAAATAACAATAATCCTGCAGGCCAACGGCATGATGCGCTGGATAAACTCTTGATGTGCATTTACCCCCGTGGCTGGCTCCGATGCTGGGTGGTTCTTGTCACCCTAACCAACGCCACGTCCGCTTTCCGCACTTCCAGAACTGTATGAACAAATTTCTGATTTTCTGCACCGTGCAATATATAAACGAGACTCTCCTCTTTTAATCCTAATGGCTTTTCTAGTACAGGGAAATGGCTGTTTCGAATAAGTATTTTAAGCAACTTTTATGTTCTTGTAACCATAATCTGCTTCCCCACTCCGCGCATCATCCGTAAACCTCAGATGAGGGAAACATCTGTGGCCCAGCAGCTGTTGCGGGACTTTAACTTCCATCTGCCCCAGCCAGCACAGTCAGTGATCAGGGATGATGGGAGTTGTAGTCCGGCAATGTCCAGAGAGCCACAGGGTTACCTACCCTTGTCAAAAGGAGACTCGCGTCTCTCAACCTGAATTTACTGCTAGCCTTCATTTTGTAACAATTAAAGCTGCTACCCTATTTGGGAAATGGCGTCATAATTCTGAAGAATGAGGCCCATATAAATTGAGGCTATCAGCATGCAACACTTTGCAAATGTATGAAACAGTGACAGATTGATTACTGGATTATTGGAGGACAAGCTCCAAAGGGGACACTGGTTTCTTTGCAATACTGATCTTGTTTCTTCATCCCTCCACCTGGCAAGATTTTAAATTGATACCAAGAGTATTACAAGCAAAGGAAGCATCTTCTCTTTTCTTTTGTCCTTGGGAAGGAGGATCTCTGATGATTCCATGTATTTTAGAAACGTACTTCATCTGATTAACTCCAGTGGGAAATCCTTCTCGTTGAACTATTATAGCATTGTTCCTTGGAACTCCTCCTATCTTATCCAAAAATGCATGTGATCTTAAATAAATCTCTGTGGTGAAAGGATCTTGTTTATATTTTTGTGCCGAGGTCATTTCGGTGGTGTCGGTGGAGGCTGTGGGCTACAAAGAATCTATAAAGTTGCTTTATACAGAGTCAGATCATTGGTGAATCTAGCCCAGCACTGTCCACAAAACTAGCAGCAGCTTGCCAGAATTTCAGGCAGGAAGCCTTTCCCAGCCCTCCTTGGAGAAGCTGCCAGGGATTGAACCTGGGAACTTCTACATGCAAGGCAGGTGCTCTGTCCCAGAGTTACAGCCCTTCTGCTTCCAGCTCTGAACCACCTGTGGCACAGTATCCCTGGTCACGGCCAACTGCCCAGTGTTAGAAACTCAGATATATAAGCTAGGCACCAGGTTTACAGTCGCTAAAACGGAATGCCTAGTTGCCATTTGGGGGCCAGAATCGTTCATTCTGATTGTGCAGATAAAATAAAATGGATAGAATTCTACAAGATGGTGTTGCTAGTGTGTGAAAACAGCCAAGATCCAAGGATCCCCAGGCACGCAACTCCAGATGGTGGAGACGTCAGGCACCATTCTGGCACCCAGGCATCTTCACCAGGTCGCAAGTGGCCAATAGCCAGGTGCTCACATACCTGTACCTGCATACCTGGAAGTAAACCCCATTAAACACAAAGAGATTTACTTCTGAGTAGTACCATTGCACTCTAAGTTAACTATACAGTGAATTCTTAATGAGTGCCTGAGCCTAAGCCTCTTTGCAAAGTTTTCACATTTTTCATTTGCCTTTTTTTGGTGCGGGGTTATTTAACATCCATACACATTTACTATGCAGTAGTATCCAGAGAGAGTAACTTCTGTGGCATCTCAAATGAGCCCACCCCTGGAATGATGCATCCCGGTTGCTAGAGGAAAGGCAAACAACAAAAATTATATGGACCTAAAAAATGAGGCAGAAGTAAGATAAGTGCACTAAAGGGGAGGGGGAAACAGCAGCTCTTTAGGACCCCAGCAATTACTGCAGCCTTGTGTCCAAAGAGCTCACTTGCCAAGCACAACTCTGACTTCACTTATTGGCTATAGAAAAAACAGGCAGGCAGGAGCAGCCAATCTGTTTCATCACACAGAAGTTGCTTAGAAAGAAACCTTCATATTTTCCTTCGGAACTTACTTTCTAGCAGGGCTAGAGACTTGCTCTTTTAAAAATGTAACTTCAGAATCTGTGTGCGTCAGTGGCTGTGGGCCTGGTATTCCCTGTACCTGCCTCTCAGTGGCCCTGCAAGCTCCTCTTAAGTCTCAATATCTCTACGAGGTCCTTTTAGTTTCATTTTGTGTTTTTAATAGAGACAGGTAAGGTTCTTCCAGGATTCAAAATATATTTACCTACTTCACATAATGAAAGGACAAGGCATCTTAAGTCACAAAGCGAAAAGGAAACACATCCAAACCCACAAATCTTTTAACGCTTCCTCAGCTTTGTAGCGGATGGGAAATTGACCTATTTTTTTCTTCTTTTGTGAAAAATAAAATAAAAATCTTTTTTTAAAAAAAATAATCATATTTGCTCTTTGGCTCAGCACTATAGGCTTAGCATGTCCCAGGTGGTGAGAAAAAGAATTGTCTATGTGTCTACACAAGAAACCACTAAAATATTGGGTTTCCAAAATTTTTGTTCTATCCCCAATCTCTTTCCCTTTCTTTCAAAATCGCAACCATGCAAATAAATGGGAAATTCTCAGAGTCTCTTTAATCTCTGCGAATTTTCTCCAGGAATAGCCCCCATCAAAAAAGGCAACAGTCACTCCCAAACAACACGTGGTGAGAGAACACTTCATGGAACACACACAAAAGAACTGCATAGACTCCCCGGAGCTCTCATAGATCTGGCTTCCGCCGCCCTGGATGATGCCCTGCTCTGTCTTTGCCTCTTTTTTAAAAAGCCTCTGCTGAGTATCTGGGGGTAATTCAGCCCTGGCTCTGCGTGTGGCTGGATAAATGAGTTGTTCCTGATACAGCTGCAGAAGGAGTAGGATTAACTTGGCCATCAGAGGATGTTGGGTTTCTTGTCTATCTGCATGAATCCCTGGTCTTTCCAGTCAGGAAGTGCCCCCATCACCAGTGATTCATATATGAGCATCACTGTTGGCATTATTGGGCCCCTATCATTAGTCAAACGGCGTTTCCGTGTGCTGTGCTGGTGCTGGCTCGCCAGAGCAGCTTCGTCACGCTGGCCACATGACCCGGAAGTGTCTCCAGACAGCGCTGGCCCCCAGCCTCTTAAGTGAGATGGGCGCACAACCCTAGAGTCGGACACGACTGGCCCGTACAGGCAGGGGTACCTTTACCTTTACCTATCATTAGTCATACTGCAGGACGGGGGCACTGCTAAGCTCCTCCAGAGGCCTTTGGCCCTTCTCCTCCTCACAGCTACTGCCTAACCACTCAGGCCAGGTGAGGAACTGTTATCAACCCAAGGACCACATTTTCTTCTGGGCAACCTCCCAAGTGCCACATGCTAGAGGTGGACAAAGGCAAAAATGAGTGGTGCAACAAATGTAAATGCCACCTAGTTTCTAGACACACCCTACTCTATCCTACATCCAGACATGTGAGAGGCATTATCAGAATTCAGGGAGGCATTCCAGCCAGACAAAAACACCCAAGGAGGATACGAAGCAGGCTGGTGAGCAGTGCGACCTGGGGAGAAGGCAGAGGTCCAGAGAGAACCAGAGGGCCACAGTCAGGACCCATGGCCCAGGCTCCCCACCCCTGACTTAGAAGCATAGAACTGTAGAGTTGGAAGAGACTGGGGGGTCCATCTAGTCCATCCCCCAATGCAGGAATTTTTTGCCCGATGAAGGGCTCGTATCCACGATTCTGAGATTAAGAGTGTCATGCTCTGCTGACAGGGCTATCCCAGGCTCTTGCCCTCTCCAAAATTGCAAGGAATGACAAGAGAATGTGGAGAAAGAAGTCTCCATTTGCCTCCCCTTTCTGCCCAATGGCACAGAGGGGATAGTTGGGGAAGGGGGAAAATGGTCTCCACCAGGCTTAGTGGTGCTGCTGTAATGCAGCTGGTGGCTGCAGAGACAGAAAGGGTAAGGTTAGGAGGACAGAAATGCCATTTTTCATCCCTGTTTTCATCCCTGTGATCTTTCCCCCCCCCCCCAAAGTAATTCAAGCCAATAGCAATAATCTTTGGGCTTGGCCTTATGTTGTCATTTGTGTGTAACACAACAGACCTACCTACCTTTTTTGACAATCCCTTGCATTTCCTCCAAATATATGTCAGGGAATGGATTGGACCAAGCAAGGCCGCGGACCTCGTGAGCAAGTGGAACCAGCGAGGTTAAGCCAGTCCACTCCAGCACGGATTTTTTAACACAGTTCATGCCAAGGTCAGTTCCAAAAGTTCAATCACAATCCAGATTAACACATACAGGAGGGATTGTCAAAACCCGACGCTTCCTCCTCCTCCGCTCCCACTCCAGACAGCACCCTCCGGGGACAAAGTTCTTGTATCCAAGGGAGGCAAAACTCCCGTCATCGCCCTCAGTTTGGTCTAAATTGTTCTAAATTCTCAGAAGCAGCTTTGGGGGAAGTATGCAAGGGCTGGCAAGCATTAAATCTCTCTCCCTCGCTCTCTGTTTTAAAGAATCATCACCACGCAGCCACGGGGAAATTCCCGCTTCTTTTTTTAAGTGCCCCTTTGAACCAAGACTTTTGCTGTTGTCAGAATGGGGAAATTTATAGAATATGACAATACCTGAGCATCTTCTGTCAGAGGAGAAAACACTGTGCAATTTGGCGTCGGGGAGAGGTTCATAGCATGTCATGGGGCCATAGCACTGCAGCAGAGCACACACTCTGCCTTCAGAAGGTCCTGGGATAAATCCCCACTGAGATTCTTTTATCTCAGTTCGTGGAGCTAGGAAAAATTCTCCTCCTGATGAGATGTCAAAGGGTGGCAGGACATCTGCCTTGCGTACAAAAGGTCCCAGATTCAATTTGTGGCAGCAGCACAGGTAGGGCTGAAGTTCAGCTGCCACTCAGTGAAGACAACACTGGGCTAAGTGCACCAATCGTCTGACTCAGTAAAAGGCAGCTTCCTATGGGTGTCTTCTCTAGCTCAGTTGTTTGGAACATGGTGCTGGTATGCAAATGTTGCAGGTTCAATCCCTGTATGGGACCACTGCATATTTCCTACATTGCAGGGGGTTAGACCTAGTTGACCCTCCAGGTCCCTTCCAACTCTACAATTCTATGATTTCTATGTGCCTGTTTAAATCAGCCCTTGATCTGGAACCGTGAGGACTGAGTATAATAAGGCCGCTTTCTACATTCCTACCTAGTAGGTAGCCAGTGGTGCCCCTCCAAACTTTGCTGGACTCCAAATCCCATCATCCCTTACCATTGGCTTCAAAAGCAGTACAGAGAGGTGTGCATGCAAAATATTAATAGGCAAGAATTCATATAAATGAAAATTAATAATTTTTCATTCTCAACAACCGTGTGAGCAACACAAAGAAAAAGAGTGATTGGCCCAAGGCCACCCAATGAGTGGGGATTTGAACCCAGATTTTCCCAACACTTTAACAACCGCACCACAATGAAACAGACATCTCCTCTACTGCACACGTTCAGCCTCACGCAAGAAACCCCTGAAAGATCTTCTGCGAATGCAGGCTTTTAAAAGCCCTTTTCCAAGTTGTAGCAACTGGCCGCCCCCCTATGGAGTTCAAACACCGAATTGTCTCATTTAACCCGGGCTCAGCTGTAGATCACTCTTTGGGATAAAGTGGGAGCTTTCTAATAAAGCCGAGCTCACGTTTCCTGAGCGAACGTGAAATATGGCTTTGCTACCCTTTCCCTGGTTTCTGTAATAAACATACCCATGTACTGCCCATAAATCATTTTGGGTGGCAGCGCTGGAGCGGGGGGCAGAGGGGGGTCGTTCATTTGCACAGAAAGAGAGAAAGAAGATGGCAAAGAAAGGTTGCTTTGCAAAGACAACCTGAAGTTCAAATTCACGGCATGTGGGAAATCCTAGAAAGGATCCGATGCACGCCTGCGGTCGAATGAGGCGGTCAAGCAACCTGCACCACTTCAGAGGGCAGTTGCAGGGGGAGGGCAAGGGGGTCATTTTTATACCATCCTTCAATCAAAAATGACAACCAAGGCAGGGCAAAGCGTTCTGCTAAAATGCATAATGCAAAAGGAAAAGCCAACCATATTAAATCAACAGGTAAGATGTGTAGCTCAGTGCTAGAGGATCTGCTTTGCTTGCAGAAAGTCTGTTTCTATCCCCAGCATCTCCAGGTATGGCTGAGAGAGACTCCTGGCTGAAACCCTGGCAGAGCTGCTGCCAGTCTGTGTTAAGGCACACTGAGCTAGGTGGATTGGCTCAGTATGAGGCAGCTTTCTGTGGTCCCACCATTCCTCCAGAACCAAGAGGACATAAATAATTGTTTTTTAGGGGAAACATAGGTAGAGCATCTGCTTTGCTTGCAGAAGGTCCCAGGTTCAATCCCCAACATCTTCTGGTAGAGCTGGGAGAGAATCCCGTCTGAAACCCTGGAGAGCTGCTGCCATTCAGTGCAGACAATACTGAGCTAGATAGACTAACTGTCTGACTCAGTATAAGGCAGTTTTCTTTGATAAGACATGACTTTGCATAACATATGTTAAAATGCCATTAAAAGCAGGGTAACACAGGCAGGTTTTTAGAAACATTATGAAATACCTGGATTGATGGAGCAAGCCATATATCTCTCAGAAGGGAATTCCACAAGGTAAGAGACTTTTAAATGGTTCCCTCTGTAAGACAAAAATATATATTAAAGTTTTAAAAAGCACTACAGAGGGGGAAATCCTGCTTTGAGATGCCCCAGTTTTATACTTGCAAAACAACCTGATTGGTTTTTTACAAGTTTCAAAGCACATTGCCTGACTTATCACTCATAATGGACCTTAATTTGCTCTGTCTTGAATTTGCCAACATTCAGCTTGGATGTCTATGAGTTCTGGTATTATGAGAGAAAATCTACACCTCTTACCATATCCCTCCCCTTGAATATTAGACAGGTGCTGTCTGTTTTATTTTTGGTGCCTATGGATGACATTCCTCTTTCAGGTAGGTAGCCGTGTTGGTCTGATGCAGTCGAAATATATATATAAAAAAATAAAAAATGCCCAGTAGCACCTTAGAGACCAACTAAGAACAAACTTAGTTGGTATCTAAGGTGCTACTGGACAATTTTACACACACACACACACACACACATATTCCTCTTTCAATGAGTCTCTTTAAGATGAGATTTTTCTCAGTCTCCTTCTGTATTGGAATTGTTTCTAAGATTTTTTAAAGATTTTAAAGAGTTTTCTTTTTTAAAAAAAGGTTTCTGAAGATGTTTCTAAAGTTATTTTTGTTGCTTTATTACCTGTTTGCTGCCATGAGCTCCTTTGGGAGGAAGAGTAGGATATAAATTCAATAAACAAGCAAACAAATAACCCCCTGCCCTTAACCACTTTATTTCTAAACTAAAAAGCCCCAGACATTGTAAGCTTTCCTCACAGGAGAATCAGCTCAGCCCTCAGATCCTTTTGGCGGACCTTCTCTGCACTTTTTCCAGCTCTACAATATCCTTTGTGAGATGTGGCAGCCAAAAGTATAGCCACATTGCATTCCAAGTGTTTGCTTGCACAGTATCATAAATTTGAACAAAGGTATCCCACCAACAGAGACTCATGGAGAGTCGAAACCCACCAACAGCAATTATATTTTCAGTTGCTTTCCTAATGATCCATAACATGGAGCACACATTTGCTCATAGCAGCCCATATTCCGGGTCTGTGTTTTCAACAAGCCACCACAATTACCCCAAGGTCTCATTCCTGGCCAGTAGAAATAGAAGATAGTTTCAAGCTGAATCTATCAAATAACACACCTTCCAAAACAATATGTGAACAGCCACCCTTCAAAATTCACATTTATCCAAAATTTGCAAGTTCAAATTACCCAACTTCAGAACACCAACCTATGTCTACAAATATGTATATATTAAGGAAAGTATGAACAAACCTTTGTATCTAAGTGAATATAGCATACAAAAATGCATTATATATGGGGAAAATGTTTCCAAAGATGGGCTCATTAGTCAGAACTGCATATAAAAATTATTTAGTATTTTATTTAATTAATTAAGTTGTATACTGCCCTTCATCCAAAGATCACTGGGCAGTTCACAACATAACCAATACCCCTTCCTTCCCACAAACATATTTAATCAGGCAAAGGCCTGTTTATAGAGAAACGCTTTTGCCTGGTGTCTTAACATGTGTACAGGGACGCGGGTGGCGCTGTGGGTAAAACCTCAGCGCCTAGGACTTGCCAATCGCATGGTCGGCGGTTCGAATCCCCGCGGCGGGGTGCGCTCCTGTCGTTCGGTCCCAGCGCCTGCCAACCTAGCAGTTCGAAAGCACCTCCGGGTGCAAGTAGATAAATAGGGACCGCTTACCAGCGGGAAGGTAAACGGCGTTCCGTGTGCTGCGCTGGCTCGCCAGATGCAGTTTGTCACGCTGGCCACGTGACCCGGAAGTGTCTGCGGACAGCGCTGGCTCCCGGCCTATAGAGTGAGATGAGCGCACAACCCTAGAGTCTGGCAAGACTGGCCCGTACGGGCAGGGGTACCTTTACCTTTACTTAACATGTGTAATAGAAGGCTTCAGGCGAGCCTCCCTGGGGAGAGCATTCCACAAAGAGGGAGCCACTGCAGGAAAGGCCCATTCTTGTGTTGCCACCCTCCAGATCTCTAGGAGATGGGGCAAAAGAAGGCCTCAGGTGATGATCGCAGGGTCCAGATTGATTCGTAATGGGAGAGACAGTCTTTACGAGAAATTTGCAGTGAAATGCTGATTAATTTTCATCAGAATTTTTTTTAACACAGATTGCTTGTAAATGTGGAGAACTTAATTTAATAGTGTAAAAATGAGAAAGTGAGGGAAGCAAAATTAACAAATCCATCCACTGCTGCTGGTTAGTCACCATCAGTTCTTACTCCATAATCTTATCTGCAAAATTAGGATTGTTTTACCCCGGTGTGCATCATTTTACACTTACTTTCATTGAACCACATTTTCTATTTGTTTGTTTGATAGTTTAAGTAGTTAGATTATTTTCTGATATTGTCGCCACCCACCTACGTTTCATAGTAATTATAGGCACATTAAAACACCATAATCAACCAGGGGGAAAACAATCAATAGCAAGCATAAAATCAGCTTGTTATTGATCAGCTGTCGGAGGCAACTGCTTCACTCTGCCTAATGGTAAAGCTAGTCCTAAAGTTTGGATCTTTGCACACACAGCCCTCCTGTCTTATTTTTTTTTTTAACCAGGCCAGGAGCTGCTGAAATTATCCCATGTTTCTGGCCAGATTGAAGAACAACCTTTTTCTGCATTCACCATGAGGTGATATTGGTTCCCCTCGCCTCATCAGGACTGTATATGTCCAAATGTTTCCTCTTAAAAGACAAACTTAGCAGCTGTGAAACATTAAGGGCGAGGTGATCCGAGCTTAACTGGCGGAAGCAGAGGATTTTTACAATATCTTAGGAGCGCGAGGGGGGAAGCCAACAGGATATGGAAGAAGATGGTCTCTCCCATGTGTGAACTATCTAAAGCCCCTAGACGAGCCAAGTCCTGAGAACAGAAAAGCAGAATCAAGCACTGAGTTGGGGGGGGGGAGAGAACATACTAAGTCAGTGTGGTACAGTGGTTAGAGTATCGGACTAGGACCTGGGAAACCAGGGTTCAAATCCCTACTCAGCCATGAAACTTATCTGGGTGACCTTGAGTCCGTTTATGTCTCTTAACCTAACTTACCTCACAGGACTGTTGTGTGATTAAAACAGGAGGGAAATATCTACACATACCGACTTCAGTTCCTTGGAGGAAAGGTGTGATATAAATGAATAAATAAACAAAACAACTTACCAGTTTATTTTATCAACATAAATCTGACGGGGGCTCCCACCCCACAACAATAGTAAAGGACCGCAGACAGTTAAGTCCAGTCACAGCTGACTCTGGGGTTGCGGCGCTCATCTTGCTTTACTGGCCAAGGGAGCCAACGTTTTGTCCGCAGAGTTTTCCCGTGTCATGTGGCCAGCATGACTAAATGTTTTTGCCTGAATATGTCCTTGAACTCTGATGATGTCCCTTGCACATATGGATAAGTGTGTAGAAACTAGTCTGGAGAAGTGGATATAGAAAAAATTTTCTTCCTCTCTCATAACATTAGAAGTTGTGAGCATTGAATGAGGCTGAATGTTGGAGGATTCAGGACACATAAAAGAAAGCACAGCACATGGTTAAACTATGGAACTATGGATATAGGACAACCCGAATGCTGCAATTATCATCAGAGGCCCTTCTTCGTGTACCTCCTCTATGAGACTTCTGGAGGGTGGCAACACAAGAACGGGCTTTTCTGCAGCAGCTCCCCACTTGTGGAATGCTCTCCCCAGGTAGGCTCGGCTGGCACCTTCATTATACAACCTTGGGTGCCAGGAAAAGAAGTTTTCCATTTTAACCAGGACTTTGGCTGATTAACAGTCTATGTTAAATGTGTTTGTGGGAGCATGGTTATTGCTTTGGTTTGTTCTTGTTCTTACTATGTACTTTATGGCTTTATTCTGCATTTGTATGCTGTGAACCACCCTGAGATCTCTGGATGAAGGGCAGTATACAAATTTAATAAATAATAGTCATAGTCATAGTAAAACAGTAAAATAGTAATGGCCAGTGTGAGAGCAGGATAATGGACCAGATGGGCCCCTGGCCATAGCTGTCAACCTTCTCTTTTTTTGTGGGAAATTCCCTTATTCCAGCGCCATTTCCCGCTGCTATCCCGGATTATTAGATATCCCGTAGACTGTCCCCAGGACAGGTGAGGCTGCTGATCCCTTCTTTTCGAGGCTGCTGATCCCTTCTTTTCAAATCTGAAAGTTGACAGCTATGCCCCTGGCCTGATCTGACAGGCTCTTCTTATGTTCTTACTATACAAAGATTAAAATTTGCATTCATTGCTCCACCCACTTTTGCCTCTGTCCCCATCCACTACTGGCATGTGGCCCTCAGGAGGTTCCCAGAAGGAAACATGGCCCTTGGGCTGAAATAGTGTTCCCCACACCTGGTTTAAATAATGCAGAGCTAGATAAACCAATTGTCTGACTCAGTATAAGGCAGCTTCCTCTCTTCCGAGGTTCATCCAGTAACACCGATTACTGCGTCAAAATTCCCCCTCCCTCTGATACTCGCACACACACACGCACACACACAAACACCAACCCAGCCAAGGATCAAACTCCCTTTGACACCTCCCATAGGCTGAGACAGGCTTAATGTGTGTGCAATTTCACACTCTGACTAATCTACGCACTGGGCAAACTAATCCCCGTAATAACCGGCAGATTTAGTTGTAAATCAGGCCATCGATCCAGAAAGTCCCCAAATGGCTCGGTGGCTAAAAATACTTTATACTTGGGAGAGAGAGGAAACAACTCACACACATGGCCTGAATGTGTGCAAGAGATTTTTATTTTTATTATTCCACTGGTAGATTTTTAGCCAAAGCCGTTTGCAAAAATCTTGTTAATCCTTTATTTCCCTCGCAGAAAATCACAACCCAGAATTATTGAGAGGGTCGAAAATCCCACTCAGGCACCCCCTCGAAAGCAGCTCATTGCCACAAGCAAGCTGCTTCTCTCTCCCTGCCCCCCCCCCATTCCCTCCATTGGCCTTAGCTGCAGCAGTGGCACAGGATGTTCACAAGCATCACAACTGCTTGAAGAGGAAAGTTCAGACACTAAATGCTGACAATAACAGAGGTAAATCTGCGGGTGGGGACACGTCATAGTAGAAGGGAATATAAGCTGTGCAAGAATGGGAAGCAGAAAACTGGGTGCTCTGAAGAAGCAGAGAGGCGGGAGGCTATTTGGAATCAAGATGGTGGGCTGAACCTTTCAAAATTGTGCTAGCAGGGTTGCCCTACGTCCGGAACTTCCCAAAAATCGCTGGAACATCCATGAAAATCTGGGCGTAGGGCAGCCCATGTTGGTAGTGTAGATTTCATTAAAAATAGCTCAAAAACTCAACAATTTTGGGCATAACTAAAAAAAGTCAACAACTTTGTCTGTCCCCCCAGAAAAATAACCCCACAAACCCTATGTGCTGGTCTTAACCAAATTCTGCATGTTGGTTCCTGAGATCAAGGAGCAACTTTTCATCGATGTTTGGATACAATTGGGTGTCATTTTGAATCTGTACCTCTTTGAAACTGCACCAATAGCTTTCCTATGTGGCAAAATATTAACATATGCATATTACAGGCCATTCCAACGTGTGCATTTTTAGTTACTTGGTGCAACTGCATTATGTACTTGAGATTTAATATGGTTCAATGAAAAGTAATAAAAAATATAGGAAATGCACTGATTTTAACTACCAATTTCAAAACCACGCTGAATTTGTTTGTTTTAATTCCCAAGCAGCACCAGGTATGAGGCTGCTAGTAAATGACTAAAGAATAATATATAATATCTCTATCTAGCTATTTATTTATCTATCTATTTATATAACCAGGTTTGCTCAATAATAATAATAAGAAGCTTTTATTTCTATCCTGCCCTCCCCGGCCGAAGCCGGGCTCAGGGTGGCTAACATCAAATATACAACATTAGTATAAAATCAAACAATAATTAAATTACCTCCTAAAAACAGCTCAAAATCAAATTAAAGTCTAATTAGATGGCTTTCCACAGGGTTAGGGTTGGGAACAATCTTATGTGTATGTGTATGTGTGTGTAAAAATCCAGGAAGGGCATAATACAAGTCTAGCACTTTTCATTCCTTCTGCCTCCAGCCCTTACCCCCTACGCTTTATTTTAGCAGAATAATAAACAACACCTAGCAGTATAATATTTTCTCTAACTTCCACTTACTGAGAAGACTAAGAAGAAGCCTGGCTGCTGCTGAGCTTGACTGCTGAAAAAGAAAAGGTAGGCCCAAAACCCACCACCACGACCCCTCGGAATGAAAGTGAGCCTCTCATTGGTCGAGGCAAATGAAATGGAAGGCACAATGCACCTGACTGGACAGAACTGCCGCCCAAATTCTTAAGGAGCTCCTCTGATTGGATACTGCTCATGAGGCAACAGTAGGGCAGCAGAGGATTAATGGGAGAGCAAAGGAGGCCTCCGGCCTTACTTGACATTCTCCTGCCTATTTATTTATTTCATAAAATTGTATACACAATTTGATAGTTAAAACACACACACACCTTGAAGTGGTTTACAAAAGATAAAACAGTGAAATCAATAACAACCATACTTTAAAACACTTTTAAAAGTTAAAAGACTAAAACCGGACTAAAATTACCTCAGTTTCCTAAGCAGCTTGTCTAAGCAATAATGTTGCTTTTGTAAACTCTGTTGGGGTTTAATTTCTATCAAGCGTTATATGAATTTTGTGGGGGGAAATAATGAAATAAAACGTTTTTTCTCCCTTGGGAACTGCTCCGCATCCATCTAACTCAGTACTGTCTACTCTGACTGGCAGCAGCTCTCCCTATGGTTTCAGACAGAGTCCTTTTCCTAGTCCTACCTGGAGATACTGAGGGTTGAACCTGCAACCTTCAAGGTGGGCTGCAAGGGTCTGAAATAAATATATCAGGCTTCTAGAGCTGCTGCTTCTTCCTTGAGCCCAACCATGTCATCACTGAGGGCAGTCAATAGCCTTTTAATCTATATGTGCAGATGATCTATGGCTGTAATATGTGAGTGTATATGAGCAACCAACCACCTGCTTCCCAACCCATGATCCTGAGTGCTGGCAAGCTACATGAGGCCCATATGAATCCAGTCCAGAAGTCCCATCTGGAAGCCCCACTGATATAACACAGAGGGGCTTGTTCCCAAGGGAGCTGGTGCAAGGTTTGTTTTGCAGACCGCTTTGTATTTCATTGCTTCAAAAAGCCAAGCGGTTTACAAATCCCAACACAAAGAAGTCAAATATAAGAAACACAAGATAGATTCATAACCAGACAATACTCCTGCTGCGACTAATCCACATCATCACAATTCTACATTTTAAGCAACATCATTGAATAGAAATCTCTTAATATTGCACCGTTTGTGTTTGTTTCAGGTAGTTGGTGGCTCCCGAGGAGCCATTTGAAAGAGTTGGCCACTCCTGACATTCACCGAAAGCGCCCAAATTTGCTGACAAGCTTGCTGGGCGCTGGCGCCCAGTGCATGACTGACAGGGAATGAATGAATGACAGGGAATGAAGCTTTGGGAATGAAGCTCTCTGGCAACTGGAAGATAGGGAGAGCCCTGTGGCCTTTGATGAGAACAAAGGGGTCATTGGCAAAGGGCTGTTGAGTGGCCTTATCGGTCCTCCCCCAGCTATGATTCAATGGATAATAGCATCCTCCACCTCTCCGCACTTGTCTATCAGAGGTCCACTGATTACAAAGGCATGAGATTGCGATTCCTCCTCCTTTGATTAGCCAGCTCTTGGCCTAAAGGTGCATGATAACCCTAGCTCCGGAAGGCTCTTCAGACTCCTCTGGAGAAGCTTATCAAGGAGACAAAATGCTCCTCATACATGTATGCCCAATACTCAAGAGATTTGCAAGGGCTTAGGCCCCTCTCCGCCGCCGCCGCCGCCGCCACCACCACCACCCTACCCTGAAGATCGCAATAACAGCCTTCTTCATTATGAGAGCAGGTCAAGGATGGGGCTCCTAGATTGCAAGCATAGAGGTTAGAGAAAACTTCGAATAAAGATTTGGTGGGAAAATTAATGTTAAGTGGGAGCAGTACTGATACTACTAGTAATAAGTGTTGAGTAGTGGTTTTTAATGTGAGCAGTTTTAAATTGATACTGAAAATAAAATTTGGTAAGCATTCTGGTTAGAGCTGTTATTTTTTTTAATTCCTAGGTTGCCAGGTAAATGTAAATTAGTGGTAGTGTTGTTGCTGCTAAATGACATAAAAATGGGTAGTGTTAAATAGTTTTAAATTTTTCATTTATATTGTGGGGAAGATCATGGGCACAAACAGTCATCTGCACACATAAGGCATGTTCACCTGTTACACTGAACACAAGTACAAGCTTTTTCCACACATGTACAAGCATTTATGAGAAAGAGTACACACTTGTTGATTTGTGCAGACTCAACCGTTGTGTGCCCAGGAGCACTGACTGTACATTTGTTGAATGTTTCGTGTGAATGGTTGCAAGTTTGTGCAGTTCAAATGTCTGTATACACAGATTGTACACTCGTTTAACATAATGTGTGAACACCATAACAGTCTTCCTTACTAAGGTGAGATGCACTGTATTTCTAGCAGGACAGGTCATGGGAAGGAGGGGTGGTGTGGTGAGGAGAGTCCTGAAAGCTGGATGAAGAGGTTTGGAGAATACATTTTGTCCCCGGGCCTGAGATTCCCTACCCCTGATCTATACATATAGATTAGCGCGCACACATTTCATGCACATCATCTGTGCCTTCTTTTTTAGTGATGCATTTCCTCTTCCCTCCCTGTCCCTTTTCCCTTGTGTGCTGCGCAGCGATCCTGCTTGCTGTCCTGGCTTATGGGATAGCCGCGCACAGCCTCTCCCAGGCAGCGGGATGAAGGCTCCCCTTGCCCGGGAGAGGCTGCACGCGGCTAAGCAAGAAGCCAGGACAGCCAGTGGGATCCCTGCCCAGGAGAGGCTGCGTGCAGCTAAGGCTCCCCCAAGAGCCGCGCTCCCTTTAAAGAGTGCACGGTGTGTGTGTGTGGCTTTTGGGGGCTTTTCCCCGAGGAGGGAGAAGGGCAGCACACACGCTCCACGCAGCTCTTTAAAGGGCGCTGAGCAGAGCCTCCCGCCTGCATTCGCTCCATAAGACGCACACACATTTCCCCTTACTTTTTAGGAGGGGAAAAGTGTGTCTTATAGACGTGTGTGTGTGTGTGTGTGTGTGTGTGTGTTGTAAGTCTCTGGGCAGGAACTGCCTTCTTTTACTTTATTGTATGTGAGCGACTCTATGAGCCTTTGTGGCTGAAGAATGGGGTACAAATACTCTAAATAAATTAAATTAAATAAATTTCCTCCTTTTTGGTGATGCATAAGCAGCCAACCTGGTTTTAAGAGGCTTTGAGCTACAGGAACAATCAGATGCCACCCAGGCAGCCTACTATGCCATGTAACTGTAGCATGGGGTGGGGAGGGAAAACTGATTATTCTACCTGATCTCCCCTCCATGAACTGAAATGTCTTTGTGTTTGCTGGTGTGTGTGTGTGTGTGTTTTCCTGGAACACTCAGACACGGAGTTGGAGGCTGTGAACACATGTACTTTCCGGACTCTGGGGTGAGCTTGGTGTTTTCGTAAATGCAGCTGAGGGCCTTCCTTTGATCTCCTTGATTCATGCCTAGGTTTGGCCTGGAAACCTGGTCCAGATGCTGCGTCCACTCCTTCGCTTGACTACTGGTGGGTGGCTTCAAGATTTCTCTGCGATGACACACACATGCAGAGGGAGAGTGGAAAACGAGGCGGCTGGCTTCCAGGCTCCGTTTCAAACACATTTCCCCTGCAAGCGGCTTGGAGAGTCGCCCGTGGACCTCTCAGCGCTTTTGATACAGCAGGCCAAGTTTGGAGTTGGATGCCTCAAGACAGGCCCAGCGCGGCTCATCGTAACCACCCGTGCTTTGCAAAAAGTTTGGCTCGCCTGCATTTAGCCATCTGTGTGCATCAGGTGCCAATCTTCTCCCAGGAGAAGGGAGGCCCTACTTTGCATGCTAAACAGCGGCAAATGCGCTAGAGGCCCCATCCCAGTCTTATCTCATGCCTTGCATGCAGAAGGGTCCAAATTCAATCCCCAGCATCTCTAGGTAAGACCAGGAATGCTCCCTGTCTGAAACCCTGGATAGCTGCTGCCGGCCAGTGTAGACAATACTGAGCTCGACAAATGGTCTGACTCACTCAAAGTAATCTCCCTCTGTTCCTGTGTAATGGCCTTGTTGGGGAGAGGGTTCTTTTCAGATGCTTAAGGGTATTACTGGTGGCAGAACTTGCTAGTCTGAAATTTCAGCAGCGCCCCGTGCAATGCCAAATGTTGGCACCACCCCACACCTCCCACCTTCCATTCCACATCACAGTTGAGGCACGCCGAGGCTCCATGCCCAGTGCAACCGGACCAGTCGCGCTCCCTTAAATCCACCTCGGGTATTATTTCAAAATGTAGTAAGCCAACTCTGCTGCTTAAGACTAGAGCTGGTTGGGGGGGGGAGTGTCTCTGGTGGGGGATGTCTGCTGAGTGTGATTCTGGACCTCTGACCCAAAGTTGACTCTTGGAGACCATGGCTATCTCTCTTCCCTTTGTAGGCATCAGAGCGCTAGCTGTGAGGCCTCCCTCCCAAGTTCACTTCATCTGCGTCTCCTCTGCCGCATTCTCTTGACTATTCAAGATGTCAACTTCTCGGTGTCAAGGGGCTCCCCACTATCAGGTCCCTCCCCCCCTTCCCCGGCTCCTCATGAAGGGGCCTCTCTGATACTTGACCAGCCATGTAAGAGCACTGAGGATGGCAGCCAAGGCATCTTGGTGGAGTGCGAAATTCACCCCTGGTCAGAAGGCCAACACAAGGCCTGGCCGACACTTGCCTCCACTTCAGACTCCGAGATAGGGATGAAGAGGCAAGCAGGCCTCGGCCTGGCCCTGTGTACTTGAGGGTCACCCCTGTAAAGTGTGGCACACTTTGAAGCACCGGGAGAAGGAATTCTGTCACACGGAGAGCCAGCACTGGAAATATAACCAGGGCAGTACAATGGGAAGGAGGTTCTTCTGGGCCCAGATTGACTCTTCCTGCTGGGGAAAGGCAAGTCTATCGATTTTGGGTTATCTCCATTTCTTCTTTTGGCACTCTTCAATTCACCTCTACACATGTGATTTTTATTTACCTATTCACTTGTCGCATTTATATCCTGACTTTTCCATGCTACTTCCTCATTTACTCTCCACAACAACCCTGTGAGGTAGGTCAGGCAGTGACAGGGCCCAAATCACCCAACCAAGCTTTTTGGCTGAGTGGGAATTTGAACCCTGGTCTCCCAGCATGGCAACCACCATACCACATTGACTTTTTAAAAGCCCTTCAAGAAAATTCATCAGTCAGAATTTCAGTGCTAATTTCTGTGTGCGATTTTGCCTAATATACACATTTTCGCGGAGCAAATATAATGCAATTTTAAAATGCTGTTGCATTTTTGTGAACACTGTCCCCTGTCATATCCATTTGTGTGCACATTATTTGGCTCGAGAACTGCATTGCAAAATTTGGAGGATTTGTGAATTTCAAAAGATGGTTGCGTTTCGGGTCTCACATTGTTTTGGAATTTAGGTGGTTTCACCTTTAAATGCAAACCCAAACAAATTTCTTCCCCCATCCCTAATGACCAGGGGCCAAATGCCTCTCTGTCTGGCCCTTGGAACACTTTCCAGGCCACACACCCTCCCACAAGCCACACCCTCCTCAAGTGATTTTGTGTCAAACCAAGAGGATTCCTAGAAGGAGGGCAAAGAGGCATCTATGTATATTTGTTTATAGAAACCTCTGACTTTTGCACAGCTGGAATGTAACCTAGAATCATAGAATTGTGGAGCTGGCTGGGATCCCTAAGGGTCATCCAGCCCAACCCTCTGCAAGGCATGATAGATGGACATCTAACCTTTGCATAAAGACCTCCAAGGAAGGAGAGTCCTGCTGTACAAAGATATTATAGGCGGGTGCCCTAAGACAGGTACGCTAAGAAAGCCAACCTAATAATTCAAAAAGTAGATCCCTGCTGCCAATCTAAAACACACCGTTTGAGAAAGGAAGTAATGAACTGGGGAACTGAAGAGGTGATGAGGAATGGGGATGTGAGTAAACATTGTTACCAGGAGCAGGAGACATTCATTGAGAGAACTCTGTAGAACGATTGGGGGGAGACAGGGGGGGGGAGTAAAATATGTTTATGTAGCGGGTGGAATTGAAGAGAAGACGGGACTAAAGCAATCGAAAACAGCCTGGGATAGGAAGTTACTGAGGACTAGCGTGGTGCCATGGACCAGGAAACGGAAAACAGAGTTCGAATCCCCAGTTCTGTCACTTACACATAGGGATATAATTCGTGCTTTTAAAAACCTCAGTTCTAAAGCCTGATTTTAAAGAAGAAGAAAACCTGAACAGGAAGTCAACCGAGCTCTCCTTCGAATTAAGGACTCCTTTTTTTTGAGCTGAAATCCGTCTTTGCCAAGTTGTAAGATAAGCCTCTGGAAACGAAGGGATGGTACTCCCTGGGTATTAAAAAAAATAATACTTCGACTTGTCCTAGAGCCGTGAAAACAGTTGAAACGAACAGTTCATACTTGGGGCCGGGGGCCTTTTTTGTTTTTTAAAGAAGAGGAGACAGGGGTTTTGAAAGTGTTTGCAAACTTACCTGGGAGTAAAGACAGAGCTTTCTTTTCCAGCAAGCACACATCGGATTGCGCGAGGGAGTTCTATTACTTACTGATTTTTAATTATGTCTTTACAATTAAATAATTAATTTGTCTCCTCCTAAATGCCAATGTAGGCATTCTTTACTGAAGGGGGGGGGTCTTCTTCTCCGCCGCGATCTGAAAGCTGGGGAGTCCAGAGATATCCAGCCTGGATAACCGAAGGGAGGAGTCACATTTTTAAAAAAAAAAAGTTTAAATAATTTCAGAATTATTCTAATTGTAACAGGAAATCAAACCATTTATTCGACTCTATGTAAACTCCACTTCAGAGATCAAGGCGATGGAGGGAGGAAGAGAAGCGGCGACGATTCCCGATTGTGTGTGAAACGCTCACACGCACGTGGGTGTCTAAAACACACCAGCGTTAAAAATTCACACAGACTGGGTATCTTCTCAAGGCTAGAGACAGGCTGCGTACATACCATACGTTTAAAATACATTTACACCCACCCGGCCACCCAAATAATCCTGGGAACTGCAGTTTTTCCCCCTGAGGCACAATTCCCAGCGCCCATAACAAACTACAGTTCCCAGCATTCTTTGGTCGGAGGGTGCTTTTTATTATAGGTTGTGGCGCAAAAGTGCCCAGAAACTGATTTATTTCTATCTTGTTGCTGGGATGACCTTCTGAGCTTCAGTATTCATCGCGGACAGACAGGAGAAATCATATAAATCTTTGACCCACCCTTTCCCCCTGTTTGTTTCCTATGATTTCTTTAAATATCATATTAAAATCATTATATTGCCTTCGTGTTACGCCGCCTTTTAACACAAGTATCCCGCACGGCGGTGTACATAACCGTTAAAGGAATGCTACACTTTGTAAAGACGGTATCTGCTCCATGTGTTTTGGCGTTATCACAAGTCCTGACGGTTCGAGGAGCTGGACTGCGCTATAGGTGAGCAAACAGAAAGGAGATCTCCGCCCCGAGGAAGCTTCCAATCACCTTTACAACAGAAGGCGAGAGGTTCTACTGTATATGAGAGGCAAAGGTGTTTATCTCGCCTTTATCTGCACTTTCTCCCCTCTTCTCTAGGACCAAAAAGGCATTCAAATATTGCAATACATGTTTAAATACATCACACATCATCAGGCTCCCCTTTGTGTCGATAATCAAACTGGCCTCCCTTAAAGGGTTTTTGGGAGGGAAGGAAGCGCTTGAAAAGCCTTTTATCAACCACATTTGGGCCACGACACTCCCTGCCCCCTCCACCGCGCGCCTTTTAACATTTTTGGCATCCGGTTTATTTCAATGGGATGTTGCGCGCATGCGTAACCCCCCCGCGCGCCAATGGGCGTTTTAATGAGTCCAAGGTCATCGTGCCCATTGTTTTCAATGGGTCTGCTCTAAGTAGGACATTTCATGGAGTGGTGTGTGCATGTTTCATTTAAAATATATGGGTTCTATCCAACTAAGCTTTACTCAGAGCAAACCCACTGAAATGAGTGGATCCAAGTTCGTCGCGTCCATTTTATTTCAAGGGGGTAAGCAGAACTTTTAAGTCTGAAGCAACTCTAAAGCTACAATCCTGTGCACACTTGATTGGGAGTAAGCGCCATTAAAGTCGGTGGCTGCGTAAAGGCGCATAGGACAGGTCTGTAAAAAGTGTGCTTAGAATTTGGCTGGATTGTTTCCTGCCTTAATTAATAAATAATAATAATAAATGCAATCAGTATTTATTTCGCACATCTTATAATTGTGTGCCACCAATTCATAAAAGGCAGGGAGCTCCCCTCAGAGAGGGAGACGCAGGCCTCTTCGCGGCTCAAGTTCTCGCCGCCCTGCGAAATTAGCTCTCTGCCCCAAGGAGGTCACAGACTAGAGTCTCCGACCAGGGCCGCCTCTCCACTCAGAATGACAGCTCCAGCAACTGGCTGCTAAAGGAGATTGGAAAGGACGCGGGCAGGGGACGTTTATCTCCAACTTTCCCTATGAGGTTTACATGCAATTTTCCCTTGACAATCAGGGGAAATGTGTTTATAAAGTTGTTAAACTCTGGATAAACTTCAGGGGAAGTTTGATGGGGGGCGGAGGACCCGTCTCTTTTTCTTGGCGTGTTGTTATTTTCCAGAAAGCTGGATTACTGGAAATATTTTTCTTTTAAAGACGGAAAGAAATCTAAACAGTCTTTAAAAGGTGGGAGGGAGGGGAAAGAGAGTGAGAAACTTGGGAAATTGAAACGAGGAGGAGAGAAAATATCCCCAAAGGCTGGCTCGAGCGGCCTTCACGCACTGGAGAACAAACCGGCGTAGAAATAAACTCACATGTCCGTTGGATTAAGCTTTTTTATGCCGCAAGCCTTTTGCGCAAAACGATGCGCATATTTCCTCGGAAGCCCCATTGAATCCAAGCGATTCTGCCTTAATTACGTATTTGAATTCTTGTTTAAACTCTCCCTTTCACTTTCATCTCTCCCCCCCCCTTTTTAACTCTTCTTCCTCTTCTCTCCCCCTCCCTGCAGACTCTTAGAATATTTTCCCAACGTGGTAAATATAACTATGGGCTATTTTTACGTGTGTGTTGTGGAGGGAGGGGGTTGTGTTTTTAGAAAGTATGTTAGGCCCCTCCCATTTAACGTAATTGACGCTTATAATTATCGGTGCGCATAGCTAAAAACGCCTGCTCTCTTTTTCTTCTTCTTCTTGTTTTAGTCATTCATGTCCACAAGCCACTTACTTGCGCAATGGCCACCCTGAAATCTTGCGGTTTATTTACTTTGCCTCGAGGTGATTTGCCACTTGTAGCCCCAAAGGAGCCTAGATGCTCTTCTGACCCCAGCTGCAGTAGACCTTCAAAGCGATATCCTGCCACTGGCAGTTCTTAAGAGACCCATGTGCCCAGGATAAAGGTAAAGGTAAAGGGACCCCTGACCATTAGGTCCCGTCGTGGCCGACTCTGGGGTTGCGACACTCATCTCGCTTTATTGGCCGAGGGAGCCGGCATACAGCTGCCAGGTCATGTGGCCAGCAAGACTAAGCCGCTTCTGGCGAACCAGAGCAGCACACAGAAACGTGTTTACCTTCCCACCAGAGCGGTACCTATTTATCTACTTGCACTTTGAAGTGCTTTCGAACTGCTAGGTTGGCAGGAGCTGGACCGAGCAACAGGCGCTCACCCCGTCGTGGGGATTCAAACCACTGACCTTCTGATTGGCAAGTCCTAGGCTCTGTGGTTTAACCCACAGCGCCACCCGCGTCCCAAATTCGCTGGGAAGAGGGATTGACTGATAAACCACCCTGGGAATTGTAGCTGGTTGAGGGGAACAGGAGTCTCCTCACAACTCTCAGCACCCTTAACAAACTATAGTTTGCAGCATTCTGGGGGAGCCCTGGCTGTTTTAAATCATATTATGCCGCTTTAAATATCCCATTCAGATGGGGCCTGTGTCTGCTTCCCGGCTCCTTTCATAGAATCATAGAATTGCAGAGTTAGAAAGGACCACGAGGGTCGCCTAGTCCAAGCTCCTACAAAAAGTATCTTCGGAACCAGGCATGGGACAACCTGTGATCCGCCAGATGATGCAAAACTACAACTCCCATAATCCTTGGCCATAGAGGCTGATGGGAATTGGAGTTTATCAACATGGGGGGGGTGAGGATGAGAAGGCTTTCCTCATCCCTGTCTATGCAGAACTAAGTCCTATCTACTGGAATTCAGTGGGACTGACGCCCAGATAACCCCACTTACCTGCGAGTAAGCACCACTGAATTCATGTGGGTTTCCTTCTGCGTAGACAAGGTGGTGTTCTCAGTTGGTGTGGTTCTGATGCGCAGTAGCCCATCCTGATGTCTTGAAATAATTTCAGAGTTGTTGGTGTCCGTTTCCCTCCCCCCCATCCAAATTCCAGCGTTTATTTGAGGGTTTTTAAAGGGAGGAGATTGCCCAGACTATTTGTTCTGCAATCAATAATCCTTTATTTATACAGCATCGTCAATGCACATGTTTCACTTGTTTATTCAGAAGTATGGAGGTTTTTTTTTTTAATAACACCTTTCATTCGTATTCCCGGGGCTGTTTACAAAAGGACAGAACAATTAAAGTCTACATTAAAAATAAAATGTAAAACCTATATGCTAAAAGTCAGGAAAAATTTTTTTATTATTATTTTGGGCTCTTAGTTCCTCATGTTATCGTTTAGGTGATCCTCCTGGAGACCTTTGCTTGAATGGGCCTCCTCCTCATCATCATCATTGCATAAAACAGTAGGATTACAAATCCATCTGAAAATACTTCTTTTTTAAAAAGTGTATGACAGAAGCCTACATTTCTACCCCACTCTTCCTCCAGAGAGCTCAAGGTGACGAACACGGCTTTCATCCCCTCCACAACAACCCTGTGAGGTAGGTTAGGCTGCCAGACTGTGACTAATGCAAGGGTACTCAGTGACAATTAGACAGTGGGCTCCAAGAGAAACTCCTTTGGGACTGTTTTCCGCTTCTGGGGTACCATAATGGAGCGCCCCACCCCACGTTCTGCTTGTGACCTGTTCATCTCAGATGGCCCCAGGGCACATCGACTGATTCACATAGATCTGAGAAGCGTTAACATATTATTTCTACAAATATCGGACGGGGGCTCAACAGCCCGCTTCTCTGCCAACAAGACTCGCTAAGTGAGCCGGGACAAATCCCCTGTAACTGTAGATAGGGAGAGCGGTCTGTCCTTCTGTGTGTCTCGCTTGCAATTTTATCCGATAATAATAATAAATCGCTATTAATGTAATCGACAGCAATGGGACACAATAAGCTGGCTGTGTTTCCTGCCAAAAGCCTTTGCCACAGTTGTTCTGACATGCCTATTCTCTCTTCCAGGCTGCAAGGCACGTGTGAAACGCCTTAAGGGTGAGTGAGATTCACACGTGCAAATGTCCGTGTTCTTAAGCTGCTGTGCGCCCTTGATGCACATGAGTTTACTAGTTCCTCGTATACCTGACGAGCGGCAGCTATGCGTGTGAATGGACCCGGAAGGTGGCATCGATGCCAACCCTTAACTCCACTTACCTGGCTGGCAGGAAGACTAGAAAACTCATATGCACGCACCTGGGATGAAGTCCCAGAAAAGTCAGAGGGATTTACTTTTGAGTAGACATATTTATAGGAGCTGCACTTCACCGCTAGAAACACTCTCTGTGTTCAGTCGGACCAGAGTCCTAAGTGAGGCCTAAAAACGCAGCAGGGCTTACTTCTGAGTAGGCACGTTCAGGATTGCACAGAGATAGGGATGCCAAGCTTCCCAGGCACAGAAGCCAACTTTTCGTGTTTACAAACTGATTTATATATTCTTGAACCCTTTTATATTTTCACAAATCATTTCTTCAACAAGAAGAATTTAATTTCCCCCCGCTGAGAGAGTAATATAAGCCTCGCATTTCTCGTGTCTATCTGCAGGAACTAGAAACTAGAAACTATTCAACTAAAAAACTAGTCAAGGGTATTATTATCATATAACCCACCCATTCACTCCGAAATAATTCATTCTGCAAACAGCCCAGAGAATTTGAAACAAACAGCCTAGTCCTATTTTTGCATCTTGGACTAGGAAACAAGATGAGCCGGGTTTACTTTCGAGTAGATAAACGCGTATGGGATTGGAGCCTAACAATTCGACCCATGTCTTCTCGGAAAAGAAGCCCCGCTGAGTTCAGTGGGAATGGGATTTACTTCCAGGTGACTATCGCAGGCTGTCCTAAGAGTAAGGCTGCGAACTGAATACACGTTCTTACTCCGGAGTAGGTCCCATTGAAGTCGGCAGGTGTTACTTCCAATAAATTCTGCGTACAGGATAGGGGCTACATGTTTCTCCCGGGAATCGACGTGATATCTGAGTTAATAGGTTTAAGATTCCAGGGTAAAATTAATCTCCCACCCCAGACCTTTCCCCCAAAACAAGGGACGGTAAAATAATAATCCGAAACTTGACTGAAGTCGCTCCCAAGTCTTGATCTTCGTTAGGAAAACAAACACATTGTCAATTTCTCCTCGCTGCTTTGCTTGCTTGGCCGCGATCAGAAACGGTCGTGCACCTGTTGATCCGAGACTCAGCCTGGCTGCACGCTGCGCCCCTTCTCCTCCACTTCGCGGGGATGAGGGGAGATGAGAAGACCCTCTTCCTTGTTCTGAATCCACGAGCATTTCCCATCTTCCTCGCTTTTCTGCGGCAGTAAATTTGGAGAGGGGGGTGGAATACAGTGGTACCTCTGGTTACGTACTTAATTCGTTCCGGAGGTCCGTGTAAAACCCAATCTGGATCGCGTGCAAACTTCTCTTCACCTGTCTCTGGGGTTCCTCTTGGGTGGATTTGAATTCGTGTCTTTCTCTCTTTTTTCCCCCCCCCCTCTCCTAGGACGGCGTCCCGCCCCCAGTTTCACACCAGTCGGGGGAGGCGGAATTACAGGATAAGGATATGGGCACGTGGAGTTTGCAACGACTAAGAGAAACAAGTCTCTCTCTTTTTACTCCCCCATTACTATTGAAAAACTGGGCATTTTGCACTATTAAGGATCTCTCCGCTCTTCTTTAACGTGCTGCAAAGGCAGCAACTTCGGGGGGGGGGCAAACCCCCGGGAAGGGGCGTTTCAGGAGCGCAGACTTGGCTCAGTGATTCTCCAGCCGCCCCTTCTGGAAAGGAAGGTCCATTGATTTCGGTGGAGAGACCGACCGACTCCGGAGGAAACATGCTTAGGATCGACTCCGGAGGAGGAAACGTGCTTAGGATCGGCCTGCAAAACAACATGAAATCTCTTCCATCCTTCATAATAGCAATGATTCCAAAGGGAATAATATCGAATTCTCAGAGGAGATCTGGATTTCCTTACCCATTTCGAGGTTCTTGCTCAACTCCTCTTACTAGGTCCTTTGTGGGGGTGGGGAGGTAGGAACACGAGACTAAACCGGTTCCCTGGGATGTGGGTGGATGAGGAGGTTCTACATGACCGGCGGGCCGACCGCCTCCCCTCCTGCAAAAGAGAAACCAGAGAGAACTAAATCCAGTTTGAGGTGAGGCACACACGCACACCTGGATTTAAAAACCAAATCTAAAATAAACATAAAAATTGTTTTCATCAATCCATATTGTCCCTCGAGTAAAGCGATGATGGTCGGCGTTGAAATGTCCTAACCCTTGAAAGTACCCAGTGGCCTTCCGCCTATTTTTAAACAATTCAATCTTTCCTGGTTTTGAATCTTTATTCCCATGCAGCCAACAACCTTCTCTCTCTCGATTTAATCTTCATTTCATTTGTTTGAGAGAGGAACAAAGTACGTGTGAATGCACTCTCTAATATGCATTCCCCATATAACCTTTGGTCACCCTCTTTCTTGGCTCTCCCACTGGGAGAAAAACATATTGTAAGCTTATCGGGGCAGAGACCCCACTCTTTCCCGTCCTTGTTTTGCTTATTCCCTTGTAAAGGACTTCGATAAGCGACCATAAACTTACAAGGGGCGTAGATTGCCTTGGCTGTTCCCTCGCTCTGCTTAATATATTTTAAATACTTTTGATAATACTCGTGGCTTCTCCCTCCGTCTGTTTATTGCCCTGTAAAATTCATTGATAAATGCATTATCTATTGGGAGTCCAGAGTATAACTTGAAAGGCGGAGAGGAGACGCCAGACAGATATTATGAATTTTTCTTATCCCTTGAAATCTGTCCACGCTGTGCAGCTTCCTCCCACAGATCCTTTGAAACCAGAAATGTGTGTGTGTGTGTGTCTGCTGATTAACACAAATATTTATTGCACATATACATGACTGATATTAGTGTGTCTGCATGTGTGTAATAGATAAGAATGTTTTCGTGCTTGTACTCGTATAATGTTGCAATTGTGCCTGATAGCGTTGAAGAATTAGATTCTATTACCCTGCATAACTGATTTATAAATCCGTGTACTTTCTGAAACCAACCGGCCTTGTTTCCGAGTAACCCCCCTCACCCTTTTTAAGAAATTGGGCCCCATCCTCGGACTAAAGTTCTGGAAGCCTAACTTGTTCGAGAAGCTTGTGGTGTTCGATGCTGACTTTCAGATTTGCCTGACAAAGGGATCCATTTTGGATGGAATCGCTCCGGGGCCGAGTCTCTGGCCTGGGGGACAATTCAGCAGTGACGTAGGGAAAAACATACTCTAAGCAAGCTCAGAGGCTTCACAGAATTTTGAACCTGGCTCCTTGAATTTGGGGAGAATAAGCCCTTGCTCTAGAGAAAGAGGAAGGGGGGGGGTTCTGGGGCTGGCCGAAAGGGGCTTGAATTAGGTTGGTCTGTTTTGCGGGCAGCATAATTGAGACAAGAGCTTCTTCGATATATCGTTTAAGGTACGACTGAGCGGGAGAGGAAAAGGGGAGACTCAGCAGCCCGGTTTAGGGGTGCTGTTTAGGGAGACCACCCACCTTTCCCATCCAGACAGTAAAGGGTTCCTTAGGAACACATCCAGCACGGATGATCATTAGGTATATAAAAAAATTAAACGTATCACCAGTACTTTTTTTGGCGGGGGGGGGTGGTCCTTAATATTGTATATGACCTCTGAATCTTCTCCAAAAATATCCCACCTCCCCCCACCGCAACCCCCCCCCAAAAAAACCTTCATTCCTTAATAAGGTGATGGATTGTACCTTCAACGCTGTATGAAGCGGGCTGATTAGAAATCCAAGGTTTTGTGGGTGGGACGCCACATTAAAAACACAAAAGAACCCAGCTAACTTTTCCGAACTGATCTGAATATCCTCCCGGATCTAAATCTGCATTTTATTACTTTTCTATTATTATTATTTTTTTTTTTTAAATGCAGTTAAAACCAACAGGCTGCGACTCTTGGATAACTCGGTTATAATATTGGGGGCACTGATGTCCGAACTCCCCCCCCCCCGCCGCTGCCGCCGCCATCGTTTTCCGGTCCATTTTGCAGGGAGGTGTCAGTTCCTGGGATTGTAACGTGTATTCTGCTTGCATGTGTGTATGTGTATGTCTTATCTCAAGACCTCCCTCCCGGATTCTCCAAAATTGGGCTCCCATGGCCAACCATATTTATATATTTTTTTAAATCTTCATTCTTGGAATGAATTCTACCAAGGTGGAACACACCTTTTTGAATGTTACAGTTTTCTCTTTTCGCTCGTGTTCTTGTGTGTGTCGATGATCCATGGAAGCCATTGCCCGCTACCCAATCCACGGCTGGCCACGTGCTTCCGTTTATCCCATTGAAACCCGTGCAGCATACCTGGAAATTATTCCTATGGAAACTCAGCGGGGTTTCATCGCGAGAAAGACATCCCCCCCCCCCAAAAAAAAAACACCAGCGTGTAATTTTGGGATTCCTGTCTCCTGTAGACTTTATGTCCCAGCCCCCTCCCCCGAGGCAGAGCAGCCTGGGGTGAAGCTCCTGGCGCACTTTTAATGTCAGAAGGGTGCCGTTTTTCTGGACTTTGCAGATTTGCGTGGGGTCAAGTGGCGAGCTGCGTGCGCGCGCGCGTGGGGATTTTTATTGTTGCGGAGGAACGAAGGGCGAGTGAAACCACATAGCCAGGATAATATCAATTGTCATTTTTAAAAACATTTTATTTTTCGAAACAAGTCTGTGCATTTTCCTTAGAACAAACTTTGACCCTTTCCTTAAAATACACACGCTAGAATTGAGAATATACATACAACAAACAGCATTAAAAAAAATGATCACAAACTAAACTGGGAACCGGAGGGGGGTTGTTGGGGGTAGTTTTGCAACGCCCTCCTCTCCCAGTGTCTAAGGTAATGCATTGAGATCTTGTTTAACTGTTTATTCTGAAAACATAACAGGAATGGCAAGCACCTTGAACGCGGTAAGACTTATTTCTGATTAAAAACAGGCAACTCTGCCTGGCTCGGTGACAATCCAATGCGCGCTGGGAGCGCGATCCTAATAATGTCTCTTCCAAAGGCTGGTCCTATTATCTTCAGCGGGGCTTACTTCCATGCAGGTGGGGTTAGGGCTGCAGCTCCCCCCGGGAATACGCCCAGCTGAACTCAGCGAGGCTTACGCTCGAGGAAACATGCAGAGGATCGCGATGCGCAGAAGGTTGCGCCACATGCAATGGCGTTCCAAGAACTCCAGTGAACAACTTCAGCAGCGAGGCGCTGGTCCCTATGATCCTCCTGAAACTACACCCGCCCGCCCCCCCCCCCCAGCCTAGAGTTTTGTGGTTGTGTTAACTTGGAGGTCTGACGATATTTTGCTTTCCCGGTTGATCTGTTCCTGGGGACAATTTTCCATTCATTTCCTATGGTGCCTGCAGAAGGGGGGCCGGGGTGGGTTAGGAGGCAGGGAGGGGCATTGATTCTTGTGAGAAATGTTATTTTCATCAATCACCCGCAATTTGGCTAAGTGGCCCGGACAGAATACCAGCAGTCCCGCTGGCTGAGGTCAGAGAGACGAGGGAGCCGCGGAGAAGAGCAAATTGAGGACCCGGCAACCCTTTGCAAAAGCGCCAAGGTCCCCAATGGCTGCCTGGCTGCCTCTGTGTGTGTGTGTGTGTAGTTGCAGGCAGAAATTGGGGGGGGGGGGATAAGGAGGGGCAGACTAGGAGGGGGGCCCGGGAAGGTCCGCCATGTGACATGAGGGAAATATGAAGGACTTTGACAGGTCTTAAACGGCCTGGCGCCAGGGCCGGAGTCTGCGTGGCTAAAAATAGACGAGGGATGGAGAGAGGAGATGGGTCGAGATGAAAGGGGGCGCATGGTGGGGGGGAGGGGGAGAAAACGGGGGGGGGGAGGACAGGACAGGGACCTGCTGGGGGGTGGGCAGATGTTTAGCCAGAGCAGCTTTCTCCTAAAGTTCAAGCAGCGTTTTTAATTGTCTGTGGGGAAATAATAATAAATCCTCGTTTTGCTTGTTACGCATCTCCTTTCGTAACGTTTTAGGGATCCATTTCACTCCGCTCCCCATCTCTCCCTTTGAAAGAATGATAAAAAATATATATTTAAAAAACACCTCTCTCCCTCATTCATCCAGCCGTGGATTTCTTCCTTTCAAATTAATGCGTCCTACTCATAATTTCACACACACGCGTCTTCACGTTCATTTTCGGGAATATTGGCTTGTGTTTCCATTTCCCCCGCGATCGCTCCTTCTCCCTCGTTAATTCACACACCCTTAGCTGCTGCTGCTGTTTATTTCTACACAATTAAAACAGAACAAAACCTGGAAACGATGTTAGGGTGTTATAAAGGTGTGATTATGGATATCTCCAAGGATGCTAAATTTTGCTTTGAAACCCAAGCAGGATTTCTCATCCGTAATATTTATCTTTCCCTCTTTTCCTACCGTGTTTTTCACCCCCTCCCTCACTCACACAGATGTAGAGTGGTCTTGATTTTCAGCCTGGATGTTTTATCTGAATGTAATTATTCTTCGCTGTGAAAGAGGACTGAGAAATCCATTGCAAACCTTTCTGGGGAAAATGGGGGTCTCAGCTTCCCGATAGGAAGAGTGTGTCGTCGTCCCGTCCCCCCGTCCCCCCGCCTCGCAGCACTTATCCCGCCTGGAAAATACAGGGGTTAAAGGCATAAGCGAAGCAAGTGGAAATAAATCTGTGCCAATTCTCTCCCCCCCGCTTTCTCTTTTTCAGTCTTTACTAGGAGAATTGCGGCGGGGGGCGGGGAATGGAGAGGGATCGGGGAAGGAAGTCGACAAGATAAGTTATTTAAAAGATAACCAGTCCCAGAAGGTTGCAGAAGGGGAGAGAGAGAGAGAAAGGAATAGCAAGGAAATTATTAGATCAAAATGCACTTGGGAAAAGGGGGGGGCAAAGTGGGATGTTCCAGCTTGTTGGGGGATTAAGGGAAGCTTAATATAGAAAATGGCTGGAAACTGAACTTTGTATATTCGCTGGGGTTGGGGGGGGGGAGATCCAAGGCTCCAGAACTTCCCCCCATTTAAACTCCATCCCACTGCCCTGATAACCGGAATCGACCTGAGGCTTAAAGCAAACTCTCTCCCTTCATTTCCAGATAAGCCCCCACCTCGTATTTAAACATGGTGTGCGTTGTGTCCGTCGTGCACACGCACGCAGATGTACGTGCGGGATACGAGGAATCTACAAATAAATCCGCATACATTCTATGCATAATACAATGCTTGTTTAAAAGTGGGGGGGGGGGGACAGCTCCAAAGAATATACACGCACGAAGATCACTCCTCTACGGGTCTACTCAAAGCAAGCCGCACTGAGTTCAATGGGGCTTACCCTCAGGCAAATGGGTACAGTATTGGATTGCAAGCTTAACCTGCAGCAAGAGACTACAATTCCTGGGCCGATTAGATTGGGCATGTTAGATTTCCGTTTGTTTATCTCCACACACACACACACACACACACACACACGAAGGGGGAATATATATGTGTGTTTGTGTATTTGTGCGGGGAGTGTGTGTGTAATGTAATACTGGGGAAAGCACGAACGTTCCAAAAACATGGAGCATAACATTTAATTTTGTATACCAATCACGAAAGAGGAAAAAAAGCAGTTGATTTTTATATTTAAAAAAATAATCAAGGGGGGGAAATAGCAAATTATTTTAAGACGTAAAAAGTGAACTTTTGGGTTCTTCTCATGGAGCGTAAAGGCGTAGATGTTGGTTCAAACTTCCACTGGTGAGCTTAAACTCCAAATGTTATCAGATCAAGGGTCCAGTTTTCCTTTTCTACGTCCACCTCCCACCCCATTCAGTTCATGGATGAAATGAAGTAGAAAGCAGATGCATTATATAATCCAGTTCCTGTCATGTTTGACATGGTTGCAGGTGATTCTTCCTGCTTGGGTTTCAAAACCAAGTTTAGCATCCTTGGGAGATGTGTGTGCGTGTGCGTGTGTATTTATATATATGGCTGCTGTTGTCTAAATTACTTCATTTTTCTTTCATAACCCACTGAGGACATTTTCTGTAGTTGGCCCATCGCCTGCGCTTACCAGAGAGTTGGGTGGGATTCCCTCGCCCTCCTCCCCCACCGCGATCCTCTGCGCAGTTAAGCAAGCCCCATTTGCGTGGTGGGGGGTGGGGAGAGAGACCTCTGGGATCTACTTCCGGCAAATGACAACTGGGAAGGATATTATCCTAAGTGCAAGATCCTGCCCCAAGCGAGCCGCGAACACCCATGGATTTTGCCGGGCAAAAGAAGCAAGCGAGCGTTTACAGTTCTGTTGTTGAAACCAGTGAGGTATTTATTAGAGTTGTTTGTTTGGCTGGATCGTGTCGCAGGTATGCTTTGAGCACGAATAGGTACCGAGTCTGTATCTTCTTTATTTCTCACCAGCACCCGACAAACCCTTTCCTGAAAGTTAAAAATGAATTATGGGCAAAAGTTGTTTCCCCCCTTTTTTTCAGGCTGTGATCCTGAGCGCGCTTTCCTTGCGAATAGCAACCTCTGACCTCTGTGTGTTGTGGCGCTTATTTCCGGGGAAGCGAAGCTAGAATCGGGCACGTTTGTAGGTTCTCCCTTTCTCCGTAACAGCCTGGAATCGGGATAAAATTGTAAGGAAAGGGGTGTATTTTGGAAGGGGTGGGCTGGCCCCTACAGGGTCTGATGCTTCTCTAGATGCTGGTTGACTTTGTCCACGTTTAATAAGGGACTCCTCCTTCTCCTCTCTTTGGTGAAAACAAAACAGAAAGATAACAAGACTAACATCTCGCTCAAACTGCCCTTCTCTTCCCCGCCCATAGACAGCAAAGCCAGAAATCGCGTTGCAAAAAGCCACGCAATCGGTGGCTTATTTACACGTGGGTTTAAAATGCGCGCGGGAGGGGGAATATTGGGATCTATCATTTTCAAATCAAGGGGTACCTTGAGCAAGCAGGTGCCATCGCTACCACTAAAAAGAACATCAACCTTGCTCCCAGTTTTAAAACTACTCCCTTTTTGCACTCCCTTTCCTCAAATCATTCCTTAGCACTAAATAATAATAATAATAATAATAATAATAATAATATCAATATGCCTGTTGCTATCATGGACCTTTGCTTGGTATTTGGGAAGATTTTCTCCCCCTTTATAGCTGAGGTCCACCTCCTGTTCTGCACTATAGGGAGCAAGAGAGCTGAGAAGGGAGTTGGGGGTGATGGGGTTTAATTCAGGAAGAGGCAGCAGGAATATCAGCAAGGAGGCCGGGACTCCTGCACCTTCAATAGCTGGGTAGAAAATGGACTTTCGGCAGCTGCAGCTTGCTACTAAAGATGTAGGAGCCCCAGTCTCTTTACCCTTGCTTGGTAACTGGGCTGGGGGAGCAGAGTCTTAATTTGAACACCTTTACCTGGCTGTCATAAGCCCCTTGCAGAATCTGAATTTTACCAATCAGTGACTGAATTGGCTTTGCGGTAGTGAGCCCCTCAGCCCACCATGGTTCAAATCTGGCTTCTGATTTGGTTTTTGGCCCCTCTCTGTCTCACTCCATCAGCAACATGGTAGTAATGGTGCCCTACCTTGCAGGGCGGATGTTTTGGATTAGTGACAGTATAATATGGGTGGGGGAAATGAGAGGGTGAAAAATCTGCATAAGCACCGTCTGGACCCTGTTCTGACTAGTACATTCGCCTACTTGCACCCGATCTATATATATATGGCTTTCTCTCTGTTCTCCGGAAAGGAAAGGTTGTAGGTCAGGGGTAGAGAAGCTGCTTTGCCTGCAGGAGGTCCCAGGTTCGATTCCAGGCATCTCCCGATAGGAGAGGGAATGCCCCCTCTGCCCGAAGCCCTAGAGAGCTGCTGCCAGTCAGTGTTGGCAACATGGAGCTCGATAGATCAATGGTTTGACTCGGTATTAGGCGGTTCCCTATGATTTTTCTCTGGGCTGCGGAGAAGACGAGAGAGTGTGTGCGTGACAGACCATCTCAAACACACGCATAAAGAGAATATATTCTGTAAAAAGCCTGCCTACTTCTTGAGCCTTAAAAAACAAAACAAAACAAAACACGTACCGGGGTCAACACAGGCAGGCTGGAGGAGCCCCCCGCCCCCCAGAAGCCTCGCTCCTTTAAGACAATAAATGTGCGGGCTTGTAATAATAACACCTTGGGGGTCACTTGAAATGCACTCTGTCCATGTCCAGAGAAACCAGCTGCCTCGGTGCTCAACATCTTGTGGGGATGAGGTCTGGCTTTTTCAAACAGATCCGGGGGCTCAGGAAGCGTCTGCACTGGAGCAACTAAGTCAAAGGCACTGTAAACGGAAATGTTTACTGGCTGACGGGTGGGAGGGGGCAGGCAAAGAGTTCGCCACAGAGCAATCCTATAGGCGTGTCTATTTCAGAGAAAGCCCTGTTCAGTTCAATGAGACTTACTTCCCAGTAAGTGTGGTTAGGATCGTAGCCTCATCAGACTCAAACGGGATATTAGGCGCTCGGAAAAAAAGAAGAAAAAAAGGAGGGGTTATCTGGCTGCTGCAAACAGCGCACCCCCCCCAATTTCTCTGCTGCGAATTAAGGGTTGTATCTGGTGGGTGGGTGGGGCCAATGCCTTTTCACTTCCCCTCTTTCCGCTGTCGTTTTCATTTTTTGCTCATATTCATTATCCGCATCCTATTTATTATTAATTCCCTCCCCCCTCCAGTTCATTCCCTCCAAAATGCTCACCGTTAACTGTAAGCTCCTCGGGGCGAGAGCTAAGGCCACGCTACACACGCGAGGCGCGAGGCTCCCTCTCCCCCCAAAATAATCTCGGGAGCTCTCGCTTGTTAAGAAAAGTTGGGAACTGTAGTTTGTTAAGTGTACTGGGTACTATAGCTCTGTGCCATGTAAACTATAGTACCGTCCTCGGGATTCTTTGAGAAAAGTCGCGTGCTTTGCGTGAACGATGGAGAGGAGACCTAAGGCGCCTGTTGCTCCATAGATCTCGACCCGCCCAGTTGGGGACTGGGCTTGGGGACCCTGTGCGTGTCTGCGCGGAGTTGCTCCCCTCCCCCTTCTCCCCACGCAGCCGAGGAGCTGCGAAAGACTAGCTGGCCTTGCTGAGTCTCTCAGAAGCTGATTAGATGCGGCCATCTAGGGGTCAGGCGAGCACATGATTCCACAGCCTGGGCAAGCGCGGCTGCTGCTCCCATCGCGGGCTTATGGGTCCTCTCCCACTTGAAGGGAGAAAAGGGGGGCCCGGAATAACTTCCCAGAATTTGGGGGACATAAATGCTTCTCTCTATTTATTTTTTTAAACTCCTTTGTCTTGTCGCTTTTTAATTGTGGACACTTCAAACTCCTGGCGCCAAGAGGCTCTTGACCCAACTCTCTTTTCTCTCCCACCCCCCCGCTCAATCAGGGGGAAATCTGAAAGTAGACACACAGCCAGACAGATAGCTCTCCTTGTCAACTGTCTGTGGAGTGGGAAGATTTGGCTTGGGGATCTTGAGGAGGGGGCGAGAGAGAAAGAGGTGCGCCTCTCCCCCCCAAAAAATCCATTTCCAAACAAAGTAGCCTTTGCAAGCGATCGCCCTCTTGGCTCTGTTTTCTCCAACCCCCTAAGTAAATTCTCTCCCTCCAGGAAAAGACTAGGAAAGGCGGTGGGCAAATAACGCTGATCAATTGATCACGGAACACGGGAGCGAGAGATGAGAGAGACAAAACTAATTTCATTGCTATCCATTTCTCATTTGGAACCATTTTTTGGGGCGCAATAGAAGAAAGGCAGTTGGCCAGCCAACTTTACGCATTACATGCAAGCGGGCGGGCGCCGGTGACAATTCGTTGGGTGCTTTTAATAGGCGGGGGGACGACCATTTAACCCGCCCTCCCCGCGCCTGTATTATGGGATATGCTGACGAGCTGATGTGGCTGTCAAGAGGTCAGGGCTGCGATCCTTACGCACGCTCACTTGGGAGTCCAGTAGTAAGCTCTATGCAAGTGAGACTTTATTCCGAATAAAGATGCGGAGAACCGGAAGGCAAAGTTATGTTCCTAAGGACGGTGTGGGTAGCATTGGTGTTTAGGGGTAGACAAGTGGTTTGTGGATGTCAGCCCAGGGGATTGCGGGGAGGGGAGGTGGGGAGAACCGCTACAGTATTTCCAGGGCTGCGATCCTGCAAAAAGTTAAGCGTGGGAGTCTAGGATGTAGAAACCCATTTTTCTAAAAAATAAAGGCCCCGAGTAAAACTGGGAGCTGTTCATTCAGAGCGCAATCCTGTACATGTCTACTCAGAAGTAAGTCCCGCTGAGCTCAAGGAGGCTTGCTTCCAGGTGAACTTAATATAGGATTGCAGCTGGGAGCAAGTTCCAGTGGGACTTACTTCTGAGTAGACATGGCACGAATGTTGGCGACCATCTAGTTCAAAATCTTTAGGTTGGCAGTGGGAGCATTAATAGTATCGGTGTTGCAGAATAATAAGAATGATTTAATAATTAATAACACATCCGGTGTGAATCGCGGCTGCGTTCACACGCGCACAAAAAGTGTTCCACGCTTTAGGCACCCTCCTCGCCTCTGCGACCTTTTCCCAAAAGCTTTAAAAAAAAAATAATACTACGGAACGGCGCTCGCGCGAAACCTACCCCGAGGTATCTCTGAACGCGCGCCCCGCTGCTCGCTACTCACCCGAGGCTGCTTTGGCCGCGTTTTGCAGAGGGTCCGATTCGCTCCGCTATTACTTCCATTGCCCGGGCTGAATCTTTCCATCTCCGCACGGTCCCGGAGGCCGAGACTGGGCTAGGAAGCGAAGTCTTAAAGCGGCGATGCGCACCGGCTTGCCTCCATTTTTCTCAGACCACCCCCCCGCATGCCTCCCCCGCGTTATCTGTGCGCCCCACCCCTACCCCAAAGATTGGGAAGCCGCGAAATCTGCTCGTGGTCCAGGCAGCCCCTGCCTGGATCCACTGGGGGGGGGGGACGCATGGCCCTTTCTTCCTTCTCTGGGTGGGCCCTACCCGAATCTCTTCAAAGGGTTTCTCTCCCTCCCTCTCTCTGGCTCTCTCTCCCCCCTCCCTTCTTCCTCCCTGAAATTAAATCGCGGGGGGGGGGGGAGTGGAACATCGCGCTCGGGGTTTTGGAAAAGGAATGGATGTCATAAGAAACTATAATTTGGGGGGCAGGAAAGGGGAAAAAAGGAAAGGAGCAGCCCTTTGATGGATTAAATGGAATAATTACCGGTATATTCACGGTGTCCCCGTTCACCCCCACTTTCAAAATATTCCTCTTTGTAGGGGGCGGGCGGGCGGGAAAGGGGAACAGTTTTGGCCCTAGACCACTTAAGGGGTGAACTTCTGAAACGGCCTCGCACCTAATCAGCTAACCGAAGCTGTAAGCCTGCTGTCTTCAACGATATTTACTCCGAAGTAAGTCACCTTGCGCTCAATGCTATTTACCCCAAGGTAAGCGTGATAAACTGGGTCTTCCCGAAGCCCAGGATTGTCCCCAGCGAGTGGCCTGATCCACAGAACGCGTCTACTCAGAAATACATTCTATCGGGTTATATACTCAGTGTAGACCCGATAAAATGTATGCCTTTTATTTTGCAATTGGTCTACTCTGTGTAGGACTAACGCGTTGCACTCCAAGGGGAGTTGCACCCAAATCCAAAGGGATTTCAGCCTAAAGCAGAATTTCTTCGCCAGTTTCTTTCGCGACGAAGCTGTGACATTTACTAACACCTGAATTGCATTTTCTCGGAAGTAAACTGCTCCCAAAACAGTGCGATTCTACCGGAAGCTTTCCCCAAGAATGCCGCACTATAGATGCAGAATAGACGTGGAATAGGTTAGCATATTTGAGCTCCTTAATATGTTTATTGTAAGTTCATCGGGGCAGTGACCTGTCGGTCGCTTGTGCTATGCAGAAAAGCCACACCATGCTGTACTGGTTTCAGCAAATAATAAATACTAATTCGAATGTGGTGTTGTGCTGGGAAACGTCCACTATGTACACCCGCAGAAAGAACACGCAGGTAGGCCTCCGAACAAGATAACAGAGTTCTCACGTGCAGAGGACTCGCCAGTCTTTAGACACGTGACACCCACCGGCTTTTGCTCGCAGGCCTTTTGGGCACCAAGGCCCAATAAGCTTACAACGGGTCTCCTCGGGAGTAACTCCAAAGTCCTGAGGCCTGTGTGAAGGGATGAAATTTATAAAAACTTTCCCTGCGAATAAAGTGGTGTGGGGGGTAGAAAACACGTGTGGAAAGAGACACCTGCACTAGCGTTCAAAATATACACCGAGTGGGGGTGGGGTGCGCTCTGGGGAGAGGGACCCTTTCCAAGCACCTGTTCAAGGCCAAACACTCATCCCCACAACCCAAAAAAACCCGACTCCAAGCAAAGATGGCTCGTTGCCAGCGTCTCTTCTCCAGTCCTAGGAATGGTTCCTGCCGCTTCCTTTTCCACTAGGTGATAGATCCTCTCCGTGGATGTATTCAAGGGCTTTCTGGAGAACCAGGGTAGTGCCCCCCATCCGGATCCTGGTCCGCAGGCCTCCGCCCTCTCTCTGATCTCCATCCCTCGCCCGGCCTGCGCCCTGGTCGCTCGCGCGCTGGCGCATTCCGTGGGGCGCCTTCTCTCCTGGCTGCCTGGCCAGACTCACTCCGGGTGCCTCTGCCAACAGTTCCTGAGCTGGGGGAACGTGCCCCCTCCCTCTCCCCCTCCCTCCCCATCAGCTAGGAGCCGGGCCTGGAGAGGGGAGGGCTCCCGAGGCCTTGCCTCTGTCATTGGTTAATATTTTATTCTGTTGACATGTTTTCTTTCGGGTGATGCCTCCGACACCTTTCACCCCCCTCCGTTCCTCTCTTCTTCTCTTTCTCCTCCCTCTTCTCTCTTTCTCTCCACCCGCCCATCACAAACCCCTTTCTATTCCCTCCTTCTCTCCACCCCCACCCCTTCCCAGCTCCCTCTCTCACCCCAGATCTTGGCCGGACCTGTCAAAACCACGCCTATGGACATCCACAATTGGTCTGAACCGCGTAAAATCCACAATCAAGGGGGGCTCGGCTCATTAAGGGTTGGCCCGAGAGGTGGAAACGCGCGGAGCGGAGCGAGGGGGGTGGGGAGGAAGGAAGGAAGAAGAAGAGGGAGGGAGGGAGAGAGAGAGAGAGGAGGAAAGAGAGAGAGGAGGAGAGAGAAGAGGTGGAGGAATCCGAGCGAGGAAGGGCGCACGAGAGATCGTCCCAGCGCTTTCTGCTCCTTTATTTTTTAAAAGAGAGGGATCCAGAAGAGACGCGAGCCAGTCTGCCCTGGGGCTCGCTCTCCTTCGGAGCTATGAAGCGCCTGGCTCCCGGCTCGGATTCCGGCGTCGATCCAACTCCGGAGCCTCGCGATCCTTGAGCGACCGGAGAAGAAGGGGCGGGGGTTGGTTTCGCTTTGGGTCGGAAAGGCGAAGGAAGGAAAGAAGGAAGCTCCCCCGGCTGCTGCCCGCTCGTTCGCTCGCTCGCAAACGGCGAGGGGGGAAAGAGAGCGCGCGAGCGCCAGAGAAGAAAAGGGGGGGCCGGCGGCAAGATCCCCCTCCCCTCCCCACCCCACGGCCGCCAGATCCAGCTTGGCTTTCTCTCCCTCTCTCGGGGAGGGGGGTCAGGAGTTCTTGTAGGACTGGGAGGGCGGGGGACGCGCTTCTCCGCCGACTCCCCCTCCCCAAACCTTTCCGATTGCAAGATCATCTTGAGCTGTTCTTAAAATTTTATTTTAAGGACTTGATTATTTTTTTGAAGGCGTCAAGACTCGCCCTTGTCGGCTGCACTTTTTTGGGGGGTCCCCCCTCCAATTTGATCGGGGAGAAGGGGCTCTGTTTCGCCCTCCCTCCTGCCTGCAAGAGGAAAAAAACATATAAGGACTTACCGGCCCCTCGGAGACGTCCAGAAGAACTCAAATCACCGGGACTGTTTGGTAGTGTGGTGTTTGTATGTGAGTCTGTGTGCGCCTGTTTGTGTGGGCTTTCCCCCCCTTCTCCCCAGTTTCTGGCCCCCTGCACAGGAACCCGAAGGCAGTTTTGCCAGAGTTGAGGTGGGTTGAAACCCACCAGCCCGGGGGCGCTTCTGAGAACCGCGAACAGAAAACGGGTTGAAATTCACTAGCTCTCCTGCCTGAGCTCGCAGGGGGAGGTGTGCTTGTGTGCGTGTGTTGTGTGTGTGTGCACGGGGTGGGGGGGGATTGAAATTGACAAGCAAAGCAGGCGCCTCTTCTTCTCCCCCCCGCGATCAACTCCCAACCCCTCCCTTGCTGGAGGGATCGGGCTTTCCTCCCGGATTTGTGGATGTACTGATGAGAGATCCAGCCTTCCCGGGGACTGCGATGGCTTACCACCCTTTCCACGCGCCCAGGCCGTCCGACTTCCCTATGTCAGCTTTCCTGGCGGCCGCTCAGCCCTCCTTCTTCCCGGCTTTGGCTCTGCCTCCGGCCGCCCTGACGAAACCTTTGCAGGATCCTAGCCTGGCCGGAGCCGCCGAGGCCAGTTTGCACGTCTCGGCGCTGGGACACCACCACCAAGCCGCCCATCTGAGGTCGCTCAAAAGCCTGGAGCCCGAGGAGGAGGTCGAGGACGACCCCAAAGTGACCCTGGAAGCCAAAGATCTCTGGGATCAGTTTCACAAACTAGGGACCGAGATGGTGATCACCAAATCTGGAAGGTGAGCAGTTGCGGGCACCAACCACGTTGCAATTAGGAATAGCAAAAGTAATAATTGATAATGATAACAATTCATATTTTTAATGATAGGATAATAATTCATGTTTTGAATGATAGCAGGATAATAATTCATGCTTTGCATGATAGCTTGATAGGGGCATTATTAAGCACTGATTTTTGCTGGGTGGGGGGAGGAATCAACCTTCTGCGTTGTTTCTTACGGTACGCTCCCCCACCTATGACTTTAATTTAAATGTATCTGTCATCTCTCTTAAAACGCCTTCCTACCCCTAAACCCCTTTCCAGCCAATGCCACATAAACTGGAAGTAAAGTTTTCCTGCAATCATGGGGTTTTATTCCCAAGCCAATGCGTTCAAGGTTGGGTTAGTGTGTTTAAATGCTAAGCAGATATGTCTGATTTTTGGTAAAGGGTTCTTGCTGTGTGCGCGCGCGCGCGTTTGTGTGGAAGTCGTCTTTTCCACGCTGAAACTAGGTCTCTTCCCCGCCACCTCCCCAATTCATGGTTAATTATTTAAACCCTATAATTCCATATTGTATTTGTGTACACGATTAAAAGAAAACTTGTTTCCGGATTAAATGTTTCTGGCTGATAGCCTCGAAACACCCCAGAGTTGTGTGATTTTAGCTAATATTGTTATTTTATTTTTAAAGTTCATATGTATGTATGTATTTTTTTAAAGCTGAATAATTACACTTTACATTAAAATATCCTAAAGGAGCCTAGGAGTACAGATTGCAACCATAGGGCACGCTTTACATAGGAGTAAGCCCCAGTGAACACGGTTGACTTGACTACAAAGGGTAAAACAGGCATTAGGATCAGGCCAAAGAGGCATAACTGATGCCAGAAATACAAAACTGAGGGTCTTCCTTACGTTCAAAGCACGGTGCTGAATGAAGGAGGGATGATTTTTGGAGGTTTGGAAATGGATTTGAAACGCTCCCTTCCACCCAGATTCCTGAAAATTTGGGTACTGCGGTTTGGATCTGCTAAATTTCTTTCCATTTTCCGTTTCATGTTGCCTGCAGGGAAGCCCTCCGTCCTCGCTGGGCCCCCTGCCCTCCCCACCCCAAATATAATGAGCGGACAAATTTCTCGAACTTCCAGGGAGGGGGTTTCCTGTTGTTTTATCTATTCTCTCCCCCCTCCCTTTGCCAGCAATGCCTTCGGTCTATTAAGAGAAGTTTGAGGTTTGCATTTTGTCTCTTTTCAGGTTAGGTCAAGGGAAATTTGGAATGGTAAAACAAGGGGCGGCCGCTTGGGCTTCGACACGACCCCTCACCCCATTCGACATGTAGAATTTGCACCACATTTTTTAAAGAGAGAGAGAGAGAAAAGATCTGTCGTGCAGGCGCACAACTAGGCCATTTGGCTTCCCTGCCCCTGACAATCCGGATTTCAACTTCCTTTTGAACCTGGATTTTTAATCCGGAACAAGGAATCGTTTTCTTATTAATCTGCTCTTAAAATAAAAAAAAAAGTCTGTCCTATGCACGCTGTAAATCCCATTCACCCTTACCTTGAAGTAAATCCCAGCGAAATGGATGGGATTTAGCATTTCAGAGTAAACCTGTTTGCTAGAATCGGGCTTTCGAATGCAAGAGGAAAGACAGGTTTTTTTTGAGGGGGGGAGCTTTCTTTCAAACCCTTCCCTCCTCGAAATGCTCACCTTTTTATAAAAGCAGGATTTGGATTGGTGAATTATTTTCTGGGGGGTCTTTATTTGTTTTCATAGAACCCTGGCCCTGAAAAGGTGGCCTAATTTCAAAGGATGTGCCCTGGGCCTGCATTTTAAACTGCAACCTCGTAAAGACTTTCCTTGCACAAAACCGGCTTTACTCTGGAGTAAACGCGTTTAGGGCCCCCCGCGTCTGAGAAAGAGTTTCAGTCCAGTTGGAGTGCATGTTTACTCGGAGACCATTCCCACGGTGCGCAACTGAACCTTTCCCCCTTGAACTGTGCTCTGGGATCGCGGGCGCCAAAGACCGCAGTCTCTGCAGCCTCTTTGGAAAGCCTGCTGAACAGAGTGGCACTTACTTCTGAGTAAACATGCGTGGAAATTGCCCGCCGAGGAAGCCCTGTACCTTAAAGTCCAGCTCGCCTTCAAAACAAAGCCTTAGATTGTCACGCTTCTCTCTTTCGAAAAAGAAAGGGACGCAATTCAAAACAAAAACACAAGGCCATCTCTTGAAATAAAAACCAGCGTTTCACAGTGATCCATAATGTTTAATAACGGGCACGTGTGTTTTAAATAGATTGCAGTGTTTCCGAGTTGAATTCTTGTCTTTGCGAAGAGGTGGGTGGAATGATCGTTTCCCTTAAAACCTTGTTTTTTTCTTTTTTTAAATTTCCTGGTGTTTATTCAGGCGAATGTTCCCCCCTTTCAAAGTTCGCGTCAGCGGCTTGGACAAGAAAGCGAAGTACATTTTGTTAATGGATATCGTGGCGGCCGACGACTGTCGCTACAAGTTCCACAACTCGCGCTGGATGGTGGCCGGGAAAGCGGACCCGGAGATGCCCAAACGCATGTACATCCACCCGGACAGCCCCGCCACCGGGGAGCAGTGGATGGCCAAGCCGGTCGCCTTCCACAAACTCAAGCTCACCAACAACATCTCGGATAAGCACGGCTTCGTAAGTCCCTCCCGTGCCCCCTTTCCTTCTTTCTGTGGGGTAAAAAGCTGGGTGGGGTGGGGGCCAGGAGAGGAGCTGCTGTTTTTCTTTCATTTAATTTCCAAGGCTTTGAAACATCCGCCCAACCTGCCACCTCCTCTGTGCCTCGGGGATGCCCGGCTCCTGTCACACAATTGACACGTGTCTCTATCTTCAGATAATCTCTCCGCTGGGAACTGGAGTTTTTTTGTGGGGGGGGCAGTGGAGAGAGAAAGAGAGATCAGGCAGGCATACCGTACCCTTTTTTTAAAGAAAGAAAAGCTGCGATCTGGAGCGCAGGATTTATTAAAGAGTTCAAGTCCTGGTTGAAATGGTGGAGTAGGGGGCTTTACTCCTGAGTAAACCACCTCAAGAACTGGCGCTATGGGGCTGCTGTTGATCAGCACAGTTTATCTCTCCCCATTCCCGCAACAGGCAGATCTTTTCCTTACTCTTTGAGATTGGGATTTTCTGGGGCGCCAGGCGCTGTACATCTGTGGCTCTTTAGAGCCGCATTAAAGTGAGTAGTCCTCAATCCGAAATGCCTGAGCTCTTGTTTACAACTCCCTTTTGCAAACCTCCTCGTTAAAGCTCTCCTTTTGGAGTCTGTATTTAGTCAACTTCGTAGAACTATTCCGTATATGACACGTATAATAGTGTGTGTTCCATATATAATTCGTACAATATCTCGTGTGTGTGTGTGTGTGTGTGTGTGTGTGAATGGATGTGCACGTTCTTGGTCCCCGTCTTAAGAACTTGCAACCTCTAACCTGAAAGACCGTACACTTTTAAATAAAATTTATCCGATAGAAATCTGTAGGGTGCTTTCCCCCCACACCTGATGCTAATGAAGGGGGCTTCTATGACCCATAGCTAATAAATCATACCTCCTTATCAGGAGTTTAAAATTCGTAACAACTTACACCCCTGCCAGAGGTTGTCTACTTCTGGGGTCAGGGGTGGGGTGGGATAATGGGCGGAAAATGCTCGCTGGAGAGCGTATCCTACACGCTTGTACACGGTTGACTTGGAAGTAAATTCTCATCGATTGCAATGCGGATTTAAATGCGCATCATAGCCTTGCGGATTTACATCCGCATCGTGTATGCGAAGAGATATGTTAACTTGGGAAGGAAATCCCATTGATTTCCCCGCTCGCCTTCCCATCGGGACCTCCAGTCAACGTTGCAATCCTATCCAGATTTGCCAGGGAAGTAAGCTTAACTGAGATCAACCGGGCTTAATTTAGAGTAAACACAAGTAACGTCGGGAGGGGAGATGGGCACTTGCTTGCTAACAGTGCGGTGGCAGGTCGGTTTACTGGGAAGGAATTCTGGTGTGTTCCGTGGAGCTTACTCCCAGGTAAGCCTGAAGAAAACAATGACCTGCATAAGTAACATTTCTTCCAGGGTGAGCGGTTAGTTAGTGCCTTCAGTTCAGCGAAGGCTGAGGCAATAATTCATGGAGGTAAATCCCATTGAATTCAACGGGGTTTACTTCTGAGTAGGCACGCATAGGATTATGCTGTGAGCTACTATTAACATTTCTGATCATTTTTTTTCACCGCAGGGGCTGGTTTGCTTGTTATTTATTAAAACCTATAAAGTCTTTTTTGGGGGGGGGCAAGACAGCTAAAGTGAATTAACAGGAAATATTTTTATCCTATAAAATAATCACCTTTATTTTTAATGCAGTTTAAACTCTGCTTCTTTTATTTGCCTTAAAATTGGCAGAAGGGGCTGGAAAAAACCCTTTTACTTAAAATGCTTGGGGGTATGCGTGTGCCTGTGTGAATGGATTCCAGTAGATCTTTTCAAAACTGGGAAATAGGGTTTGATCCTGGATTACTCTAAAATGTACGCCAGTAATTATTCCCCCTCCCCGTTGAGCAGAATATAGTACTTTTCATCACGTCTCCATAATTTTGCAAAAAGTGAAAAGGAGATAATTGTAATTTATATATATCTATATGTTTTGTGTGTGTTTGAGTGTTATATATAAAATTAAGATCCCTTAACTTTGGCGTGTGCGTGGAGGAAGCAGAAAAGAAGAAATGCAGGGATTATTTCAATAAATCTTGAGGTCATTTGTTGGGTGATGAATGACCTTTCTTTAAAGTCAAATTAAAAGGTTACTTAGAAGGGTTTTTTTGTGGTGTGGGGGAGGCATGTTTAGTTTTTACAGGTGTGTTCTTAGATGAACAGGCTAGTTCGTTCTCCTTCAGGATCCGGAAAATAGGGGGATCAACAGGCTAGTTCGATTCCTTTCCCTATTGATTAGGAAGTAACTGCTCTGGTCTTCAATGGAGCCTTAGGGAAGGAATTGTGGGAGCTGCGCTGTTCTCCCCCAATCACCACCCCTAGGAAATCAAACGCTATAATCGATAATGTACACGATGCTGCGTATACCTGGGGTGTGGGATCAAAAAACAATTCTGCTGCCTTAAAAAAAGAGAGGGAGATAGTTTCCTCCGCCGCCCCCCAGCCTTCAATGGGCCCTAGTCTCTCTCTGCGTTATACACACGCACTTTCAATGCCTTTCTAGGTTTGGCGAACTCAGCGCCTTCTTATATCCCTTGCTAAACACCAGGATGTCTTAAAAAGGCGAGCTTAACTTGCACTGATGTGGTTGTCCGCCCCCTATAATCTTGGCACAATTTTAGTACGCTGCCATAGACCCTACAGGAACAATTCAGAGCCCACAGTCCGAATGAGCGTGCTGCTTTATATATTTAATAATAGTTGTTGATAGATTTTGTGCCTTCTATTTATTTCGCAGTAGTCTTACCTGTAGGTCACGCCATTTCCGCAGCAGAATTTGCGGATCGTGTGTGTGTGTGTGTGTGTGTTTCTCAATGATTTGTTGGCACACGCCTGTTAAATATAAACGCAACCACCCCACCATCGCGTATTGAAAAAGCGCGCTGCAGTTTTGTGCAGCGTTGCGATCCAGCATTGCGGAATCCAATAAGTTGCGCTCTTTGCATTGAACAAAGGGGGCGGGGGGGGGGGAGGCGCGCTTAGCAGGCACGAAAGGGAAAGTTGTTTTTTTTTAAGTAACAAATATAATGATTTGCAGAGGTGGTCAATTTCACCTTTAATTGTAGAAAAAAAGACCTTGAGCCCAGCTCAGATAGAGAGAAGGCCCCGATCTAACGGAAGTGAAGCGTTTGTGTGTGTTTAAAGCCCAGGGGTTAACTTCACCAGCGAGAAAGTTTTAAGCCCATGTTTAAGACCTCTCTTTTTCCGTGCCCCTCCCTGCGAAATTAATGGGGGGGGGGGAGTACAGACCGAGCCTAGGTGGGCTTACTCGGAAGGAAAGGCCGCTCGTTAAAATGGGCACGACTCCCAGGCAACTGCGCCTAGTAGGACTGCAGGTTTTAAGGTGCTTCTGCGGGGCTGAATTGTGCCCAAATATTATTGGTACTTTGGGGGGGGGGAGAAGGAGACGGAGGGGTCTTTCTTAAAACGCCTTAAGTAAAAACAGGTCTATTGGTGGAAACTAAGAATGGGCAGAATTACCTTAAATAACGAAGCCCAGTCAAGTATCTTTGTTTTAATGTGGGGGACGGACACCCAGCTACTTTTTAAGAGGAAGGGAGAGGTTGGAAATTATTTAATTTCAACCACAACTCTGCTTTTAACATTGAAACCTAAAGGTTCACGACGCCAGCTCTAAAATGTAAAGGAAAGACCACTTTCACTAGCATAATAATTCCTCTCTTAATAATAATGATGATGACGATAAAAAAATGAACGAACCGATGGATCCTGCAGTCTATTTTTGTTCGGACGCTAATCCAGTTTCCTCTTGTTGAATTCGCTTTCAAGTTGATAATGTCAAGGATCGCAGCCCAGTCCTGGGCGGGGGGGGGGGCGGTTAATTTAAAGTGACTTCGACCCAAATAAGGGAGCTGTGCCTTCTCCAGCGTCGTTACCTTGGGAAGCAACGCCGTGCATGCATATTTACTCAGGAGTAAGCCACAGTGAGACAACCTAGGATTTATTTATTTTTTAAGGGTTTTTATTTATATCAGTTCCCAGCACGTTCACACACCTTGCTTCCAACCGCTTTGATTCTGGAGTGAATCCGATCCCACCGGCTTCGGTTGTGGCGGGATTTACTTCCAAGTAAGGTTTGCAAGCCCACAAGGAGGTGGGACATACACCCCGCTCCCAAATAACCACCGACATCAACTAGGATTTATGGCTAACGTGTTTAGGATGCTTAAAGGAGGGGGCAGATTTCCCCTTATTATAGCTTAGGATATAATACCATGTAAGCAGTTTATTTAGGGCGCTGTCCTGTGCACGCTTACCTGGGAGTAAACGCACTGAACGCAAGGGGGCTGCTTGCCTAGGAGTCTGTGCACTGCTAAGATATAAAGACTCCTCGAATTTAATGCAGATACTATTTTTTCAGTATGTAACAGCTCCAGTTTAACAATCCCCCCCCCAAAAGCAGTGGGTTTTAGAGGTGCCTAACTCTGCTTAATGTAACTGTATGGTTTATTAGTGCCCCCAGAATGAGTGGGTTTAAGGGGTGCCTAACTCTGTAAAGTCCTATAAGTCTTATGGATATAGCTGTTTGGATTCCGCAGGAATCCCAACTCTCCCGGGTTCTGGATCAGGCCGTATATTTGACCCTCAGGTACCTCCAATTTGATCCCCGGATTTGTGCTGTTTGTAATTCAGACGCTCCACCAAATCCCCATCCCGTTTACTCAGAAGTAAACGAAACCAAAAGCCCCCAATTCACTCAGCAGGATTGACTCCCGAGTTGGCTTGCGCTTTGCTGGGATTATAAGTGTTGTCTGGAGAACATTATAAGGGCAGGTAAATCAGTCCCAACGCCAGAACTCCAGACTGGGAGTGGGGGCCAGAGAATTAAAAAATAAATAAATCCCATTTGCAAGAGACGCCTCCGACGAGGAGAGCTCAGATCAAGCGAATAACCGGCGTCCCCATTTTAAGTGCTGTATCAGTCAAAATATTGGTGTGTGGGAGTGTACGAGAATATCTTCGTGTAAGAAAGCTTCATGCCATTATCATTCTTCCAAGGAATAGACGGGTTCGTTTAAGGTTCGTTCCGCACAGCATTTAATCCGAATTACCACCCTTCTCCATCCCGCGCTGGAGAACTTGCCGTTTTAAGGCGGCGGTTATGTATAACCTGACTTTTTTGGGGGTGGGGTGGGGAATAAGCCACGATGAATTCATCAGGGCTTACTTCCGAGTAAGGATACCCATGGAAGTGGCATCTATCTCCTCCGATCCTGAACACGTGTGCGTGTGATTAGGGGGTTCCAGACGCAACGTCGAAGACATCGGAAGTCTCCCTTCATTTCAAGGGCAAACGGCATCTCTGTGCTGTTCCCTGCCTGCTGCGGAGTAAGTCCCAGTGTGGGAGCTCCAATGGCGCTTACTTCCAAGGAAGTGGGTCCAAGGCTACGCAGTTTGTAGGCTGCTATCCTAACGCCTGCTTCCTGGGAGCAAGCCCCAATGAATTCAATAGGACTTACTTCTGAGTAGTGGTGGTTAGAACCGCCCTGAGCGGTCTCCCACTCTCTCTTGGGGTATTCTCGAGTTTCAAAAGGGTTTCTGCTGAACTCCTGGGCGCACTTACTTCCGAGGAAACATGCCCTAGGTGGGCTTGCGCCCTTTGCGTGGAGCGTGTCCCTCGAGTTAGGCTTGGCTGCTGCCTTCCTAACAAAGCGCTTTGGTCACATTGACGGCAATAATGTATCCTACTCCCTTGAGAGATAATTTGCTGCTGTTTGGATCGGGGCGTTGGGCATCTTCAGCCTCAGACACTCGAACAGCGCGATTCTTTCCTCCGAATTAAGTCCTGCGGATGTAAATTAAATGTGCCTTGGGCCCTTGGATGATAGAGATCGTTTGGAAGTAGGTCCATCCTAATCCACGATGTTTACTTCCAAGTAAAAGCACGTCCTAGCAGAGGCAGAAGCTACCCTCACGACATCGGGGTCTTCCTTCTAAGTAATCCTATTGGAAAGCCTGACATATCCAAAAGGGGAGCGCATTCCCTTCTCGGATAAATGGGGCATTTGAAACGTGCTTGGGAATTGGGATGAGTCTATAATCCTTCCAAGAATTCCTATTTCCCCTTGTCGTTAAATATTTTAATATATGGACGCCGAGGAAAGAGCAATTGACATAAAGCGACCTGGTCAATGTAATTTGGACGGTAATTAGTTGAGACTGGCTGAATTTCTCTTAATGGTTTTTCCATATATATATACATACACACAGTATATATATATCGTCTATTAGCTCAAATATTCGACCATGAGGCTCTTCACTATTTGGCAACCCATGTGGTTTATTCGGAAGCAAGCCCCAATGAGTAAAATGGAGCTTACTCCCAAGTAAGAGTGTTGAAAGTAGCATTTTTGTAGAAAAAGAAAAGAGGGGGAAAAATCTGCAAGGTTATGCTGCCGCGCGCACACCGCACATCTAAAGGCACACCGCCAAAGAAACTTGGGAGCTGTAGTTTGTTAAGGGTGCTGGGAATGGTAGCTGTGTGTGCGGCGAGCTACAATTCCCAGGATCTTCTGGGAATAGGGGGTGTGCCTTATGGGGTGTAGACAGCAGGAGAGTGTAAATGTACCTGTTGAAAGCGTCAACGTACTTGCTTCTAAGCCCCCCCCCCCCATCCATGGGAGAAAAGGATTGTTAGAGTTCGATCCGTTTCCCCTTCACACACACAACCGAGTCGAGAAACACGTCTTCTGGGTTTTCCCCCAGTTGACCGGAATTCAAGTTATTCCCCATCCCGAACGTTCCATTGCAAAGAACCCAGACTGGGCTTTGGACACAGGGTCTGATCCTGGGCACGTGTCCTGGGGAAGTCCATTACTCGGAAACCGAGGTACTTCCCGCCCCCCAACTCAACGCGATGGTTTGTGATTTCCAAGTGAAGCGACTCATTTCAGCTGCAACCCAGTCACGAAATCTGCCCGGATAATTCCAGATGAATTTGTTTATGAAAATTATAGAATTTCCTGTCGGATTTCCATACTTGTTCCGAGTTTAAATGAATTGAAAAGGGGAGGATATTTATGGCAGTACCTTTGGCAATTCGTTTGAGGTGGGGGGGGGAGGGGGGGTTAGTCACCTTTCACCGTTAAGTAGGTTCCTAACCAAAGGTTGTAGCCAACGTTAGTCATTCTCAGAGTAGACCCACTGAAATTAATGGACATTATAAGCTCCGGTAGCATTCAGTTGGATGCAATCCCGTGCTTCTAGGTGTCCAAAGAGCAAAATAGGATCTACTCCTTTTGCTGAAAGAGTTACACCCTTACCTGGAAGTAAACTTCGTTTAAAACTAGAGAGGCAATCAGTTTACTCAGGAGTAAAGACAGCACCCTATGCTCACTGCCATGGGAGTTAGGCCACCAAATACAATGGAGCTGAAGTTGTCAAACGGATGTAGGAATACTCTTAAGTTATTTTATTTTGTTTAGTTTCCTGGGACTTACTTCCGAGTAAATATGTATAACACCCAGATGCTGGGGGTGTCAGGAAAAATGGGCGTGCTTGGCACTTGCTCTTTGAATACCTCCCCCCTTCGGACACGATCCAGGGATAGCAAAACATTTCTATGTCCCACCATTGAGTTTCATGGGGTCAGTATGACGTTTGTGCCTAAAATTCTCCCATTGAATTAAATGGGGTCTGAAAGGGTTTCCTTCATTAGTTTACCTGCCCTTTATTTATTATCTTATTATTGTTACCATTATTCATGCAGAAAGAAAAACAGCTTTCTTTTTTTATCTTTTCCCTTTGTTTTATTTGTGGGACTGCTGGACATTTCTGTGTGTGGACAAAAGGCAAACCCAACTGACTCCCTTTGAATGTCCTGCTAAAATAACCTATATTTCCTTCCAATAATATTATCTATTTGTCAAGCAACTGAATTGGCCTTTTGGGGGGGAAACAAATTTGCCTTACAATTATGTGTGTGTGTTTCATCGGGTATCAAACTCTATTTAAAAACAGCTGTAGAATAGTGTTGCAAAGAATTATGTCTCTTTTGCTGGACTTATAGCAAAACACACACACACATATACAAACTTAAACAGGTTTGAGACTCTGCACACTTTTATACCACAGTCATATAAATGTATACTCAGAAGTAAGCCTCATTGAGTTCAGAGGGGCATATTCCCAGGTAACTGTGAATAGGATTGCAGCCTTCACTTTGGGTGTAAATGCTGCTGAAGCCTGGAATATTTATTTCCGGATCAATTGCACAGGAGTATATTTTACGTTTATGAAGACCCATTACATTCAACACCTTTGCTCTTTCGTCTTGCATCAGGCCATAGCAACTTCCGAAAGTATGCAGCATATATAAACCCACAAAGTGTAAAATAGCATATACAAAACACACTTTGTCATTTAAAATATGACCAGTTCTTTCTCCTGAACCTTAGGCACTTTTGTTTTAAAGTGCACCAGCAGTCAAAATCTTAAGCCTTTCTGTGAATTGATTGTGTTGTTGTTGTTGTTGCTACAGTGTTGTTGTTATACCTCCCCACCTCCTGCAAAAAAAAGGGAGAACAACAAAAATCCAGGATAAGATTATGGTATAAAATCTAGGTAACCTAATTCACTGCTTTTTGTTTTACTGGGATTGCCTGCCTGAGCCTATGAGAGTTTACGCGGAAGGGAAGCCTTGAGTTCAATAGGCCTTACTTGCAGGAATAAGTGGGATCAGAATGCAGGTTTCATTTTCCTAGCTGGGGGTTCCAGAGTGAAGGCCTTGGCTCAGTGCTAGAGAATCTGCATTGCATGTAGAAGATCTCGGGTTCAACTATTGGTCTCCCCAGATAGGGATGGGAGAGTTTCCTGCCTAAAACTCTGGAGAGCTGCTGCCTGTCAGTGTGGACAATACTGAGCTAAATGGATCAAGGCTGCTTTTTTTGCTCCTTTGTTATAGGACTGCAGCCTGCCTACCCTCTCCATTACCACCACCCTTTTAACTTGCCTCCAAATGTGATTTTCTATATAAATATAAGTATAAATATCAATTGGGAAGAGGAAAAGGGTGATTTTTTTAAAAAAGAAAAACAAACCTACTATATATATTAAAAAAGTGAATTTGCCAAATATATTTGTTTTGTTTGTTGCCTTGATTTTAACCACCTCTTCTCTCTCTCTCCCCCCGCCTTTTTCTGAAATATAGACCATCCTTAATTCGATGCATAAATATCAACCGAGATTCCATATAGTTCGGGCCAATGATATTCTCAAGTTACCCTACAGCACTTTTCGAACTTACGTGTTTCCCGAAACGGACTTCATAGCAGTGACTGCTTATCAAAACGACAAGGTAAGAGACACAGATAGACTGCCATTGCATCTGGAGGTTTTGTTTTGCTAGCATTCTGAATAGACTTGCCTTCCATTAATTTGTTCCCCCTCCCATTCTTTTAAAGTCAAAATAATTCACGACATGTTCCTATGACACCACCACCTTACGGACCCCATTTGGACCATTGCAATTTATGGCAATCCAGCTATTGCTTTATGATCTGAAGCTGGCGAGCAGGGATTAAATTTCCTCTTAGCTTCATAGCTAGTGAGCTGAGCGAACTTGGAGCAATCTCTATCAGCCTCAAAGTCTACCACACAGGGACAATAACACCTGTGGGACAGGGAGGGAAAATCACATACTGTATGCAGTCACATTTTCCCAGAGAAAAGGCTGGGTTTAAAACTCCATTGATGCATTCAGTTATTCAGCAGATGCACAAGCTTAAAAAAGAAGAAGACAGCTCTCTGCCCTCTAGGAGCTTACAGTTCAAATTCACATGAATTATAAAGATAACGCCCTCCCTGCTTTCCATAAGTTAATTTATTTCTTCTTTATACCTTCCAACTCTTCAATTCTATGATTCTGTGTTTGAAACATTGCACTAATTCACTAAGTGGCTAATAAGATTGTAGGATTACAGATTTCTTCTTTTTTGGGTGGGAGTGGGGGCAGAGGGAATAACTGGTCCAAAGCAAAGGAGGAAATGTTGCAACTCCCATATCTCTTCCGTACGTGCCTTGATAGATCCCATTTTTTAAGTCAAAGAATTACATAGCCACACATTACTCTGATGGTGATATTCCATCTTTCTCGCCACCCATCCAAAAAGGAGGCCTCATTGCAACCTGTAGGACATACTCCTGAGTAAACATACATAGGATCTGATGACAGGGCGGATGTGCACAGCCTGATCCCACCTGCATTTACTTGGAAGGAAGCCCAATTGTGTTCCTCAAGGTTTCCTCGCAGGAAAATGTGTTGGCTTCACAGCTAAGCATTGCATCTTAGTCTACATATATGTGGGGTGGGGGTTGTATGTGGAGGGAGGGGGGGCGAGACTCTCTTTCTCTGTGCAGTCTCTTCTTAAGCCGCTTCAGTTCCTCAGTCAGCTTCTCAAACTGCAGTTCTAAAACCGAATTGCAGAAACTAGATTTAGGAATGTCTCTTAAACTGAGTCAGAGCACTGGCTCATTTTTCTAAGTACCATCGCAACAGTTTCAGCTAGGGGGACAAGTTCAGGCCTACCTGGACAGGCTTTCTGCATGAAAAGCAGATGCTCCATCACTGAGCTAGGGCCCTAGCAGGGAACAAGCAAACAGGCCCATTTCTGCTTAACTGGTTTTGGTGTCTTTATTCGGAATGGAGGCAAGGACACCAGTTCTTGTGGCGAGATAGAGCTTCTTCTTCCCCCCTCTCACTTCCCAGCTCAGCCCCTTGCTAGAGAGAGCCTGGGCCTGTTATTTCGCCTCAGGTCGCTCTCCTCGATGGGGGCCTGCTTTTGAGCAATCGTTAATCGATTACAAACTTTGCCATAAACTTTACGAGGCAAACAGGCCCACCAGGGTGCTCATCGCTGGCTGTCAATTAATCCTGCAAGGCAGTGGGTGGGACCAGCTGTGTGTGTGTGTGTGTGTGTGTGTGTGTGTGTGTGTGTGTGTGTGTTAGAGAGAGAGAGGAAGAGAGGGAGAGAGGAAGAGAGGGAGAGCTAGAGAAATAAAAAACGCCTAGCATTTGATGTTAGGAGGTATAGCAGATGTCAGGCTTGCGGGATCTACTTTGCGTTTTTATTACAACCCTGAGATCCACCGTCCAGAGCCGGGTTGAGAAAGGAAAACGCTTGAAAGTTAAATAATTCCGAGCCAAGGACATTTGTTTTATGTACTAGAGCTAATGGTCCTCCCATACAATACTGTGTTCCTGGTTAACTCCTCAGGCAGCTGTCTCCCACCTAGGAACATGGGAGCTGCCTTATAGTGAATCAAACCACTGGACCCTGTAGCTCAGTGACTGGCAATGGCTTTCCAGGATTTCAAGCAGGAAGCCTCTCGCAGCCTTACCTGAAGATGCCATTGAGGAATGAACCTACCGCTGACCCACAGCCCTTTCCCTTCATTTTAGGAATATAATTTAGGCTGGGAGCGGGGGAGTCTGAAATCTTCATTGATCTGTTTCAAAACCACCCTGAGGTTTGCATGTAGTTCCTCACCTACCTCACAACATTTACCTCACTGCAGGGATGATGTCTCTGCCAACGGTCTCTGCATGGAAAGAAAAACCCCACCACATAAACTTAAACAGGGGGAAGGGGTCAGGTTACATTAGCATGCACCTAAGGGTTAAACCATGGGTAGGAAAACTAAGGCCCTGGGGCCGGATCTGGCCCAATTGCCTTCTAAATCTGACCCATGGACGGTCCAGGAATCAGCGTGTTTTTAGATGAGTAGAATGTGTCTTTTTATTTAAAATGCATCTCTGGGTTATTTGTGGGGCCTGCCTGGTGTTTTTACATGAGTAGAATGTGTGCTTTTATTTAAAATGCATCTCTGGGCTATTTGTGGGGCATAGGAATTCATTCATTTTTCCCCCTTCAAAATATAGTCCGGCCCCCAACAAGGTCTGAGGGACAGTGGACCGGCCCCCTGCTGAAAAAGTTTGCTGACCCCTGGGTTAAACTCCCAAAGTTCCCTTTATGATGAGCAACCAAAATGGCGCAAAGCAGCGAGCAAGCTTTGGAGTCCACCAGAGCTCTTCATCAGAGGGATATTAAGCAAGGGGGGGGCGCATGAGGGGCAAACTGATTGCTGCTAAAGCAAATGGGGGAGGGAGCATGTTTGTTAGGCAAGAGCTTCATCTCGCCTATAATTGCACAACCTTAATTTGCTGGTGTGCAAATGACTCCCACCCCAAAACTGCAAAAATAGCAAGGTAGGGCAGGGGCAAAGACTCACTGCCTGAAACCCTGGAGGGAGATCTGTTGCCAATCAGGGTAGACAAGACTGAAGAGATGTGGACTCAGTTGTTCTGCCTCAGTTTCCCATACTGCAGATGCGGTGATTGTGCCCCTTACCTCAAAGTAAATTCCGATCGAAATGGGTAGGGCTTAATTTCAGGACAGAGGAAAGTTGCTGAACGATGTTCTCAGACCTTCCCTGAGTCCTAGAAAGATGGATTTCTGATTGGCGTTGCTGCTTGGAGTCCTGGCTGAGGCGCCTTCTCTCTATATATAAATCTAAGGAGCACTTTGGAAGGGGGCAGACTCACGCTGGAGAAAGGGGGAGAAACAGAGCAATGCAAATGGAACATGGGGCTGGAGCGCCTCTCCTCTAAAGAAAAGTGAGGGGTGCATTGAGATAATTCCCAGACTCTAGATTCAAATATCATGTGCTCCCACAGGACGGGAAACCTGTGGCATTCCAGATGTTTGTGGGCTCCAGCTCCCATTATCCCCTGACCATTGGTCATGCTGGCAGCAGGGCCTGACGGGAGCTGGAGTCCACAAGAATATGCAAGTGTTCCCCATTCCTGGCCTTGAGAACATTTTTTTTGTATTACTACTTCTGTGGCCTTTTCAGTGGTGGCTCCCGGCTTGTGAAATGCTCTCCCCCGGGAAGCTTGCCTGGTGTCCTCAGTGCATATCGTTAGGTACCAGGAAAAAATATGTTCCTTTTTAACCAGGACTTTGGCTTCTAAATATCTACAGCTTTTGGCACGGGTGGGATGGTGTGTCACTAGTTTTAATGTATGGATGTGTTTTTTACTAAAAAATATTGTAAGTCGCTTTGAGTTGCTATGGCAAAAAGGTGACTAATAAATTTAATAAATAATAATAATAAAATTAGAGGAGAAAGAAAGAAAGAAAGAAAGCAAATAATGCAAATAATGGAAAAATAAGATGGGTGTCTGATCCAGCCATTTTTTGGGGGATGTGTGTGTGTGTAGGGATCTAAAAGTAATCAGCAGGCTAATATATAAAAATGTAAACAATAATCTCCTGTGAAACGGTGGAAAGAGTGAGAGATGTCTGTGTGTGTATCGGGAGGGGAAAATACAAGAAAATTGCGCATCCATTTTTAAAATGCGGTATCTGCGGGACATATTACCAAGCCATGAATAATTGAGGGGTCTCCTGTAGCCAGTCGCCAGAGCCCATAAAAAAAAATACTCCTGGCGTGCGCTCCTTTCCCCGAGACCAGATAAGAATAGCGTTTAAACAGCCTGGCCGTGTTTTCGTCGCCACCTTCCCTCTTGGGGGCCGTGAGAAACTGGGGCCGGGGAGCCGAGCAGCTTCCTATCATTAAACCCCGATGAATAATTCAGACAAAACCTCAACATCGTTTTTAATAAAGCCTGCGGTGTGTTTTAAACCGGAGGGGATTCGGAGCTGATCTATAAAAGTGAGCGGATGAGATGCTTTCTGGGTTGAATTGTAAAAGGGGAGTGTGTGTACATGTGGTTTTGTTTTGGGGTTTTTTTGGGGGGGGGCGGGGTTGCAGACGCAACTAAAAACCGATTATCCAAAATCAGGGAGGGGGACTCTGTGTCCCTCCAGATGCTGGACTACAACTCCCATCATCCACTGGCTATGGATGATGGGAGTTGTAGTCCAAGGACAGTTGGAGCTCCCCCCTCCCCGATTTTCCTATCCATGGCTACTCTGGAGTAGCGTGACCTTCAGACCCTCCAAGTGTCCCTGTTTACTCTGCGGGAGCTTGGCTAGCATTGCGCTATGAAGCTGCCACGGCATTCAAGCGGTTACTTGGAAGTAAACCCCACTGAATTTTACGGGGCTGGCTTTTTAGTAAAGGAACAAGATGGGAGTTCTGGCACAAAGGATATGGTGATGTTTTCCATTTCCCCTCCCCTCTCTCCCTCATCCCGATTTGTTCCAAGTGATTTTTAAATTGCTAATATCTGGAGGAATCGTCAGAGTGCTTTTGGTTATTGTTTTTAAAATCCGACTTCCAAATTTTCTTCCCCTAAACGGAGGGGGAGGGATATAAAGTGTACCGTATTAAGAATGGGTGTCCAGCACCTAGCACCGCGGGGAGGGGGGAGAGAGCAGGGTTGCCAGGGAATTTCCAGGAGCTAAAGTGACACAGCTTTGTTTGGGGAGGGGAGAGTGTCCATCAGGTGCCATGCTTGAATTAAAAGAGGTTTGTCCTTTAATTTTTCAGATCACCCAACTGAAAATCGATAACAACCCCTTTGCAAAAGGATTTCGAGATACCGGGAATGGCAGGAGAGAAAAAAGGTATGTATGAATATTAATCAAGTCTGGGGATTTTTTAAAAAATCAGGACACCCACCCACCCCTTTTCGTTCCTCCTCCTCCTCCTCCTCCTCCTCCAACTCCCCTCTCAGGTGTTGACCTGCAGATGTTTTGGAACCCCCTTAACTCCTGACCATTCATTGGTCATGCTGGCTGCAACTTCTGTAGGGCACCAAGTCTGCCTGCCTTTGAGTTGCCTGTTGTGGCTGCAGTCTGAAAAGCCCTTGATGGAAAGCAACCCCACTAAGCACACTGGACTTACTTCCAAGCAAACATCTGTGGGATTGTGACCTGCACCTTAATCTACAAATGTTTACATGATAGTTATTAATAGCAGTAGCAGTAGCATTTTATGTGTTGTTCCGCCGGCGTGCCCATTTATCAATTACTATTGCTACTACTGTTATTAAATAATGATTTATCAAAGCCACAATAATAATCAGAATATTATTAATAACCATCCTAATAAAAACTGCACCATCAGTATGCTCGTTATTATACTGATGGTCCAGTTAACAGAAACAACCATGAATAAACATAGGCACATTGGTGGTGCAACAATGAATGTGTGTGTGTTTTTTAAAAAAATATATCATTACAGTATTATTGTTAGTGCCATCAGCATTCCTGCCACTTCTCAGAGCCCAGGTCTCTGCCCAATAAGCGTAATAATCTAAAATGTGACCCAGGGAAAGTAGAGGCAGGGTTAAGCAGGGGAGAAATATGTGGCTGTCTCAGTTCCACGGGTTTAGGTTTGGTTACAGGTATATATATATCTGCAGTTACCAGTGAATAGCCAGTGATCCCTTTCTCTGGCTGTTCCTCTCAAAACCGAAAAGGCAGAGACGGAGAAGGAGGCTCTGGGCACCTACCTCACTGACCATCTGTTTCAAACTTAAGACTAAAGCCTGCTTTTTGTCACTGAAAGGAAACAGCTCACTCTCCCCTCTTTGCGGATGTACGAAGATCAGTGCAAGGCAGACCGGGATGGGGGCGAATCGGATGCATCTTCGTGTGAACCGGCCCCCGTCCGGGAGTCGCTCCACTCCCCCTTGGGCACAACTCCCAGTCCCCTAAGGCTCCACCGGAACAGCAGAGGTAAAAAGCTTCTGAATACCTCACTCCAAAAAATAATAATCTTGAGTAGGAACCGTAGTTTGCTCAGGGTGCTAGGAGCTGTTGCTCTGCTAGGGGAAAACTACAGTTCCCAGGATTGTACTTTTTTGGGGGGGAAGAAATGTGCTTTAAATGTGTGGTGTGGTCCTGTTGAACTTTGTGGGGGCTCTTTTTCCCTTCTGAAACTACAAAAGACTTTGTTGTTGCTTTCTGCAGGCTGATCCCAGGCATGATTTACTCAGAAGTAAATCCCGCTGGCTTCAGTGGGGCTTCCCCCAAATGATCCCACATAAAGAGCTCCTGGCCTTTCAAAGTGCTATATTTTTCTCCAGGTTGGATGCAATGGGAAGTTTACTTCTGAGTAAACAGGTGCAGGACTGGAAGGCAGGCCCTTGTGTCCATGGGGTTGTATCTATTGATTAACAACAAAATTAATATTTTCCCCTTGAGCGAGTTCAAAGCGCTTAACACATCTTTTCGCAACAGGCTTGTGAGACTGCCAGTGTGAATATCATTCCCACATTGCTGAGTGGGGTTAGGGCAGCTATTTTACCTTCTTGTACTTGCGATGTGAAAGATCGAATTATTTTTCTTTTAATCAGCAACAGAACGGGGGGGTTCAGATCGCACTGAGCAATGCCTCATTTTAACCAGCACGTTCGTGGGTGTGCGTTAATTCAGCACCAAGCCGTGTCGCCTTGAAAATCTACCTGTCTAGCATCAGCCATGCTCAGAGGAGACCCATTGAAATGAATGGACAGGATTCATTTTTAGCTGGATACAAACCAGTGGCTCTGGTTAACTACACCTCAGGAAAGTGTGCTTAGAATTGCAATGTGGAATAGGCACCTGAAATAGCATTCCCTAGGGCTAAACCCTTGAAACCTATGTAGGATTTGGTGAGATTCCTGCATTGCAGGGGGTTGGACTAGATGACTCTCGGGGTCCCTTCCAACCCTACAATTCTATGATAATTTAGGAACACAGGAAGGTGCATATTGAAATCTAATTGGAATCATCTATCAATATTTTATACCTAGGAATATACTTCCCTGGGGGTAAACCTCATTTGAACAGAGTATGGCATTGTCCTGCCCCTTCCCAACCAATCTAATCTAAGATATAAATCCTAAAGTGAGGAGTTTCTTATCAAGATTGCTGAGCTTAATTTAAGAACCAGAGTGGATTTATTTTTATTTTTGGATTTTATTTCTGTCGAAAGAAAGAGTCTGCTTCGATGGGCTTCTCATCAACTCAACTCTCTTTCCTCACTCCCAGCCAATAAAAATATTAGCTTAGAAAGAAAATTGGAGAGCTTTCAAAGGGGAGAGGAAGAAAAGAAGAAAAACATCATTACATTTTTAGTGATTTAGCTTGCAATCCCCCCTCCCCCCCCCGTTTTACAACCTGTAAATCAAATTTGCAAAATAGAACCCACTGGATTTAAAAGGCAAGAGACTCAACAACGCAATCCTTTACCTGTCTACTCAGAAGTAACTCCTGCAGAGTTAAATGGGGCATGCGTTCAGGGAAGTAAATTTAGGATTTCGCTGCCTCAGACTTCAAGATTCAGATAAATCTTTTTTGTTACGGATTTGCAGCCTGATCTCAACGACGAATAAGAAGTCTTTTCCTTTGTTGCCTGCATAATATGCATGCATATTTTTAGAAGTATTTTTCATGGATATCACAGCACTTTCCAAGTAAACATCATTTAGGTTCAGGATTAGCCCCATTGAATCTGGTGGTTCGGTGTATTTCCACTTCCATAAACTGATACAGGATGTTTTTATATATTTTCCCTCTTCAGTGCATCTTACTCGCTTGCTCTCCACTCCCAGCAACAGATACGATCCTTCTGACATCTTATTTTTCTTCCAATTACCCATTTCAACAAGGGCAATTTCCCCCATCAAAACAGATCGAATTTCTCTTCCAGTTGGGGGAAGGAAAGAGGGCGAGGAGAAGGCGCTCCTTCACTGTTTGCTTGTGCAAAATTATGGATTTTAAATAAAATGGAGTAAGAAACCTTTCCCCCCTCCTTTTTTTACGTTGCACGATAAGTGGATCTCTCCAGGTGTTGACGTGATTGAAATGGCCAGTTTTATTATGCCTACGCAATGGAGAGCAAGCAGTATATATACACAGTATATATAATTTCTCTCCATCACTTTGCTGGCGAGAATGGTCAGTCGCTGGGGCGAATGACCCTGTTCTCTATCGCCCCCTGGCAGCGGCTCTAAGCACACTTCATTTCCTTCTTCACCTGTCTATATTTCTCCACTCCTTTGAGGGTTGGTTTTTTGTTTTGTTTTTTTGCAGTCTCCTCCAGCGACCTCAAATTGGAAGGTCAATCAGCTGCGCTGCTAGTTGATCATTTATTACAGAGCAGAAGAGTATTCGTTGCATCAGTCCACAGACCATAGCAGAATGGTGGCCATCTAAAAAGAATCGAATAAACAAATAGGAATCCCCATCTCAATATGGCTTTCCCTTCCCCTTATGTGTTGTGAGGTCTCTGTCTCTCACAGTCCATTCCATTTTAAACTGACTTGGGCTGTCATCCTATGCTCCAAGGATGGAGAACCTCTGGGTGTCAAATGCAGCCCTGTCTCACTCAGGTTGTGGAGTTGGACCAAAGAGGGGGTCTGGGGGCCATATTTGACCCGCAGGGTGGAAGTTCCCCAACCCCTGATTTATTCCATTGTAAGTGGTTTCTTGTAGGGACGCGGGTGGCACTGTAGGTTAAACCACAGAGCCTAGGACTTGCCAATCAGAAGGTTGGCAGTTCGAATCCCTGCGACGGGGTGAGTCCCGTTGCTCGGTCCCTGCTCCTGCCAACCTAGCAGTTCGAAAGCACATCAAAGTGCAAGTAGATAAATAGGTACTGCTCTGGCGGGAAGGTAAAAGGCGTTTCCGTGCGCTGCTCTGGTAGAAGCGGCTTAGTCATGCTGGCCACGTGACCTGGAAGCTGTACACCGGCTCCCTCGGCCAATAAAGCGAGATGAGTGCCGCAACCCCAGAGTCAGCCACGACGGGACCTAATGGTCAGGGGTCCCTTTACCTTTACCTTAAGTGGTTTCTTCTCTGAATACAACAACAACAACATCCCCTTGCTAGAGATTTGGTTAATGTGCACTTCTGTTTGACAACGCATAGACAAAGGGAACTTCGAGATGACCCCGTTTATGGAGTTTCCATCTTGATTTGTTTGCAGGGAAATGAGACAAGGCCTGCTATTTAATGAGGGTTCATTCTGATTTGTTCACGGGGAGGTTAGATAGAACACTGCATTTGTCGCACACTTTCCAATGCATTCCCCTCCCCATCACTTTCCTTCTTGCAAAAGAAAAAGGCTGATCTGTTGGGGGAGGAGGTTTACTGTGTAAGACCCTCCAAGTGTGCAACCCAAATTTGACATTAGAAAGTTGGGGACTTTTTTAGTTTGGAGAAAAGTCGAGCAAGAGGTGACATGATAGTAGTTTATAAAATTATATATGGCATGGGGAAAGTGGATAGAGAAAGGTTTCTCTCTCTCTCTCCACTTGAAATCATGGAAATCCAATTTAGCTGAATGTTGGAAGATTTCAGACAGAAAGAAGAAAGTCCTTCTTCATGCAGCGCAGAGTTAAACTACAGAACTACAGAACAGGAGGCAGTCATGGCCACCAACTAGGATGGCTTTAAAAGAGGATTATACAGGTTCTTAGAGGTTGAGGCTCTCTTTGGCTACTAGCCCTGATGACTATGTTCTGCCTCCACTGTCTGAAGCAACAATAATTCTGAATAATATCAGCTGCTGGAAACTGCAGCAGGGGAGAGCATGGATGTACACAGGTCATGCTTGAAGATGGGGCTACCTTTGAAGGTGACCTGGAAACTACAAATAATCCAGAATGCGGCAGCTAGACTGGTGACTGGGAGTGGTCGCCAAGACCACATAACACGGGTCTTGAAAGACCTACATTGGCTCCCAGTACGTTTCCGAGCACAATTCAAAGTGTTTAAAGCCTTTAAAGCCCTAAATGGCCCCAGCCCAGTGTACCTGAAGGCGCGTCTCCACCCCCATCGTTCTACCCGGACACTGAGGTCCAGCGCTGAGGGCCTTCTGGCGGTTCCCTTACTGCGAGAAGCCAAGTTACAGGGAACCAGGCAGAGGGCCTTCTCAGTGGTGGCACCCGCCCTGTGGAATGCCCTCCCACCAGATGTCAAAGAGAACAACTACTACCAGACTTTTAGAAGACATCTGAAGGCAGCCCTGTTTAGGGAAGCTTTTAATGTTTGATGCATTACTGTATTTTAATATTTTGTTGGAAGGCGCCCAGAGTGTTTGGGGAAGCCCAGCCAGATGGGCGGGGTATAAATAATAAATTATTATTATTATTATTATTATTATTATTATTATTATTCCCGGAGGTGGCCACTGTGAGAACAGGATTCTGGTCTAGCTGGGCCATTGGCCTGATCCTGCAGGCTCCTCTTATGTTAGTATGTGATTGAATCTTGGAAGTAACCAAAGGTGTAAAAGAAACCCAACAATACAAGAGCCCTCTTTAATTTTATTTCCCCTCTCCTTTTGCAGAAGACAAGGGCAGCGACCAAGAGCTGGAGAAGCTCCCCGAAGGGAAGAGAACAAGCCCTGACCCTGGGAACTGCAGCCCCCACAGCAGCCCCCGTTTGCAAGGCGGCGAAGAGCGGAGTAAAGAGAGAGCCGGCAAAGCCAGCAATCTCTCCAAAGAGAGCGCCGCCGAAGGGGGCATTTTCAGCCCCCTGGGCTTGGAGAAAGACAAGGTGGAGGGGCGCAGGAAAGAGGCACCCCAGCCGTCTCAACAGCAGCAGCAGCAGGAAGGATCCAAGAAAGAGGCTCCGGATTGCGCCACCCTGGGGGGCAGCAAGGAGTCCTTTGCCCCGCTGATGGTGCAGACAGACAGCCCTCCGCACCTGAGCGCTGGGCACCTGCAAAGCCTGGCGCTCTCGGGGCTCCACGGCCAGCAGTTCTTCAACCCCCTGAGCACCGGCCAGCCCTTCTTCATCCACCCGGGACAATTTGCCATGGCTCCCGGGGCCTTCTCTGCCATGGGCATGGGCCACTTGCTGGCGTCAGTGGCAGGCGGAGGGAGCCTGGAGAACGGAGGTCTTTCTGCCTCGCAAGGGGCAGCTGGCACGGCCACCCCCTTCCCTTTCCACCTCTCCCAGCACATGTTGGCTTCTCAGGTAAGGCGGCAAGGTGCGGGGAGCTGTTTTGGGAGGGGGAAATGGCTAATGGTGCTGTGGTGTAATAACCTGGGCAGCCCGGTACCCAAGTAGATCAATGTGCTTTGCCTATAGGAGGCCCTAGGTTCACTCCGCACTGTCAGCTGCTGTGGCGACCAGGTAGCAGGTGATGGGAAAGACTGGAGAGTCACTGCCAGTCAGAGAAGGCAGTGCTGGACTGGATGGCCAAACAGCCACACCTGCTATAAGGCAGGTTCCTATGTTTCTGCAGTCTTTTCCTAGGGCAGCATGGCTAAGCGCGAAGGCTACAATCCTAGGCAAGCCCCTTTGAACTCAAGCAATGGGTTTACTCCTGAGTAAACATGCACGAGGACAGGCTGCACCAAGGCTCAGTTTGTGAACTAGGGAAATCTCTGCAGTTCAAATCCGGCCCTTTGCCAGCCCTCCTGACTTGGTATTCACTCCTGCATCTGCAAAATGGGTATAATGAATGACCATATGCAGTGGTTGTAAAGGCCTTTGGCAGGATGCTGAGCCAGATGGGCCTTTGGCCTGATCCAGCAAAGGAATGAATGAGCATATGTAGGCAAATGAGCTTTCTCTGTGTCATCCTTGCTGCCACCTGGGGAGTGTATACATAGTTTCTGTGCAGGATATGAGAGCTTTTGAGAGTTTGGTCCAGGCAACCCGTATGCTGACGCAGGAATTTCACGGCGGTCTGTTCCATGAGCTTTTACTGGAGTCAGCGGTGGAAGCTGATCCTTTAGGGCAAAGGGGGAACTGCCACACCAACCTCAACCTGCCTTTCGCCTGCTTTCTTATTTACAACCACACCAGGAGGTGACCCTGCCTGACATCTCCCTCCTTTTTGCCTCCTGTAGAACTCAGCCAGGTGGTGGATGGAGACAAAACTATAATTAAGTTGGCCACACTCTTCATTTGCTCTGGCTCCACCTACTGCGTTGACTCCTTGTGTTCTGCCCCACCTATTCCAATGGGCACCAGCCACTGCAGTGGGTCAGGAAATTCTTCCTAACGTTCATCCCCAATCCATTTAATTTTCATTTGGTTCCATTGGCTTTTTCCTACCCTCTGGAACAACAGGAAACATGTTTGTTCCATCACCCGCTTGACACCCCTTCAAATACCTGAAGACAGCTATCATAGTCACCTCCTAATAATCTCTGGGCTAAAGACACCCAGTGCCTTCGACCGTTCCTCATCTGGCTTGATCGCCACCATTACTGGTCTCATTAAGGAGCCTGGGATAAGCCTCAGAGGGAGTTATTGGGACTTCAGTACACAACTGTTGTCATTAGGGTGCCCTTGGGGAACTTTCCTAGAAGCACAAGACTGGGACATCATAGGAACGTAGAAGCTGCCTTGTACTGAATCAGACCACTGGTCCATCTAGTTCACTATTGTCTGCACTGGCTGGCAGCAGCTTTCTCCAGGGTTTCAGGCAAGGGACATTCAAAGCCCTATCTGGAGGTGCTGCCAGGATTTGAACCCGCGAGATTCTGCGTGCAAAGCACAAGCACTGCCACTGAGCTATGGCTTTTCCCCGGCAGGAGCTGAAACAAGGCTATGTGTTGGGCAGGGAGGGTGTGCTTGCTTTTGTAATGCTCTTTGCTCACGGGAAGAAGAAAAAAAGACATTTTAGGAAATAAGTGTCTTGTGGCTCTAACTAAGAGGTGTTTTATCTATCTGTTTGGGTTTGATTTGAAAATTGGAAGGGTTTTTATTTTTTTGTCCAGAATGCATTTAATTGCATCCGGACTGGGTGGTGTTGGGTGCTGCCCCGGTTGAGACTGCTGGGGAAGAAGGCAGGAAGATGGTCAACAGATGAAATCAGAGCCAATTATAGGCAAGACCCGCTCCCTGATTGGTAACAGGCAGGAGAGGGCGGGCTGAGGTCAGGCTGTGATTGGTGGAGCAGTCGCCCATTTGCCCGGTTGGGTATATTACACTGCAGTGTTAAAACATGAGAGGGGATAAGGCTTTTGCCAGAAGGTGAACCTGCCAGTGCTGGGATGCGCTTCAGTAATTCTGGCTTGTCGCCTGCTCTGCACCTGGTCACCTGTGGCATATAGATTTTTCTGCTAGCCATAGTCAGGGGACCTTTTGTAAACTAGAAGATGACGAGTTGTTTTGTTTATGTGCCGCAAAAGACTACTTGTCACAGCAACGTGCAGACAGGTAGGGCCAAGAACATAAGCCCTGCAGTTGGGTCAGGCCAAAGGAGGACCTGTCAAGCATCTCTTTCTCAGTGGCCAACCAGATGCCTCTTCTGGGAACCTCACTGAGCACCGCAGTGGCTCCCCCTACTTTGATTTCCCAGCAGCCAGTCTTCAGAGGCATCTGAGATTGGAGGCAGCCCATAGTCATCATGGCTGGTAGCCATCAACAGGCTTCTCCTCCAGGAATTCCTCAAAGCTGGTGGTCACCACTGGATCTTGCATGCCAGAGTTCTAACTAGGCGCTGCGTTAGTCATGTTACTTTTGTTGGCTTGCAAAGGCTGAAGGCTGATGTGCATATCTGGGGCCTTTGCCATTCTCAGCTGCGGTCAAGGTTGATCCTATTGGTCTTGGATCTGCCATCTGGCCTAGACTCCTGCCGACTCAGAACTAGAACCCATATTTAGCCTCTGCACGTGGCACACTTCATTTTTAGTTTATTTTTGCAATGTGAGTATTTATTTCCGCTTCTCTCTCATCCTCCTCTTATATTCTCGCCACCATTCCCTGCCACCATTTGTACTCTCATCTGTCCTGCCCCACTCTCTCTCCACATAATAATTAAACAGAAAAGAAAATAGCAGACTCATCTTGGCTTCCTCCACACCCCGTTTTTCAGAACCTGGTGGTCTGACTCGAAGATGCATGAACCCAGGCCTGGGGAGCAAATGCAGCCCTCCAGGCTACTCTGCCTAGCCCTCAGGACTCTCCGTAGGCCACACCTTCTCTCACTCTAAGCCACACCTCCTTCCCCAAGCCACACCCTCTCACTGACCCTGCTTTGCACCCTGAGGTGTTTTTGCCTGACTGAAACGTGTCCTTGAACTCGGACCGTGCCTCTTGCTAGTGGGGCCAAAAGATAGAGAGATCGGGTGTGTGAATGTGTGTGTGCAGATAGTTTCCTACTGTACAAAGGTAAAATTCAAACTGTTGACTCATGTGGCCATCAGAAGACTGCCCCAAAGGAACACTGGCCCTGGGCTGGAACAGTTGCCCCAGTCTAACAGCACTGGCATGCTCAGATTACTGGGGATTTTGACCGCAGTTCCAAGAAAGGTAGCAATTGCACTCATCTTTAGGAGGACAGGAAGCGGAAGTATAACAAGATAGACCATTGGTTCCTTTTGTTTAGTTTTGTCTTGTTTGCTTGTGCTAGTTTAGTATCCAAAATGGCTACCGGGATACTATTCCTTCTATTTCTAATGTTTGGGTTGTGAGTGCCGCTGCATATAGAGTCAAAGTGGAACCACACACACACCCCAGCAGGCACAGGGAAGCCTCAAGGCCTGCAGAATTACAAAAATATTGGGGGGCGGGGAATAATGATGGATGAACCCAATGAGGACTGAGCATGGTCAGCAGCCACAGAATGCAGAATGAGTGTTGGTGGGGCACTAGAAAGCTGGGGGCGGGGAGAAGGCGGAATGGAGTGTGGTACAGGAGGAAATGGCTGGCTGACTAGAAGACTGAAAAAGTGCACTCCACACTATCATTTTTGCTGCAGGTCCCACTTGAAAACATGCAATCTGTTCTGACATGCCTGCTGTTTATATGCTGGAGGGTGCCCAATTTCGAGAATGTGATTTCAGAATTGCATATGTGAATTCCCCCTATGCATATCCCTAAAAGAAACCAACAACAACAAAGCCGTCAACTGATTTGAAGAATTGTTAAATGAGCTTTCAGCCAGTTGGTTTTATTTAAATAAATTTGCACACTAACCACGATTAAAATCTAAGATAAAAGGGACCTATCGTGGTTAGTGTGCAAATTTATTTAGATAAAACCAATTGGCTGAAAGCTCATTTAACAATTTAATCAATAAAAGAGTCCACTAAATGTTATAAACAAGGGCCATTATATTTCTGTATCAGATTGGAACCAACCTGAGATAACTCGGATGTATTCCCTCCTAACCCATGAATAGACTGAACCTTGCAGAACCCATCTTAAAATTGTATTATTTATGTAGGAAAAAATATATAAACTGCTTACGTTGAACTCCTTGCCTGTTGATATCAGGTAGCCATCTTCACTGCACTCTTTTCAGCACCTACTAAAAACAGGAATGATGCAGATATTTAGAAAGCTGATGAGAGTTTTCATATGTTTTTAGTTTATTGTCGATATAATTTTGGGGGAAAGTTTTAAATTGTTGTTAATTCCTCTTATTGATGGTTTTATTGTTCTACTTTTTTTTTTGGTAAACTGCCAACTGACAAAATGCTTCTATTAGTGAAAATAATGTACAAAAATGCATTCATATTAGAGGAAAAAGCTTGCACGAATGTATACCCTGGGCACACAGACTGCACACAAATTAGATGAAATTCACACAAAAAAGGTGCATGAAATTTTGTTGCGGCCATTGAACTACATTGCAAGCCTTTAGAGAATTTGGCAGATTTTTAAGATTAGCTGCAGCTCAGTTAGGAGCACAAGTTAAGGGTGGTTGGCATTATTCTCCAGATTTGGCAATGCGGTTTACCAGCCAAACAAATACGCATGTGCATGCATGTGGGGTGTATATGGGAAAGTGGAAGCAAAAGTGGTGCATGGAAATAGGGGAATTACTCTCAAAACTACATATATTAATAACAACAGAAATGCATCTCTTAGGCGGAACACTCATGACAACTTCATGCAGACGTCTTGTTGATTTTCAATGCACTCTGAATGGGGTAATCTGAAAAAAATGAGAAGACTGAGAGGAACTGAATTTTACAGATTCAGTCATCCTCAGCTGGACTTACAGAAAGAACTTTAGCTCAGTGGTAGAGCATCTGTTCTGCATGCAGAAGGTCCCAGGTACAACCCCCTAGCATTTCTGGGTAGGTCTGGGGGGAAAAGGCTCCCTCTCTGAAACCCTGGAGAGATGCTGCCAGCCAGTGTAGACAATACTGTTGGCCTGACTTTATCTATCCAAAGCAAGTTCCTTGTTGTTGTTTTTTAAACCTCTTTTTTGATATTAGTTGGTTAATCAAGGCATTTATTTATCCATCCTTTCTGCATAAAATTTTAAGCCTGCTTTATCTGCTGGCGGATCTAGTTGTGCTTTTAATCATACTGAGTCACTGCAACTCAAAGTGCATTTAAGCAGCCTTTAGTATCAAGGCAGGAGATTTTCCTGGATCAGGGCAGAAGGGAAGTTGTACTACGTCATTTAGACAAAAGGTGTGTGGGAACCCAAGCTGGACCCATCATGTTTCTAGTTTTGTCTGTTCAGCTTAATGCAAGCTTTCTTTCCCAGACTTATTGAGCCCAACAGGGGGCGGAGCCCAGGGCCAATGATAGGGGAGGTCAGAGCTAATCACAGGCAGAGGCAATGAATTCTTTAAAAATAAATAAATATTGAAACTTTTCAACATACTATACAATAAAAGCCCAATTGATCTTAATGAAAATAGAAAAGAAAGGAGAGAACAAGACAAACACATGAAAAATAGAAAGGAAAACAGAAAGAAAGAAAGAAAGAAAGAAAGAAAGAAAGAAAGAAAGAAAGAAAGCAAAAAGAACAAGTTGAAAAAAGAAAGGAAAAAAGGGGGGACCTTCTATTTGGGGCACATTTTAATCGTTGCCTCCCACAAAAGTTGGTGAACCCTCCCAACTCTCCACTGGGAGCTTCTCTTTCTTCGTCCATCCTCCCAGCCTGGGAGATCTTCCCTGCCTCTCACACAGGGTCCTCCATCCTCCATCCATCACCTTCCTGTGTGTATCCTCATTAACACACAGTAGAGGACATCAAGAAACAAATCAAAACACAAGCATAGATTGAATTAGCAGAAGAAGACAATACCTAGAAATCATTAAAAATAAAAAGAGAGCTAAGAAAGAGAAATAAGGGCTTCCGATTCTCTACCTGCCATTTATGTAGATAAAAATCATTCAGATTATTCAAAATGTTCACTCCAGGAACAGCTGTATTCCAGGATAATGTTCAGCTGTTCCAGAGGCAACTAATTCTAGTTTCCTCGGAATCCTCCTCCCTGCTGGCTTCTACAAGAACACCACAAAGGAGGAGGGAGCTGACAGGCAGGACCCCCTCTGGGAATGGTTATGAAGAAGGAGGGAGGCAGAGTAAGGCCTGGTGGAAGGCAGACTGTGCTTTGGGGGGGGGTAGAGCCCCATTTGCCACTTTGGACCAGTCTGTACTGTAAGCCCGTGCTTGTTCACCAGTTGCATAGTCCCTTTCGTTTATTATCCAGATCAGCACAAGCAGAAAGAAAGAAAGAAAGAAAGAAAGAAAGAAAGAAAGAAAGAAAGAAAGATACAATTCCCTGCCCCAAAGAGCTTGCAAATTAAAACCTGACCGCAGTAGAGAAATAAGACCGGATATGCCAAACGTGCAGCAAACTCCATGTGGGCAATATAAAAATAACAGAACATAATAAATAATGAACAGAAGTACAGCACAGTATATCCAAGACAGACTTAATATTAGGTTGGAAAAGTCCTTAAGACAATTAGGAAAACCGAATTCTGTGTTGTAATGTGAAGAGGGAGCCCTGTGTGTCTATATTTGCTGTCCCTAAGATAACCGCATAGAATTTTTCAGGGCCTTCCAAGCCCTTGCGACAGGTAAAGCAGAAATTGACTGATTTGTCCATCTCTAGAATGGGAGGGTATGAATTGTAACACCAAGAGGGCAATAGATAACATGCTAAGATGTGAGCATGCTTGGCTACATGGAACCAAATCTGTAATTTAATGCGATTCCTTTGCTTGTTCCTTTCCACTCTGCAACCGGTGGTTTTTCTGAGCTGTGAAATTCCATAACCTCCTTTTTGTCTTTCCTTGTTCCCAGGGAATCCCGGTGCCTACTTTTGGTGGACTTTTCCCTTACCCGTACACTTACATGGCGGCGGCAGCTGCCGCAGCATCCGCCATGCCGGTGACCAGTGCCGCCACTGCCAGCTCGCTATCCCGGAACCCCTTTCTGAGCAGCGCCCGTCCTCGCCTGCGTTTCAGCCCCTACCAGATCCCGGTCACCATCCCACCAAGCACCAACCTCCTAACCACTGGCCTGCCTACCAGCTTGAATGCCAGCTCAGAAGGTTCAAAGCCCGGAAGCAGCAGGGAATCCAGTCCGCTCTCGGATCTACCCGTTCACAAACCCAGCAGCCAACGGGCCTCGTTGTCCCCTAAAGGGTCCTTAAAGGATTCCATCAATGAGCTCCAGAACATCCAGAGACTGGTCAGTGGTCTAGACACCCAGAGGGAAGTCTCTCCCGGAAGGGAATCCCCCAAGTGACTTAACCCTTGGGAGAGGCAGCCCCTCCAAAAGGGATCAGGAGATGCTGGGGGAAAAGGTGTGTACAGCACAGTATAAATATTTATTTTAAGAAAAGGAGGGGGGGATTTAAGATAAGGGAGAGTAAGGATGAGGGAGCCCAGGTGTGATGCACTACAGAGGCACCCAGATGGAACAGGGGAGGAAGGAGGCACACTACAACATTTGAGCGTCACCCGTTGGTAAGAAGCATGGGAGAATTTTGGTGCTGACCTGGGTTCTGGAGGTCAGTTCCACAACCACATCTGCCCTCAAATGCAGACTTGTCTCCTGGCTCTGGTTGTTGTAGCAGGATATATAGAGAGAGCTATGGTCATGGAAGGGTATGATTCAGGCCACCTATTCCTATAGCTTTTTAAAAAATAAAATAAATAAATCAGCACTGTTGGAAAAGGCATTTTGCTACTTTCTACCTATAAGGATGGAATTTCTGAAATGCGGACATTGTTTTCAAGCAGGAACAATGGGGGGAGAATTTTCTTTCCTCTGAAATCTACAAACTCTGGCCGACTGAACACTGGACATTCATTTGGGGCGCAGTGCATAAGAGGACAGCAGACTTCTGAAAGTTGACATCCAGCTCCCCGCCTTTACCGGGAGGCCATCAAAAATCATCCACAGTGATCTTTAGAAACTGGTACAGTCAGTGTGATTGACTTTCTTTCTTTCTTTTTTCTTGAACTCAACCTGTGTACCAGAAAAAAAAATTAAAAGAAACATAATATTTATGGAATAAATGGTAATTTGTGTAAATAAGCTATACGAATCCCAAAATATGCAAAAATTGGTATTAATTTATTCAGAGTTGTACATTGGAGTGTACATAATTAGAGTTTAACTCGTCACATTTCATTGTTTTGTTTTTTTCATTTTACGTGAGCATACATATTGTAAATGAAGACCTATTTAGCTCTTTGTGAATGGAAGAAAATATTGGGTTTTCTTTTTGACTTTTGTGTCTAAAAAAAAAGAAAAAGGCTTACCCTGCCTGTTCAAAGACAATCGTGCCATCAGTACTGCTCTGAAGACATGGGGGGGAGGGAGTTAAATCCTTTTTACAGGGACTCTACAGGGAACAGTGTCCCCTCCCAGTATATAACCATTGAAAATGAAATTTTAATGTTGAATGAATGGGGCAGTGGGAATCTCTTTTGGAGCGTGGGGTATTGAAAAAGAAATGCAGGAATAAACCTCAGGTTTTTATTTTTCACTCCAGAACAACAAAAAAGGAAAAAAAATAACCTTTAAAACTATACTAAAATTTAAAATATCACATGGACAGTGTGCTATATATTGTTTTAATTTTTTTTAATGACATGATTAGAAAAGTGCTGGTTATTCGGGTATCTATCTGTTCAATTTTTTTTGATGAGTTCTCTCACATCTTTCAATAAAAAATATTCAAAGAACAAACCCCTCCCCTGATTTTCTCTCCTCTCTATTTCTCTCTCTCTTCTTCACACAGAGAATCTAGACAAAATCTGGATCAGACAAATGGTCCACCAAGAGAATGTCCCATTTCTCTTGGTGGCCAACCAGGTGCCTTCAGGTATAGGAGGCAAAAGGTTTCAGCACTTTCCCATCATTGTCTGCCTGGCAACTGACACTCAGTGATAGACTTCCTCCGAAACTGGAGGTTCCACACAGCCATCACAACTAGTAGCTATCAATAGGCTTATCCTCGATGAAAGAGTTGGAAGCCCTTGGGACTCCAGCTCCCATCAGCCCCAGGCAGTGCGGCCAATGAGCAGGGGAATTATGGGAGTTCTAGTCCTGCAGCGGCTGCTGGGCAACAGGTTCCCCATAGAGACATTGGCTTTTAAAAAAAGCGGAGGCAGGGGTTTAGACCATTGGTCAACCACATCTCATGATCACACCATCCACAAATTAAATCTGTCTTTTGTGGAGAAAGCCTTTCTTTCGCCTTAACTTTGTACAATAAAGAATTATGTTATTTGGTATAAAAGAATTCATCCTGGGATGTTCTATAATTCAATTTATAACCTCCAGACCTGCAGCAACCCTGTCCCCCCATACATTAAAGGCATTGCAAGCCGGTATGTCTCTCCTTGGAAGACAGACCTAAAATGGCAGAATGGAATATTTCTAAAATGGTGCTGCCTACCATTTGTCCTTCCTGTCTTCTGCCCCACCAGACTCATTGGGCACCAACAACCACGGACAACTGCCCATCAAATTTTATTGGATGACCCCTGAATGCCAGTATTATGAGCGAGGAAGGAGAAAGGCGGCTCTCCCTGGTCTATTTAGTCAAGCATTCTGCTCTCACGGCACAATTTCAGTACTCCTGTGATTGGGGTCGGCCTGAGGCATTTTCCTGCCTGAGGCAAAAGTCAAGATGGCACCCCACCTAATTCCATGTGCAGAAGCCAGATGGGCTGACAGTTTGAATCTTAACACCGGCAGAAGAACACCATCTTCCACCCCATCTGGGTACAGGAGAAGCTGTGTGTGTGGCACATGCAGCGTTGCCCTCCGACAATTCGCAGCTGCTCCTTGCCCCATAGGATTTGCTGTCCAATGACAGGGCCAGCCCTGCCATCAACCAGCTCCACATCTAAAGCACCCACTGCCCATGGAGCTGCTAGGCCTGAGGTAGGCTACTTTCTAGCCCGGAAAGTCTCATGAGAGCTCAAGGACACATCTGAAGCAGGCAAGGACACTCAAGGAAAGTCGGGAGTATGGCTAGGGGGAGTCCCAAGGGTCAGAGGAGGGCTGCTTTTGGCCCCCAGGCCCTGAGGATTCCCACCCATGGGCTAGGCTTGTCCATCCTTCCTCTCTGGGCCATCTAATATGATTGAGATTGTGGATGTTGTCGCCCGTAATATTCCATGGCACCCCCATTGGCCTCAGCCAGCATGGTCAGGAATGGTGGGAGTCCAGAACATATGGAAGGCACTGCCTTGGCTACCCCTGCTTCAGAGTGCCTTGCTAGTTAGGGTTGCTGCTACGAACTCTTCTCTTGGGATATAACATTAGCTGAGGCCACTCTTTGAACAACCCACAGTTACAGTTCCCAGTTTGCTCTTGGAAGAGGCATTGGTTGTTAAACCACTCTGAGAATTGTAGCTCCGGGCAGATCCGCTGCACAAATTAAAGGCACTCGACTTTCTCCAAAAGAATCCTGGGAAATGTGGCTTGTTGGGCGCTGGGAAATTGTAGTTCTGTGAGGGTTCCCAGGATTCCTTGGGGCGAGTCATGTGCATCAGGTGTGGTTTAACTATAGAATGTGGCCTTGCCCTCTGTGAAGGGGAGAGGGGTTCTCTCAGAGTCAGCACCCTTGAAAAACTACAACTCCCAGGATTCTATGTAGGAAGCCATGGCTGTTAAAGTGGCATAGCAGTGCTTTAAATGTACAACGCAGATCATTTCTCCTGCAATAGGCTGTGCTAGGGCATTGTGAGAAATTTTAATGATATCACCACCCAATCCAGTCTCAAACTGCTTTCAGCTATCCTACACACCCCACAGTCAGTCTCAACCACAATTTGCATATTTGGCTGCAAATATGCCACATATTTAAACACACACACCCTGCCCCACCAAAGAAATTTGGGAACTGTAGTATGCCCCTCAGGCCTCACAGAGCTACAGTTCCCAGCACCCTTAACAATGCTTTAAATGTATGGTGTGTACATAGCTTTTTACTCCGAGTCATTTGGTCTCAATTTGGGCTTCTTCTTTTTTAAATAACTGATGAGAAACCATGATAAATTTTTGAATATAAAGACTTTGCTTCTTTTCTTTCAAACTAGGAATATCCCTCCCCCCTTTCCCTTACTGATTCTTTTTCCGCTCTTGCTTCAGTCAGGACCATATATAATAATAATAATAATAATAATAATAATAATAATAATAATATGTTTGTTATTATTTTCAATTAGGGGATGTGTAGAAAGTCTGCTATAAATCCCAGCGGGTCTGCATTTCATTTTGATCAGGAAAGATTAAAATGCTTCAATTCACATCGACATCCGCTTCGCATTACAGAGATATAAATGGAAAAGGGGGGGGGGGCTGCAGATTGATTTAAAGCGACAGCAACAGAAATGCTCTCTGGCAAGATGGGGTAAGGCACAGGGTGGGGGCAGGTTGGGGGGGGGAACATTGTACCGTTTTGCTGTAATTAAACAAAACAAAACAACAACAACTTGGCTCTCACAATCCATAAAATCTTCCATTCCTTTTCCTTTTGATTCCGATTGCCAACATAAACTGTTTCCCTTTGAACATGATCTTTCGCCTTAATTATGTTTGCAAAATATGCTTCCCATCCTTGCAGAGAGGAAGCTTTTTATTGGTTTTTTGGCTTGATGAACTTTCTAGAATTATCTCTCACAGGCTCCCTTTCAGAGCGTGTGGGGTTTACTTGAGTGTAAACATGCCTAGGACCAAGCTACAGGCGTGTGAGTGGTGAATTAAGCAGCCTCTGGTACAGATCTTACCATAAACTCACTTTTGACTATAGCTGCAGTCTGTTCCCATCTGCAATATGGGACAATTCTACCCCTCCACTTTATTGTAAAGGTTGCTGATGGAGCACCAACATAGAACTGATTAAGGACTTCTCTGCTTGATTAGGCCACAAATAGAGACAAATATGTAGGGCCTGCAACAAAATGTTGCAGCATGTGGAGTACTGCTCCATTCCTTTCTATTCCGTGTCCTCTCTGAGGTCATTCCATTCCCATTCCAAGCTCACTGAGCATATTCAATCCATTCTGCTCTAAAGAACAACATAGCTGCTTTCTTGTTGCTGTCACAGGACTTGCTTCTGGGCCTTTTATGGCAGCACAACAGGCTGAGATTTAGCAGGTGAAGCTTTCCCGGCTTCACCTAGGGACAGTTTTCGGTTGCTAAAACAAACCATAGCATTCCTACCAAAGGGAAACTTCCTGAGAAGTCTTAAATCTCAAGCAACAGGGTTATTATTGTCCATATGGAGTAGGGGCAGGGAAGTGGATCCTGTCAGTAGTCTGGATCCCTACTTCCCGGCCCCTCATATGGGCCAACACGGACAGGTGGGTGGGACCATCCGCCAGTCAATCACCCTGATGTCATAACGATATCAAGCGATCCAGTTAAACAGAGGTCGCTGTAGGTGTCAATTGCCGTATTTTTTGCACCATAACACTCACTTTTTTCCTCCTAGAAAGTAAGGGGAAATGTCTGTGTGTGTTACGGAGGGAATGCCTACGGGTGGCATGCCTACGGATTTTCCTCCTCTAAAAACTACGTGTGTGTTATGGTCGGGTGCGTGTTATAGAGCGAAAAATATGGGTAGCTGGTTGGTGGTTCCTTTAAAGATGCGTTTTCAGTGCCAATCAGCTGACTGGCGCAGGGAGCACCTGCCACCAAAGGGGCTGATAAGTTTTGGAGGAAGCGGTTTGAATCCAAACCGTTTCCTTTGCAGAGGGGAGATCAACTCTGTTTGGAGTTTCTTGCGCAGCCAGTCTCAGCGGAGTTCCCTGTCAGTGCCAATCAGCTGATCCACACTGACAGGGAGCCCCACTTGCAAAGGAACAATCCAGAGGCCAGTATGTTTTAGGCTTACAAAACTGCCATAGATGTTCCTAAAATCCACTTTTCTTTTCTTTTTAGAGGCTATTAAAACATCAAGTGTTCCATCCCAGAAGCAGAATCATTTTGTTCCCTTACTGTGTGTCTTGCCTCCCCATCTTCCACCCCTGAATGTGATCTTCTCTGCTCCCACCAAACCTCCAGTCCCCTACAAAAAACCCCATCTGAAATGGAAAATTCTATTTTCTTCCTCTTTGCAGTTGAGCCCTCCACAATGGATAGGAATTGAACTTTCGCCTCTTCTTGCTCTCTCTCTCTGCTTTAAGTTCAGCTACATCGCTTTATGGTAAAGCAATAAAGGATGACATAAACAACCCCTTTTCTTCACCAATTACCCTTTCCTCATTCTCTGGAAGATTTATTAGTCAAATTGTTTGTCTTGGGAAAAAGGAGAGGAAAAAGCCAGTGGGGCTGGCTCCTTATGAACAGGGCGCCCTCTGCTGACAAAGCCTAATTAGTGTTGTAACGATGGTGACATACAGACCACCGAACATTTCAAGTGCATCGTTTTAAAGCACATTCCCACACCCTCAAATAATAACCCCGGGAACTGTGGTTTGTTAAGGGTGCTGGGAATTGTGCCTTTGGGAGAGGGTCAACTACAGTTCCCAGGATTCTTAGAAGAAAGTCATTTGCTTTAAATGGATGGTGTGCATGCAGCCTATGAAAGCTTTGTGAGAACCTGGACCAATCAAGGGGGAAATAGATAAAAACTATCCGTGCTTAACATTTATACAATGCTTTCAAGTACTTACAATGTGATATCTAGTTGAAATCTGCACAACCTCCCTTGTAAAGCAGGGGGGAGGTTAAACGCTGTCCCTCGGCCATTTCTATCTGGCCCTTGGGAAAGTCCCAGGGAGTTCCCCTGGTGCCGATGCCCTTTCTTCTCCATTGCTTTTGTCTGGCTGGAATAAGCCTTTGAACTCTGGCAATAACTTGTGCGTGGCCGAGATAGAGGATATGGGTTGGAAGCCTCTGGCTTTTCACAGAATCAGAACTGCAAAGTTGAAAAGGACCATGAGGGTCATCTAGGCCAACCCACTGCAATGCAGGAATCTTTTGCCCAACGTGTGGCTCGAACCCACGGACCCGAGATTAAGAATTTTGTTCTCTATCGACTGAGCTATCTATGGCCCCCAATTTATTTTGGTTGGTTCTTTCTGGGGTGGGAAACTGCATGTTCCTCTGATGACAATCATTCAATTCTGCCCCCTCCACACTATTGGCATGTGGACCCCAGAAGGTTATCCAGAAGGGAATGTGGCCCTCAGGCTGAATATGGTTCACCATTTGGCGGTGTAAGAATTGGGGGTTCAAGGGGACAAATTCAGTTTGGTTCTCCTTTTAATATGGGCCTACCTGTTCTGCACTTCCCGAAACAATGTGCACTTCTCAGCATTTTGCGATCCCCTTCTCTGGCCAAATACTGTGTGCAAAAATGCATGCGTTGGTGAAAATGACATAAAACAGTGAAATGCTGATTAATCCTCCTGAGGAGTTGCTTTAAGAAAGATCACAAATGTGGCAAATGGAACTTAAAAGAAACAAAGTAAAATTAATGCTTGCCCATTCCTCGAAAGAATGGAGTGTGCCTTTTGCATGATCTTGATCAATCATAGAATTGTAGAGTCCAGAAGGACCCTAAGGGTCATCCAGTCCGACCCCATGCGATGAAGAAATGGAAAATGGTGGTGGCTGTTGAGATTTGGGCGATGCACCTATGCAGTGGGAATCTTGCAGGGGAGAAAAGCTGTGCAAGACCGATTCTGGTGAAACCATGTGAACTCAAGCATGCGAGCTGGAGCTTGAAGCGGACGGCGTCTCCCGGCACAGCTTGATCTCCGCTGCTTAACCAAATGGGCGTGTGAGATTTTTCTGCTGCAGCAGAGCTGAAGGCACACCTGCCAGCCTGCACAGCACAGCACAGGGGGCAGGGGGCTGAATGCTTAACAGATCCCCCAATATCTGTCCTTCCTGGCTCCCAGTACGTTTCCAGTACATTTCCGAGCAAAAGTGTTGGTGCTGACCTTTAAAGCCCTAAACGGCCTCGGTCCTGTATACCTGAAGGAGCGTCTCAACCCCCATCGTCCAGCCTCAGACACGGAGGTCCACCTCCAAGGGCCTTCTGGTGGCTCCCTCATTATGAGAAGTGACATTGCAGGGAACCAGACAGAGGGCCTTCTCGGTAGTGGCACCGCCCTGTGGAACGCCCTCCTAGCAGATGTCAAGGCAATAAACAACTATTTTACTTTTAAAAGACAACTGAAGGCAGCCCTGTTTAGGGAAGTTTTTAAATGTCTGACGCTGTATTGTTTTTAATATTTGATTGGAAGCCGCCCAGAGTGGCTGGGGAAACCCAGCCAGATGGGCGGGGTATAAATAATAAATTATTATTATTATTCCTCCCCATATGCTTTGAGCCCCCCCCCCCCACTGCCAAGTTGTCCCTCACTGCCCTCAGAACCCTCCCTGCACTATGATGGTCAAAGTGGCGTTCAGGGAACATGTAGAAAATTCCGGAAACGTGCCCAACAGCAGGGCTGTTCTTATGTCAAATCCCCACTCGGCCATGAAGTGTTAATATTTTTTTTAAAAAAATAAAGCAATCTATAAGTCTAATACAGAGGTGGATAACTTCAGGCCCTCAGGCCAGAAGACACAGGGGAACCAGGCAGGCCCATTGGCCAACTGAGGGACCTACTCCAAGTTCTCCGGTAGAGGCAAAGGGGGGCCCTTTGGTAAATGGGCCTACAATTTCCCATCAGGCCCATTGGTTTGAGGCTCCTGCCCTCTGCAGTAGGAGGAAACAAGCTTGCTCCATCTTCCATGTGACAAACCTTCAAAGATGGCTATCACAGGTAGGGAAAAGGTTATGGCATCAGGTCAGGCTCTTAAATCCCCACACAGCCATGAAGCTCATTGGAGGACCATGAGCCGGTCACAGACTCTGAGCCGAATCTACCTCACAGGGTTGTCATGTGGATAAGTGCAGGTGGGCAACCATGTTAAATATCAGACAGGCACCATCTGACCCTTATGTTTCCCTCCCCTTGCAGTCTTGATTTATCAGCTACAGTACTTTTAAAATGAGGCTGCATTTTAAATTGCATTTTAACCTGTATTTTAAATTGGTCCCCCCCATTATGTTTTTTACTGTGATTTTATTGGTGTTAGCCGCCCTGAGCCCGGCTCTGGCCGGGGAGGGCGGGGTATAAATAAAATATTATTATTATTATTATTATTATTATTATTATTATTATTATCATCTCTGTTGCCTTTCTGACTCCTCCTGAAGGCCTTCCTCTTCCAACACGGCTTTTAACGAGACATCTTTCTCAGTCTGCCTCTGTATTGGAACAGGGTTTTTTTTAATAGATTTTTTAGTGTGTTTGCTGCCCCGGGCTCCTTTGAGAGGAAGGGCAGGCTATACATTTAATGAATTGATGTGTACCGCCTTGAGCTCTTTGGAGGGAGAGCAATATGGTTTATATAAGATACAGAGGAAGGGCATTGAATACCCCTGAAGACAATTTGCCTGGGAATTACATAGGCTGGAAAATTATCTAGGCAGATGTTGCAACCAGCTATTGTAAGAGGAAAACATCGTCCTATTTTTCTCTCTGATAAACGGGTCTGGTGGGGGTTTTGTTTCTTTTTGAAAACTAAAAAAAATCAACAAAAAACAAAAACCTTTAGAAAACAACAACACCCTGCCAAACCTATTTGTCCAAAGGCACAAGCGGAACCAAAGATCTAGGTTGTCGGTAATACAGTTTTGGCTTTCTTAAAAAGGGAGAGTTGTTGTTGCTCTCGAGTCTTGTTCGGGGGTTTCCTGCTGGTCCACCAGCAGGTCTCTTCTGACGTCCTTACAAATTTGGTTCATCAAACATCTTGCTGATTTTACTGCCCTGTCCCAATGAGCCGGGAATATCCTTCAGCCTCCCAGAAAGGGGTTAATAATTTTCTGAGATTTGGGTGAGAAAGGCTGGGGGGGCGCAAGGGGGGGGGGAGAGATGGACGCCTGGCTTTGCTGGCAGCAGACAGTCCTTTGTCCAGGAGTCAGTGGCTGACGCCTTCTTCCTCAATATGAGGCCCCTCCTGGCTCCTGGACAAAGAGAAAGCGGGTTGATCCATCAGGCGCGGCTCCCAATTAGAAGAGCCCTGCTTGTGTTTGTCTTAACTTATTTTCTCCCCCTCCCCGCCCCCAGTTCGCCCTAGAGCGCCATTGTCCCCGTCTGTTATCTCCCAATTAACAGCAATTGCACACTCAAGGAGAGCCAGCCTTTGTCTGAGGTCATCTATCTGGGGTGGATGGACAATGTCTGTATCTGTGTGTGTCTGCACAGGCCTATCTGTGCACTTATTAATTTTACTGAAAAATATTTTTAAAGCAACCCTGGCTGAGATGTGTTACAGCTGGGGGCAAAGCAATGGTGCCCCCTCCTTCCTTGCAATTCCAAGGTGCACTGTCCCCATGCTGTTTTAGCACCTGAAGCGGAAAAATCCCACAAGTCCCTCTCCTCCTGGAGAGCTGCTGCCAGTCAGTGTTGACAATACTGAGAAAGGTGGACTCAGGGCAGCTTCCTTTGCTCCTAGAGAAAATTCATTGCTGTTGGGCCTTTTTTAATAGAAAGGCAAGGAGTAGAGGTATTAAATAAAACTCAACTTTCAGGGTGGCATGAGAGTTCCCTTGAATTCTTTCCAGCCTTTATTTCAAGGCTTCCATTTCAGGCTTGGACTATGTGTCTATCACGTTTAGCCTTTCTAGGATGCATAAACATCCTAAGTGTTTTGATCAACTGAATGATTCTGGCTACCATGATCTCCAAGGGGAGATCAAACCTGATCCCAGCCATTGTCCAGTGAAGAAGAAGAAACTGCTCTGATGCTTGCTTTCCTCTTCCCTCCCTAGTCCTTTTCCTCTTGTGTTGTGTCTATCAAGCACCAATATAAATAGTGATAATGATACCTAGTACAGAGTAAGTCCCATTGGACTTACTTCTGAGTAAACCTGCTTAGAATTACCTTGTTAGTCTGTGAGGTCCAAGCATTGCAGGACCTGTGTACGTTTTCCTTTTCATCTCCTCCCATTGCTGTCAGCTGTATAATTAAAGCAGTTGCACCAATGCTGCCAAGCTCTTCACAAGTTATTAATAAGGTCACGGAGGTTAAGATACTTCAAGGTCTCTTTTTGCTGTGTTCTTCTCTTTTTTTTAAAGGCACTCATTAGAGGATGAGTGACTGATGGCTGCTTCAAGTGACTGGGAATTGATTTCAGGAGAAATGACAAAAGGGGGTGCCTTCATTCAAGACGGCATCTATTTATCCATCAATAACATTTGTGTCCTTCCTTCAAGAAGCTCAGCATGGCATGTGTGAGGATTGCCCTATTTTTATCTTCCCAACAGCCCTGGGAGGTAGGCTAGGCAAGGCAAGGGAGAGCACCAATTGACAAGCTTCATGGCTGCATAGGAATCTGAACCCAGTTCACATTTCCCAAAACCGATATGCAAACTGAAATGCGGGTATCCTTTGAAATTGGCACTACTCTGAATTTTGCAATGTTGTTTCCTGACCAAATTTATGTGCAAAAATTCGTATGTTAGGGGGAAGTGCAAGATATGGACATTTTTATGAAAATAACATGCAGCTTTCTTTCTACAACTGTGACTATATTGTATTTTAATTTTTGTCAACCTTCCCTGGAATTAAATTTTGATGAAGGCAGTACAGAAAAGTTTTAAATAAATAAAACATTTATCCCCAGAGTACAGATGGAAAACTGAGGCTGAGGGACAGTAGCTTGCTTTGGGCTCCTTCGGGAATTAATGAGTAAGGTTCAAACCAGGCCTTTCCTGGGTCATAACTCATTCTCTTAACCACGACAGTATATCAGGTCACTGTGGATTTAGAAGTGTTTTCTTACGGACCAACACAGCTGCCTTTGTTTTTGCTTTTGTTTTTGCCTTTTATATACATGGTGCCTCCCTATTAAGAGACTGCGCTAACCATGGTTGAAAACCCAAAGCATGGCTTGAATTTCCAAACGCACCAGGAAACTGTGGTGTAGAGCTATTCAGCCACTTTTGCCCTTCCATGTGCTTACAACTCCTGTTTCTGTAGCACAGTGGTCTCCACAAATTGAGCAACAGTCAAAACCATTTCTTTGCAATTTAGACATCCCGCTTTAGCTGCAACTTGGCACAGTGTCTGCATGGAGCCTGCAATTCAGGTGGTGGGAACCTTTTCAGTCTGAGGGGCAACTTTCCGGGGAGCACTTGTCAGCAGTGGGCACGACTAGAGGAAACCTAGGCAGAGTAACAAACATACATTCTATTCTTTTGCACAATAGGCTAGTTCAGGATTTCCCAAATTTGAGTCTCCAGCTGTTTTTGGACCAAAATTCCCTTCATCCCTGAGCACCGGTCCTGCTAGCTAGGGAAGATGGGTTGTAGTCCCTGGGCTAGTTTATACACACACTTGCAAAACCCTCCTTGTTCTCCATCCAGGCAAGCAAGAAGCACCATCAGAACTCAAAGACATATTCTGGTCGTTCAAAAGCCTGCAAGGTGCAAAGGCACTTAAGGGTGTGCCTTGAGGAGAATTCTGTGGGTCAAAGAGAGAGACCTGGATAGCTGCATTTGGGCCCCTGGGCCTGAGGTTTCCCACCCCTTCTGTAATGGTAGAAGATAGACCTTCCCTTCTGGCTCAACTTCCTTTGTTCCTTTGCTCAGTTGTAGAGCATCTGCTTTGCACACAGAAGGTTCAGTCCCTGCTTATCTTCAAGTTAGGACTGCCTGAAATTCCGCTGCTAGCAGTGTTGATAATACTGAGCCAAATAGACCAACTTGGTATAAGGCAGCTTCCTGTGTGCCTAACTCCTGTGACTGCACAACACCCAAAATACCTGCTGGCTCCCCATCATCACAGCTGCATGCTGGCAGTGAGGTGGAGAAGGGCCAAGATGCGGAGGAGCCCAGTACAAATGTTGTTTAAAAAACTGATTTTCCCAGGATCATTTAAAAAGCACACACATTAATTTGTTGGGGTTTCTTCTTCTTCTTTTGAACATGTCCAGATCGTTATTCTTTCCCACAGCCTCATAAGGTGAAACTGGAAATTCTGAGGGAGGAAATATATGTGTGTATCTGTTCCATGAAATGCTTCCTCTTGTCAGGAACATTTGACTATATTCATATCTTAACTGAGTCTCTGGAAATGAGAGTTTTTTCTTTTATCTGCTTGACGATACTGTCAGAGCTCATCTAATTTATAAACAGTTCCTGATGTAACTTAAGGAAGGTTAAGGAAGTAAAATATTATTTTACACTTCACCATTTCCCCCCAGGACTCCAAAGTCCTCTCATTGCAGCGTGCTTTATTTTTTAAATTGTCTTTAAAAAACACTTATTTTTTCATATTTAGTGGCTGCGTATAATCACAGGAATTGTAGCTTACCTTTCCCACAACTACATTCCTAAAACCTTTAACAAACTACAGTTCCCCACATCCTTTGGGGGAAGCCATTTTAATTTAGCTGTATGCTGCTTTTCCAAGGTGGGCAATGTCCAAAGTGGCAATAAATATTTGGGCTTGTATCCAGTGGCACACCTACTCAGAACAGACCCATGGAACTGAATGGACATGACTAACCTAGGTCTATTGATTTCAGCTGGTCTACTCTTAGTATGGATTAGTTCGATACAACCCTATATAAATAACCAAATCACAGCATCATATATGAACGTTACCAAAATATGGAGAGGGGCATTCATTCTTGTGTACAGAAAACATATGGAACAGCCGGATACCCGTTTGACAGATGGTTTGTTATTAGTTTTTGTTTATTTCATCAATTTGTTCAACACTTTGGTCACAGTTGTCTCTCAGTGGTGACGGTATTGACTACAGATGCTGTTTAAGCAGGAGAAACTGTAACCAAGATCTTGGGGTTGGGACTCTGTCCAAGTGTCCTCCAGGCCTTGTTTCTTCAGCATCCCTGCTTTGCATCCTCCCTGAATGCTTTTGCTTGACCAGAGTTCCTCAGTGAACTATGATAATGCCTCTTGCTTCCTGGATGGAGAGATGTGGGTATTGCCTTGAAACCTGACTTTTCCATGTCTGAAAGGTAGTCTGCCCTCCATTGCTCCACCCACTTTTGCATGTAGCCACACCTACTTTTGCATGTGGTCCCACGCACCAATGGCATGCAACCGCTGGAAGGTTGCCCACAATGGAGCACAGCCCCCAGTCTGAAAAGGGTTCCCCCTACCCCTACTTTAGAGCAATAAAGGTCACTGAGTTTGTAGCCCTAGTGAACAGGCAAAAAAATGCAGATACTCACGAGGACTACTCACAAGTGATCTGAAGGATAGGCATAGCCCACAGGAGATTAGAAGCCAGCCTTAATCCAGGAAGATTGTGCAGGAAGAATGATGTCTCTGTCATGAAAGCAGGGCAAAGAGTGGTTTCTTGCTGACTTCCATGTTAGTGATTCAGTGATTCAGAATTCAGTGTAGATTATTGATTTGATTTGCTATCTGTTGTTCATAAAATTCTTCTAAATAGAATGAATGCATGACTACAGAAAACAGTCAGAAGCATCTAGATTATTTTTTTAAAATCCTTTGCATTACATTATTTACTGGCATTTCCAAGGAAATTTAAAGAATCTCTCTCTCTCTCTCTCTCTCCTATAGCATTATGTTTACAGAAAATGCTTGTAGGTTAAGGATACAATACCTTTAAGCCTTATGTGAAACATAAGTGAAAAAAATCATACTGTAAAGGCCTGCCTAAAAAATAGTTTTTTAGAGACATTCTGCCAAACTGGGTGTAGGGGGAACCCTTTTACAGCCTGCTACTCTAAAGGCCAACCAGAGTGCGAGGAACCCCCAGAAATGCCCCCATTAGTGGATCTTGGTAGTCGAGGTGGAATATAAGGGTACCCCAATCAGTCCTCTTAACCTAGATTTTGTCAGGTTTACAAAAATTGTAAAGCCAAAAGCAATGATCCTTCCTGTTTGAATCCTAAGGTCTGGGGCTCTGGAAATAACCTAATGTACCCACCCCATGGAGACATCAGGACTGATGAGGAAGCCCACCTTTAGGTGGCGCACTTGGGTAATTTTTGACTCTGGGCTAATTTTTGGAGGGGGATCCTCTTTAAATAATTATCTGTATTAGTACTTCAAAATTATTACTCCCCGGGGAGGCTCGCCTGTTGCCTTCATTGCATATGTTTCAGTGTCAGGCAAGAAACATTTCTTTTCACCCAGGCCTTTGGCTGATTAAACAATCTACAGCCTTTAAATGTGTCTCTCTCTATGTGTGTTACTGTTTGTTATGTATTTTGTGTCCTTATATTGCAAACCGCAATAGGGTGGTATGTAGAAATTAAACAAACAAATGATAAAAATGTGGGTCTGTGGCTTTTCCTGCCAAGGTGTCAGAGGGCAGAGCTGCGTACTCTGTGCCACCTAACCTGTATCCCTTAAGCTGTGGAGGATGCCGTCATGTTGCCAATGCTGATAGCGCCAGAGCTCAGAGGTTGAGCAATCGCTTTGTATGCAGAAGGTCCCAGGTTTCATCCCCGGCATCTCCAGGCAGATTTGAGAATGTCCCCTGTCCAAAAGCTCAGGGGCAGCTGCCAATCAGTGTTGGCAATACTGAAGGAGATGGGCAGATGGTCTGAGTCAGGGTAAAGCAGCTTTTTGTGACCCGAAAAAGTAAGATGCAACTGTTAGAATGGTTGGCTCCTTTATGTGGAATGGAGCGGGTAGGAAAATGCCTCTCCGTTGAAGCTTTATTATGATGTACTTTCAAATGTCTCCTTGGGAACCAGGGTGAAGTTTCCAGACCTGCATGAGGGTTAATGGAGGCAGTGGTGGGAAGACAAGGAACAGAAATGCTAAGATCTTCAAGTCACGGTCTCCTAAATTTCATATCTATCCTCTCCTGGCTGGGGAAAAAAGATTTGGTTACATAACACCCTACCCCCATTCCTAGTAGAACTAGGCAAATAAAAACCAGATCCCATTATTCTGATTATAAACTTTCTGCTTTGTTTTGTTTTATTTCGCAAACTTTGCTGCTGATCCTTCTGTATAAAGAAACACTCGCTAACCACTGCTCCTTTCTCAATGTGGTAGAGAATGTGTTTGGCGGCTCTCTAAATGAAGTTTTAATTTCTGCAGTCCCGTTTTTAAATGGCTGATAGCAAAATGGATTTTTTTTGCTAACAACATTAAAGCTTGGCGTTTCAGTCTTCAAAGGCTGAGTTTTGCTTCTTGCTTAATAACCTTTCTGTGCGGGCGTTTTAAAACTCTGTCGTGCCTTTTGCAATCTCAAAGGACAGAGGGTAGCAATTGTCAGGTAATTCTGCATCCTGCCACCAGATGTCGCCCAATGTCAAAATCCAGATTGACAGAACCTCCTGTTGAAAACAGGTTAGCAAATTACATCGCTATTGTATCTCTCCGGATTTATGTAAACTCTTAAGAAAACAAGGGTGCTCTTTTGGAGCACGGAGCGCGCTTTAACCACCCAGTAGCCCATACAGTTAGGCTGCAATCCTATACCCAGTCTCCTGGAAAAAAGCAAAGCTCAATTGAGCTCAATGGGAATTACATTTGAGTAGACATAGGACTGTGCTGCTGGAATGCTGGGTGAATTTATTTATTTTATTTTATTAAAACAAAACAAAAGAAAGCCTCGAAATGGGTTACAAGAAGAGTAAAGCAATAAAATTATCTGTAAAAAAAACACTTAAAAGCATTCAGACAATAATAAAAATTGGCAATAAACAGAGATTAAAACACATGTAAACATTCTGCATCTTCTCTGGGCAGGCTTGTCTAAACAAAAATGCTTTTAGCAGGTGCTGGAAAGAGTACCAGGAAAGGGCCTTTCTGACAGGTAACACCTGAAACAGTGTTAGTTCTGCAGATCGAAGCAGTCGAGTGGATGTATATGGGGCAAGGTGGTTTCACAGGTAAACCTGGTCTCAAGTTGTTAATAGAAACTCACAGAAACACTTTGAACTTGGCCTGGCAGCAAATCAGCAGCCATGGCATGTCTCCGCAGTACAGGTGTTGTATGCTGGCACAGTCTTACACCTGCTAGCAATTATGCTGCAGCATTCTGCATTAACTGTAGGCTCCAGATCAAGCAAAAGGCCCACATAGTGCACATTGCAGTAGTCCAGTCTTTTTTCTTTCTGCAGTAGTCTAGTCTCTCCCCCCCCTTTATTTTTTTAAAGAAAGCATCCAGTGCAAGAACTGCTGTGACTGGTCTGGAAGTGGATAAATGCGAATTTATCTTATTTTCTCTGCCTCTCACTCTCCCCTGCATCTGAAATGGTTTAAGTATGCTGTTGTTTAGAACTTCTTTCTATATTTAGAGTTGTTGTTTTTAAGTGTTTCACATGCAATTGTTTTAAATTGTTTTCATAAAGATGTAACTATTTTATATATGACATATTCTTAAAGACTAATAACATTATATGTAAATCTATACCCGAGATGCTGGTTTAGAAGGCAGTTAATAAATCAATGATAAATATAATATTGTAAATCACTTCAAAATGCCTCCTGGGAAGCAAATAATAAATGAAATTCTTGTTATTGTTATTGTTATTATTCACAGCTTCCTGTGTTCCTAAGAAGGCCACAGAGGGGATGGATTGTTCCTGTTTGACATTGGACTTCAATGTTGCTTATTCTGATGCTGCAAAGCCAATTTTTGTCTTCTTACGAACACTGCCTTCCATATTAAATCAAGAGATCCCATAAACAGAAGAAATGCATTACACCAACCTTCAATATTTTGAAAGCATCCTGTAGGTATGATTTGTTATGGGGGGTTTTTCTGCAGCTCCGAAAACTACCTGCACAGATGAGGGGAATAAAAACGCAGCCAACCTGTTTAATTGTGCATTCAACCCAATTTGCTTCCGTGGTGCTTGATTGATGCTTGCCCTTTGTAGAGCATTTATTCTGATTTATTTCAGGGGAGGGCATGCAGCAAGGAACATTCACCCTGATTTGTTTGCAGAGGTTATACACCTTCCCATCAACTGATCACCACCCCACACTTTTTAGTGCACTGTCCGGTCAATTTCCTATCCACAAAAAAAAAAAGAAGTTGATTTGTTATACTGGAGAGGCCACCCACTTTATAACTTCACAAATTATAAATTTCCAATATCTAACACACACATCAAATAAAGTGACCGTCTTACAGCAGCCACAGTGTAAGGATTGCCTTGGCTGGATCTGAACTCAGGGACACCTATTCCAGGACTCCGTTGCCAACAGTGGCCAGCCAGATGCTTCAAGGAAGCCCACAAGCCAGGGCCTTGCCCCTCCTGCCTGCTCTTGATATCCAGCACTCTGAATTTTACAGCCTCTGCTTTGCAGAAATCTGCCTGCCTTGCTTGCATAAAAGCAAAGCACCCATATATATTTAAATAATGTCCGCCGGGAACGTTGGTGATCCCACCACTAGGGGGAGTGTGTCCTTCTCCCGCGATTTCCATCATATTACTCTTAGTTTCACTCCTTAGCATCTTGCCGTTGTCCGGCAAATTAGCATCACCAGCATCACCACCGACAAAATGCTTTAGCAAAGAAAGTGGTTTTTGTTTGCTGTCAGGCTCATACTTTAATCCTGGGTGTCTGGAGTCTGTATTTAAAAGCTAGAATTGAGGCAGGGCAGTAGAGAAACAGCCTAAGACAGAAAAACCAAAAATAGCAGTCTTCCCCTATGACAGTAAAAACATCCTAATAACGGGCAGTTTTGCTGTCTGTTTACGGCAGCCCCCAAATCTGACAATTGAGTCAGGCATAATAATAATAATAATAATAATAATAATAATAATAATAATAATTTATTATTTGTACCCCGCCCATCTGGCTGGGTTTCCCCAGCCACTCTGGGCGGCTTCCACAGAGACCAAAAATACACTAAAACGTCACACATTAAAAACTTCCCTGAACATTAGGCAGACTAATGGTAAGGCCAGCTCTTGTCAGATTCTCGCCTTGGGGTGAAGCTACAAGTTCAGCTGGACATACATAATTTTAAAGGTCTGCAGCTGATGCAGAAGAGTACTTGCTGCATTTTGGTAAAAGAGGGATGGGTGTACTCCCAGTGTCGTCAGACTCCAACTCCCATCAGCTTCACCCAGAATGTGCAATGGTCAGGGGTGATGGGAGTCAATTGTCATTGATTTAGGTGGTGTTTCGTGGATCAACATAAGCAAATATATGTCACAGTCCCCTAGCAGCATACAATCTAATGTTGACAGCAAAATGAGACAGAAATACCGTAAGTGGTAGGTGGGAAGGAAAAAGGAGGATTAACAAAGAATGGAGATGACATTGAGAGCTTTGTTTTGTATTTTTGCTTTGTTTCAAAAACAGCATTATACTTCCAGCCAATTGTCCTTCATAAGCATATTAGCCAAGAATGTTTGGGTATATCTTGGTAATTTTTCCATTAACACACTGTCCCAGATCTGGAGGTACCAGTATACTCTCTGTTTGATTTGTTTTCAGTGTGTTATTAGCAGTGCTTTTTTTCCTTAAAAAATATTTAGGAGTACTCTCATTTTCCTACTCATATTGAAATACTACCCCTCAATGAGGCCAAACTTAGATTTGCAAAATGTTTAGGGATATGCGTACCCCTGCCTACCCCCAGAAAAAAAGCACTGGTTATTAGTATGTGTCATTTGAACAGTTTGGGTGGCGTTTTATTTATTTACATTCATGGAAATGCTGCTTAGGGGTTTGATTGAAGAGGCTGATCTCTTAAATAAGTAACTAAAGGAATGCGTATCATAAATAAAATAAATAAAAAACACAAAGTCCTGGCTGTTCTGACCACAGTGCGCAGGCTGAGGGTCACATTCTGGCTTTAAGCTTTGCAGCAAAAGTTGGAGAGAGTCCTTATTCTCCAAAGCTTTGCTGCCGTCCACCACAGCCACTGCCACCACCAAACGTCTCCCTGCAGCTTCTCTGGAGCCTAGCAGTCCTTCTCCTCCTCTGCCTGTGCTATCTGCAAATGGGGGCAGATCAACTGCAACCCTTTCCGAGATTAGACACACATATATATCTATTTGTCTGTTTCTCCTTCCCAAAAGGCTTGAGCAAGCGAGTGAGTTTGGCGCAGGGTCGGCTGCAGACTCCTTGGCACCGCAGCTCTGATTGCTTTGGGTAACCTTTCCCCCTTTTTCCTTCTGGAAGCTTCTTGTGAAGGTTTATGCGGTGTTTTTAACAGGAGAGGTGGGGAAGAGTCCATCTCCACCTCCTCCAACCAATTAAATCGGCAAATGCATGGAAATCTGGCCAGCGTTTCCAACCAATTTATCTGCAGGATTTCTGGGAATGCCGCTGGTCAAGGTGAAGTTTACAAGCATGCACCCCTTTTTCCAGACCCAACACGGGTTCCCTGCCCTTTTAAGGCTCTGATCTACAGCCCCCTACTCTTTGGCCCTTATTTCTCACTGTACCTGTGACCTTCTCACCTCTGTGTCTATTAACCGTAGCTGCTTAAAACTCCCCGCTTTCCTTAAATTGCTCTGCCCGCTGTCTCTTGCTGCTATCTGGCCTGATCCAGCATCCCACTTATTATGTGTGGGATGAACAGATGACTAACTGAAAGGTGTATGAAAACCTGAAATCATACCAGGATGAACGTTCATTGTCACATTTATTTGCCTGTTTGTGCTCTTGATAAGCTTACTGTTTCAATATTTTGCATTTGTTCATTAGCAGTTTGTTTGCCACCTCAGGGGTTTATGAACGGGAAAAGCTTGGGTGCTAATATTTTGATAAACAAATGCAAATAATCAAGGAAACAGATGTTAAGAGGATATTTTGAGGCAGGCAGGGGGTAGGAAAAGTCCAGAAACAGACCTCACTTCTGGCATCTCAGGTGGAAAAACCTCCTGCTGTCTTGTTGCTTTTCATGGACCAAAGCACCACGTAAACAGCAGGATCTGATGTGGAAAAGCAGGAACTTGAGGATGTTACTTCCCCAAGAGAGTTGAGTTCTTCTGGCAGAGAATCACAGAAGAAGCTTGTTCAGGCGTGAGTGGGGGGAGCAGTATTCACCCTTTCACTCATCTCCTGCTAGTCTGGCTCCCCCCTCCCTTTCTTGCACTCAGAATGGTCAAAGGTGGTCCACAAGATCCTCAGTCTCAGGCCAAAACTCTGAGCTCTGGGAGCTCTCTGTCTTCCAGACCTTCATGTGAAGGGTCGTAGCTCAGTGGTGGAGTATCTGCTTTGCATGTAGAAGGTCCCAGGTTCAATCCCTAACAGCATCACCAGGTAGGGCTGGGGAAAGTCTCCCTGTCTGAAATCTGGCTGCCAGTTAATATAGATAATATTGAGATAGATGGACCAATGGTCTGACTCAGTGTTAAGGCAGCTTCCTATGTCCATCCGCTCTTCACTCACTGCCGTTCCTCCAAAATGCCACTTTTAATGCACAAGTAAAAAGCATCAGCAGATTAAGAAAGCATATAGGGGGGAAAACAATGAGGTGAGAACCTCACTGCTAAAACAGCTCAGCACTGGATGGTGGTCTATTAGGGGAAATTGCACACTGCCCCACCAAGCACAGTCTGCCCTCAGCCAGCCTTCATCTGCCTGTCTTCTTACTTAATGACCACTCCAGGAGGCAGCACTGGCTGCCAGTTTCTTCCTCCTTAGTCTCAGTGTTGCCCTTGTAGAACTCAGGAGGAAGGAGTCTGAGGACAGAACTAGAAATAGTTGGCTTCACCTGTCATTATCTCTGGCGCCATCTGCTGTTGGGCTCCCAGCCTATCGTCCTACCAGTCCCAAGGAGAAGGGGAAGAGGAAGAAGTCAACACCTTCTTCAACAAATGGTTTTCTCCTGGGACCACAACAACATAGAAGTGCTTAGCATTTCTAGGTAAGAGAATCAGAATGCAGTTGATGTAAAAATCCTTTCCTTATCTGAGATCATGGAGAGCTGCAATAATAATAATAATAATAATAATAATAATAATAATAATAAGTGTATGTATGCTGCCCATCTGACTGGGTTGCACCAGCCACTCTTAGCGGATTCCAATAAATTATAAAACCACAGTAAAACATCAAACATTAAAAGCTTCCCTATACAGGGCTGCCTTCATATGTCTTCTAAAAGTCAGATAGTTGTTTATTTCCTTGACTTCTGACGGGAGGGCTTTCCACAGGGCGGGCATCATTACTGAGAAGGCCTTCTGCCTGGTCCCCTGTAACCATACTTCTCACAATGAGGGAACTACCAGAAGGTCCTCGGAGCTGGAATTTGGTGTCCAGGCTGAACGATGGGTGTGCAGATGTTCCTTCAGTCAGAGTAGACATTACTGGGCAAGGTGGACAATGGATTATGAGGCAGAGGGCAGTGTTTTGCATGCAGAAGTCAATCCCTGTCATCTCCACTTTAAAAGATTAGGTTGCATGTGATGGGAAATATGGCAAATGAAAGATCTAAAAGTGGACTGAGGGAGATGGTGCCTTATTTTCTCAGGTGCCTGCTGTCTTCTGATCTATCCATGATATAATTAGATCTGCCAATGTTTATTTCTGGAGCCCAGATATTCTTCAGGAAAAAGAACAAGAACTGTTATTTCCAGCAGCTGGTGGGAAGATGGTGGATGAAGTATTTGAAACTGGAGATGGGTTGGATGAGGTAGAGCCTCATTTCCCCAGCTGCTTGTTGTGGCTGTTAACTTCCAGTGTATCCACAAAATAACTGAATCTGCCAACATTTCTTTCTGAAGTCCAAATACTGGACGGGGGCACCAGCTAATGGGAAGATTGTGGATAAAGCATCTAAATCTCGGAGTAGGTTGGGGGAGACTCATCTCCCAGTTGCCTGTTGTTACTGCTACTATCTGATAACTAAATCTGCTAGTGTTTCTTTCTGAAGCCGAACTATTGGTCGGGTGGTGGTGGTGGGAAGAAGAGTTCCTGCCAGCACCTGTGTTCTGGATTGTGTGTCCCTCTTCCTCCAAGCAGTGGGTGCCATCACTAACACCTTTGGCAGTGCACATGGCTGCTGTGAATCTTCAGCAGCTGGAGGTGTTGATGACAGCATCCCTTCTTCTATGGGAAACAGGGCTCTGTTCTGTCTTGGCAGGTAACTGGAGGAGGAAGAGGAGGAGGAGGGTGGGGAAAATGACTTTAAAAGATTGTGTGCTTTCAGCATATATCAGCATTCCTAAACTGGAAAGTCACAAGGAAAGATCCTATTGGAAAAGGGTTGTGGAAAAGGGAAAATAATTAAATAATATTTAATTGCACAACCTGAATTTCTAGGTTTGCAGCTTGTTTCCCACCAACAAAATAGTGACAGTCTGGAAGTAGCCTGGGTTTGTCTTCTCAGTAGACATCCTCTGTCAGTGTGGTTCATTGCTATAGACTGCAACCTTGTCCGTAAGAAGCCATTTGATTTGATTGACATCCTATGCCCTTTTAAAATGTGTTTTTTGGGGGGTGTTATTGGGTTGTTTTAAATTTGATTATGTATTTTGTAGTTTTATATTTTGATTTTCTTCTGTGAACTGCCCTGAGACCTCTGGGTATGGGGCGGTATATAACTAATAACAACAATAATAATAATTATAATAGTCAAAAAATTGAATAGACCTTTTTTTAAAAAAAGGCCCTCCACCCCTTATTGAGCAGCTTTAAAGTGGGTTCTATATTAAACCAAATTATTTTAACAAACCGCGTTCTGATAAATTCAACTCACTTTACAATGTATATAATCCCTGTAAACATTCTTCTGCAGTGTTTATACAGTCAGAACTAGGTAGAAAGAAAACTCTTAGCAAAATGAAATATCTATGAGGCTGAAAAGATTAAGGATTTTTTTATGATCTTAAATTCTCTGCTACGATTCTGTAGTAGAGAGAAAATGCATTTGTTCCCAAGGATCTCCTTTCTCCTAAAGGTGAGGAACCTCAGGCCTGGAGGATGAATGTGGCCCTCCAGGCCTCTCCATCCGGCCCTTGGAACTCATCCCAAGCCATTCCGGTCGCTGCTCCTGCTTTGTGCCTTTCTCTAGTGCCTTTGCCAGGCTGGCATGTGTCCTTCAGTTGTGGCAACGCCTCTTGCTTGCCTGGATGTAGAGAGATGTATGTGATGTGATGTATAAACCTCTGATTTTTGCTCTGTAGGGATATTACCTACTGTAAGGTAAACGTCATGTTGCGTTTGCCTCTGGCCCTGCCCAACCTTGGCAAATGGCCCCTGAAAGGTTGCCTGTGAAGGAATGTGGCCCTTTGGCTGGAAGAAAAACATGTTCTCTCCCCTGCCGCCGTCCTAAAGTTCATTTAAGCATTTATTAAATCAAGGCTGCAACCTTTATCTAAGAGCAAGCATCTCAGGCCACCATAGGAGTCAACATACCTAGGACTGCACTGACAGACTGACTGGGGCAACCATATGCATATTGTGAAAAAATGGAAAGGCATCACCCCCTCAAAAAACCCAACAACCCCAAAGAGGATACAGATTTGCATTCCTAGCATGTGTATGCTTATCTGTAGATGCAGTTTTAGAAAGGATGGGTGTAATTTAAATAGATCCCCCCTGGCCAACCTGTACAGTTATGGACTTAGAGACCTCTGGTCACAACCCCCACATTCCACCACTGTATATATGCTGCAGCATCAAGTGATGTTATTTAGGGTCCAGTAGACCCATGCACTGCTAAATTCCCGATTGCTGCAATTCAGCCTAATAAGGTCCCACATGAAAGTGTGTTGCCCCAGAACTGTTTAAAAGACACTCCAGTTGGTGGGCAACTGTCCTTACTGAACTGCTTGCTGAGATCAATCCGACTGCCTGAGTTTTATCTTTCTTTTAAAAAGAGTAACTCCTCTCTTCCCCATCATTAGATACCAGTTAGTCTGCTGGGTATCTCTTCCAAAATATACGCCACTTCTCTCTCTCTTTTTTTTACTTAACAAGCTGCAGGATCTCTTCAGGATTTTCTAGGCTGTATCCATGTATTAACACACATCATCAGAAAGCTAACAATATGGAGTTAATGTCTTTGGGCCCACATGGAATTGCTCTTACAGAACTGCTATGCCCTCTGCCTTTCTGGAAAGGCTGCTATAAAAATGTACCCTTGGAAGAGTGTTTCTGTCCATTTTGTAAAATGAGTATATGCAGAGATGTTCACAACACACCCAGTTGTCCTCTATAGAAAGATCTCTGTGAAGAACATCTTTCTGAGTTTAGCCACAGGAAGAATTTTGTTATACCAAGTAAATTTGCTTGTATTTTTTTTTACAGTTAGGCAAGGAAAACTATGCATTGGCAGCTAGGAAATTAAGTAACAGATTTGTGGATCAGTTCTGAATACCTTTTATCTTTGTTTTGGTTTATAGCTAGACAATTGCTGCTGCTATTACTGTTTTTATCTGGTCAAACCGCTTCAGGCTTGCATGTTGGGACACTCATCTTGGGGGTAGGGGTGAGGAGAGAAATCTAGATAGAAAATTAGCATGTAAAATTAAAGGATGCATACAACCTCAACTGCTTCACATAGGATTTTGCTAAGTAAAGAAAGTTATTTTGTGCTCCCCATGGGCGAACATTCAGACACGATACTACATTCCACCTGCATCCTGCAATGGCACAGTCCAGGAAAAGGTTTGCCATGTGACACTGTTGAATCTATAAAGTAACTCCATGAGCAGTTTGGAGGGGATGGAGGGATCTGCATGGTCAGAAGCCTCTGAGTGACTGTAGCGCCACCCATTCCTCTAGCTGCTACAAGCACTTTCCATCTAGGGAACAGCAAGCAAGACTTGGAACTTAGAATCATTTTACACGAGGCATCTGTGAATGAATCTCCACATGATTAAAAATCTCCTGGTGATTGCAGAAGTTTATTGGTTCTCATGGCTGCTATACCTATCCACGGAAAAGCCCCTCTTAGCACCAGTGACCACTCGCTCACCCCCCATCAGCGCTTGGTTTTTTGTTTCAAGTGAGGAAATCACTGTGATTTTATTTTGGGCTTGTTCTGATTTTAAATGTGAAGCAGCCTGAAATCTGTATGATTGAAATAAGTTTAAAAATAATAGCTATATCCTTTACATCTAAATATTTGAACAACATTTTATGGCATCGTTTTAAATCAGATACGTACACTGTTGGAAATTGGTTTGGGGGTGGGGGGTGGGAATGAAATTCCACCAGGGTGTACTGTGAAATGAACATGTATATCTGGCAAACTCTGAAATGTCTTATAAAATATACCAACAGGCAACCATGTTAAAGTACACCATATATTGGGTACATAAATTCTTTCTTCTTCTTTGGTTTATGGCCAATGTTTTTTAAAATATTATTTTTCTCATTGGCTACCATGTGGTGGAGAATGATCTGGAAACCATTATGAGAATACACACACACACACATACACACATACACACATAATCTCGGGGGAACATGTTTGGGTGAGCATATAGAGAAGCCAAACAATGAACATAAGAGGAGTCCTGAAGAATTATGCTAAAGGCCAATCTGGTCCATCCTGTTCTTGCAAAATTGCCAGTTGATGGGAAGACCACAAGCAAGATTTTGTGGGCCACCTGGGCCCGCAAGTCAGTTTTACTAGGAAACCGGAGGTGAAACTAACCCCTTTCCAGCCCCGGGAGGAGCGCAGGGAGCATTCGCACAACACACCTACACACTACTACTACTACTACTACTACTATTAAACACTGCAGCCAACACACTAACGTGTCGTGACACACAGTTTGGAAAGATCTGAGTTAATTCTATGCACATTCTGTAAATCTTGTAAAATGTTTTCTTTAGCCCAAGGGCCACATTCCCTTGTGGGAAACCTTCCAGGGGCCACATGTCAGTGGTGGGCAGGGCCGGAGGCAAAAGTGTTTATAACTTATGCTTTTGTACAAGATGCAGCATTCGAGGCACACAAACCAAACACACACATTATTTCAATTCAAGGACACATTCCAGCCAGGCAAAAGCTCTCAAGGAAGGCATAGAGCAGGGCTGGTGAGGGAGATGTCCTAGGGAAGAGTCCTGGGGGGCAGATATAGAGGCCTGGAGGGCTGCATTTGGCCCAGGGGCTGAGGTACTCTGCCCCTGCTGTAAATAAATAAATAAATTTACTTGGAAGCAAGTCCCATGGTGTTCAATGGGACTTACTTCCTGCTAAGTGTGCTTGAGGTTGCCACTTATATGTTGCTAAGGGGTTAACTCCCCACCCCACCCCACCCCCCACACTCCCTGAAACTTTTGAAGACATGTACAAAAATATTAATCCAGTTGCCTGCAGGATTCTCTGAAATTGGATTTTACTGCGATAATCAAAACGTATGTTTTTGGATCAACACGACAACCTTTCTTCAAATACCCCCACCCCACCCCCTTGAACAAGCCGTCTAAAAGGGCATCCATAGTCAAATCCATCATATTTATTACATTTAATCAAAATTTGATTTTGGTTAAATTTATTCCATATGCATTGTGCATGACGTGTTCCCATTTCAAGTCCTGAAACACAGTTCTATAAATATCTCCCTGTTAAGTGGCAGCTACGATGGATCAGATACTTGGCCATTGAACACTAATATGTTCAGGGCCAAAGAAAAGAGCCAACCTGGTAAAACGCCTAGAGTATTGGGCCTTGGGAACCTGGGTTCAAATCTCTGTGAAACTCTGTGGATGACCTCAGGCCAACCAATATATGTCTTACCTAGCCTCCTTCAGGAGGTGGTGGACTTTCATTCATTGGAGGTTTTTAAACAGAAGTTGGATGGCCATCTGTCATGGATGTTTTAGTTGAGATTCCTGCATTGCAGGGGGTTGGACTAGATAACCCTCGGTCCCTTCCAACTCTACAATTTTATTATTCTACCTCGCAGGGTCATTGTGAGAATAAAATGGGATAGTCCCTATGTGTGCTAGCCCCAGCGCTTGGGAGGAAGTTACCTCAGATTAACAAATAAAAAACTGTACATTGTCATAAAATTGTTATACAAGGGATGGAGAACCAGTGGTCTTCTCAATGTTTCAGGACTACAACTCCCATCAGCCCCGACTAGGATGGCTAATGGTTGGAGATTATGGCAGCAATAGTCCAGCAACATTTGGTGGGGAGCTGGTTCCCCACCTTTAACAAACTACACTTCCCAGGATTCTTTGGGGGAAGCCAAAGTGGTATGATACTGCTTTAAATATATGGTACCGATGAGGCCAACTCCTATCATCCTTAGCCAGCATGGCCAATGGTAAGGAATTATGGGAGTTGTAGTCCGCAACATCCAAAAGGCACAGCATTGGTTACCCTTGGCCTAGGGCACGTTTCCTCAAACTCAGCCCTCCAGATGTTTTTGAGACTACAGTTCCCATCATCCCTGACCACTGGTCCTGCTAGCTAGGGATCATGGGAGTTGTAGGCCAAAAACTTCTGGAGGGCCGAGTTTGAAGAAGCCTGGCCTAGGGCCTACTCAAAATACTGTAGTTTGAGGGTCTAACAAATTTCCTTCAAATGTCCTTATTTCTCCTCAGATAACTGCAATTCCCAGTGTCTCCAAGGGAAAGAGTAAAAAAAAGAGGAACTAAGAAACCAGTTAGGGCCAATCTCAATACATTTTGCTGCCTGAGGCAGTAATGCAAACACAGCACACACCGTTGGTTAAGAGGCCTAGTGCCCAGGCTGGTGAGGTTATTTTGGCACCTGAGGCAGAAAGTCCGATTAGAACCTCTCCTCCTTCCCTGGCAATAATAAAAAATAGAACTTTTAATTCAGCAGCTAACAATTTGCTGCCACTTTATAACAAGCCCAGTCCTGCTTTACAGCAGCACAGGCGACCTGAAGCCATTTTACAGGTGGAGGTGTTGCTCTGTCTTTAAAGCAGGACCGCAGGCCTGAAATGTGACCTTTGGGTCTCTTCCTTAGACTGCACATCCTCCCCAGCCATATGCCTCACCCTCCTTGATTATTTTTGCCTGGCTGGAATGTGACCTTGAACTCTGATAACGTTCCCTGCTTGCATGGATGGAGGGTAGAAAAGGATGTGTGAAGGATCTAGCCTTCCTTAAAAAGTCAAAATCCACATTCGCCTGCAGTTGCCTCTGGGAAAAAGCTTGCCCAGGCTGAAGGTGCACAAGGCCCCTACCAGATGAAGTGAGGCAGGTGTGGGTAATTGCAGAAGATGCAAAATGTCAACAGGTGTGTGGATCTTAGCATCAAAAGTACTTAAGTGATAGAAAGGAGAGAACCTCACCAGCTCTGAGGGGCTGAGTTAAGTAACTAAGGTGAGGGCATACTCTGGAAAGAGATGAGAGCAGATACAATTTAAATGGAGGCCAGGATTGACAAGAGCATTTTACATTGCCAACTGTGTCTGGCTATTTTTAAATTATTAGCTGGGGTGTGTGTGACTATTTTAAAATGGTCTTTTTGGCTTGAGATGTTCTCAATGGTTTTAAAATGTGTTTTTGTTTTATTTTTAATTGTATTACTTTACTGCTTTGTTTGCTGTCTTGGGTTCCTTTGGGAGGGTTTTAAATAAAATTAAATAGAAATGCAACCGATAAAAAGATATCCACATTTAAAAATAAATAAATCCTATTTTTCTTACTAATTTAGCTGCTCTACCACTGGAAGGATGAAAATGGTGGAAGACACACCCATAGATGACTCCATAGCCCAGATAAATGTAAGTGTCCTTTGTGGCTGCTGCCAGTATTTCACCTTGCAGACCTTTTCCCCAGAGTAAAAACTACTTATCATATGCAAGCTTGTGTACTGAAGTAGTTTTTATGCTGTAACACACACACACACACACACACACACACACACACACACACACACTTACTTTGCCCCAGCTGTGGGCAACCAGTACTTCTGTAACCTCATGCTGGGAGATGGTAGCTAGGATATGCACTTAAATTATGGAACTTGCACCCACAAGAGGCAGTGTTGGCCACCAATATGGCTTTAAAAGAGGATTAGACAGATTCATGGAGGATGAGGCTATGAACAGCTACTAGCCACAATGGCTATGTTACATTCTACCTCCAATGTCAGAGCTATCGTGCTCCTGGATACCAGTTGCGGGGAACTTCAGGTGGGCAGAGTGCTACTGCTCCCATGTCCATCTTGCAGGCTTCCCATAGGCATCAGGGTGGACAGGATACTGGACCAGATGGGCCAGTGACCTGATCCAGCAGGCTTGTCTTATGTTCTTATATGACAATGTATTGGTTAAGGTTTTTGGACTAGAACCGGGAAGACTTGGGTCCAAATCTCCTCCACTCAGCTATGAAGTTCACTGGCTTACTTTGAGCCAGTTGTATTTATGTATGTTTTAATGCACCCAAAGCTTTTCTTATACTGCAGCACAGAAAGAGTGCGATAAAGAAGGCCCGAGATATTTTTGTGTCTGATGCAGAGCAGCAAAAGGACACCCACACACCCAAAGTCTGCCCACATACTTTGGTGCCTGAAGCAGAAAAGCCTACAAGCAACCTCTTCCCATGCCCCCACAGAAATGAAATGAAATTCCAGAAATAATATATTAGATAGCTATTAATTTGGTGCCTTTTCATGACACTGCAAAAAACAGCTGTGCCAACCAGTTGTGGTTGGTGTCATGGTCGGAAGTCCCTCTTCCAGACACTGAGTTTGGATAAGGGATGGGGGCAAAATTTGATTCAGTTTGCATTTTAAGGGGAACCCACCTAGTTCATGCTTTCCAAAGCAGCACACGAACCAAAACGTGAGAAATTTGTAATTGTCTGAATTTTGCAATGCAATTCTCCAGCCAAGTAACGTTCACAAGGCATATGTTAGTGGAAATGACATACAAAAATGTGTATATTGGGGGAAGCTGCTTTGCAAAAATATGTGCTTGCAGAAATCGCATGCAAATATGCGTATATTAGGATCGATTAATAGTAAAATACTGGTGACTTTAATTGTGGATTTTAAATTTAAAATAATAATTGCAAACTGATATGGAAATGTGGAGAAGCTGAGTTTAAGCTTTTATAAATGAGAAATCTAAATTGGCAGATTGCCTCATCCCTAGCATGCACCTTTGCCCTTTTGGATGGTCAACACCTGCATTCCAAAATTAATTCTGCTCCTTGTAAAAAGCTCTGCATTGAGTTGCTAACTGAAGAAAGAATAGCTAGTATTTTTAAGGCATTGTTTTCAGCTGTAGCTTTCCAGTAGCAAATGTGGGGTGGGGAGAGAGGGTATGAAGTTGTTTTATCAGGTTCGAGCCTGCAGCTTATGGAACGTTATGGATTTCTTTTGCATTGTCTCCTGAGGATTCTCCAAGATTAAAAAGTAAGGTACTGTGCATCCGGTTTGGCTACAAACTGACTGGGGAAAGCACTTGTGCGCTAATAGGAAAAACATAAGCCTTATTTTTTTCACCTGAAGGCAGTACATTATAGAGGAAAAATAATAACTCACCCTGTGTGATTTAGATAAAAAATATATATATTTAAAAACTCCAGCATAGGATCTCTAGCCAGGGATGACCCTACTACAAGGTGGAGTGAGCTATCCTGTGTCTCTGGTGGCAGACTTTGTGGATACAATTGAAAGCTGTTGCAGCTAACCTTTTCTAATCCAAAGAGCCCAGGTCAAACTCTATGGAGGGCCAATTGCCGAAACGCACATGACTGAAGTGTAAAAGAGTAGCTGAAGTCAAAGTCAAACTGAATATCTTAATATTGCATGTGGTTATGGGCCATATTAAGAGAAGGGCTGTAGCTTGGTGGTAAAGTGTCTGTTTTGCATGCAGAAAGCCCCAGGTTCAGTTCCAGGGCTGGGAGAAGATTCCTGTATGAATCTGAGTTCACCTGGGCACAGTCTTGTCCCCGTCCCCACCCCAAGTAGGGTGAGATGCACTGTAATTGTATTTCACCTGAGAGCAAGTGTGCTATAATGGTTAGAACATCACACGCTAACCTGGGAGACCTGGGCTCAAATTGCCACTTGGCTATGAAGCTCACTCGGTGACCTTGGACTAGTCACTGCCTCTCAGCTCAATCTAACTCACAGGTTAGTTGTGGGTATTTAAATGAGTAGGGGGACAACCTTGAGCTCTTTGGAGAAAAAGGTGGGATATAAATGCAACAAATAATGACTATACTTTAAATTACTGTGTTATTTCTAAATATGCATCTATGCACTGAAATTAGCAAATGCAAACTTTTGGTCCCTTTTTTTGGGAGTGATGATGCGCACCATCCTGCTCTTCCTGTCACTGAGGAGAGTGTTCCACAAGTGGGGAGCCATAACCTCCCTCTTGTGCATAGGTGCCACTATTTTGGTTACATAAGGAACAGAATGCACAGACTGAACATCCGAAGTCGAATCAGTGCTCCCCCCGGGGATACTCAAGGGTACACAGTACTGGCACCTCTTTTTGTTGTTGTTAAAGAGTGTGGCACTTAAAGTAACAACTTCATGGTGAGTACTGCCACCTCTTTTTCTAGAAAAAAAAAGCACTGGGAATAATGGTGATTAAAAAATAAGCATACTTCAAGGATTCAGGATCCTATCCTGGCTCTGATGGCTTGTGAGCTGGGATGGATGGATGGACCCGTCAATTTTGGTCCTCTCAGTTTCTCATATTTCCAATCTTAAAATCAGTTCTCCACATTTCTGCAGCAATTCACAATTATTATTAGTATTAAATAAAATTATCCTGAAAATGTCAGCATTTTTGTGTAAATTTCTAATAAAGCACATTTTTGTATGCAATTTCCCCTAATACAATGCATTTTTGGTTTTGCACAAATACGTACATTTTTATGCACACTTTGCCCTAGTATATACATTTTTGTACACATTACTTGATTGGAGAACCACATTGCAAAATTTGGAGATGTATGAATTTTGAAGGACTGATGAGTTTTGAGTTGCATATTATGTCGGAAAATGCGAATTGGGTAGGTTCTGAGTCAAATTTCTCCCCCATCCCTACCTGTGACAGATGTTGGGGGAATGCCACAGAATTGTGACAGAGTTTCTTCTGTATTTAGTGGAGTGTGTTGGGGTCTGGCTTAAGCCAGCTGAATATGTACAACTGGGGCTTTGGGGAATTAAATTGAAAAGGTACAAGGTGAGGTGTAGAAATCATGACGTGTGAAGCGAAATGGGAAGCTCCTGCTTTGGCGGGGAGTTGCCACAACCGCTTCAAGGTGTTCCTGAACCTGTCATCAGGCTGTTGGGCCTCCTTTCCAAAGGTAAATAAGCCACATAATAAGAGTGTCCGCAGCTGACATTCAGCGGGGATACCAGCTGAGGCCGAAAGGAAGAGAGCATGCATTGGCTGAAGGAACCAGCATATATGGGAGTTCGACGCCAGTGCAGTGTGGAGTGTTTACCTTAACAACTAAGGAATTATGACTAATAATCTGAGGATCAATGCAGAAAGGGGACATAAGAGACTTTCAGGCAAAACACATGCAAAAAAAAGAACAGCCATCACAACTGGTTCCCTCCAGATGTTGTTGGACTCCAGTTCCCCTCAATCCAGCCAGCATAGCTAATGGTCAGGGATGATGGGAGTTGTAGTCCAAAACAGAGGGCACCAGGTTGAGGAAAGCCTTGGTTATTAACAGTTCGGGAAACACTGGTTTAGAACTTTTTTAAAAAAATTCAAAGCAGCATAGGAAAGACTAGTTGACACTTGCAAAAGGCCTTTAAGCTGCATTTTCAGCCCTAGCAAAGGAAACTCTTTTTTTGAGGTGGGGGTGGGGAAGAAAATGCATGAAATGTCCGTTTAGCTTGAATTTTGTATTCCTTGTAATTAACATCATTCCGTTTGATTAGTTGCCAACAAGCTGCTGCAGCAGCTGCTTAATTTCCCAGATCTTTATGGCGACCCTCGCAAGAACATGTGGGATCAGGTGTTCCCCCTAATTGGGAGCGATCTTTTGCTGAATTTAGTCAAATGCTCTTTGACATTTCACCCTGTTGGGGTCTTGTAAAAGTAAACTCCCTTTAATTTCACTGGGAGGAGATCTGGGAGATATGGAATAAGTTTTAGGGAAACTGCTTTTGTGCTGATAAGGATGTGGAGAGAGCTGCTTTGAGGGTGGCACTCGATGTTAAGGAGAGATGTGAGGGTGGTGTCATGTGGCTTGCTTTTTCTCCCTCCTCCAAATATCGCCTCATTCAGGAGTGCAGAACCTTAGACCTGGGGACCAAGTGTGAACAGATAAAGGTGAACTTGCCTAATTTGGACTTTCTGAATACAACACGCTAACTGAAACTCAACCATCCATTGAAAAGTCCACTTCTCCAAATATGTCATAGGATCTTAGAGTTGGAAGGGCCATGCTTTCCCTGTTTCTAAAAAGCTAGTATGAAGTGAAAGCCAAAACAAGACTGCATCATAATGCAGACAACAGCACCAGGAATATTAGTGTCTGTAGCAAGGGAAACTATATCTTCTCCTTGTAGTGTCATAATGCTGGTGAACGTCATAACCTGAGACCCACCGGGGTCAACACAGCAGGCAGACATTTCTGATCATACATTTCTTTCACAGCACTAATATTTCTGTTTTGAGTTAGCGGGCTGTAAGTTATTGTTCTTAGAAACTATTGGCAGCTAGCAGGACACCAAGGAGAGCTTGTGCCAATTAGGAACTCAGAGAAGCTGCTGAGTTCCTTCAGGCTAACTGGAAGGTGAACTATGGCTTCGTAGAAAGGCAGAGTGCCCCTATGCTGACATGCTGATGTCACGCCACTTACACAGAACATGTTTCTGATACCTGAGAGGTACAACTCAGGAATACCATATCTGAGTGTTACAATTCAGAGGCTTCATCCTGCTAAGTGTGAGTCTGCAGAAAGACGTTCCCACAGCTAAACTGCAAGATGTATCTAGGGCTGGATCTAGACACATTTAAAAAAAGTGTTTCAGGAAAACGCATTGTAATCTTCATTATGGGAAATTACGTTGGCGAAAGACGGGACTCCACAGTGCCATCTGGTGTCAGTTTTATAACACATATAAAACTAATGTAGCTGAGTCCCATGATTGCTTAGGCCACAAGATATGTCCATAGTTGCAACTGCAAGGCCAGTTATGCCTAGCAGGCCTAAATTTGAGATAAGGGCCTAATTTTGCTCCTGCCCGTGGGAATTGTTGTAGCAGTTTGATGACTCACTTTTGTGGACACTGGGCTGGGCAGTGAGCCGTGGCCTGGCTGCCACCCCTGGACAGGCCACAAGAGGACCATGTGAGGGGGCTATGAGCTGGCGGAAAGGGGGGGAATTAAAAAGGGGGTAAAAGAAGAGGCGGTGAGCAGGCTTGTTTCGTTGATGGTTGAGGGTGTGAAAATGACACACACAAAAATAAGAAGAACCAGCCAGGGAAGAAAGCAGGGTGGGGGAGTTGAAAAGGCTCATTTCTTGTACCACAACCAGCACCAATCCCCATCAAAATACATTTTTTATGCATTTTATTTAAATGTATATTTAGTGGGCTATCTAGATAGAGCAGTCAAGTCCCAACATTTCCTGTTTGCTAGAATGGGCACACAGAGGAATGTGGCTCCAGCAGGGAGGACTTCCTGTCAAACCTGCAGGAGCTACCTCCCCCTGGGTGCGACCATGTAGAGATGGGTGTGACCCAAATAAAAGGACTGATTGTGTTGCCAATTCTCTCTCTTGATCTTTTACTCTCTTGGTGTCCTTTCTTCATCTGCTCTTTGCCTGCACATGGCTCATCCATAACAAAGAATGTAGGCCCATGTTGTAAGTCTGAGACTTAGCTCAGACTTCTCTCATACCCTCCAACATTTCTCCAGTGAAAATAAGGATGTCTTCTTCTTCCCCACCACCCAGCTGACTGTGATGCTCCAACTACTGGGCGGCTTTCAACATATATAAAAACATAATAAAACTATACACGGCAGTCTTCAGATAACTTCTGAAGATTACATAGTTACATATCTCCTTGGCTTCCTGGGTTGTATAACTCAGTACCCTCCAACATTTCTCCAATTAAAATAGGGATGTCCTAAGGGAAAGTGGGATATTCTGGGACCAGATCAGAAACCAGGACAGCTTCTGTAAATCCAGGACTGTCCCTGGAAAACAGAGACACTTGGTGGGTCTGTCTTCTCTTCAATATAATCTACAAATGCACCAAGGCATCCTGGATTGCTTCATTAAAAGGCTGAAACCAGCTAACTAACAGCTTCCTATTTGCTGCAAAGGAATGTGTTCTGATCTATGCCCGCTCACGTGAGTAAGGAAGCATAATATACATTCCTACATATTTCCCTTCTAAATAGGCCAGGAACAGAGAACTGCATCATTTTGAAAAGTGCAAAAACTGGTTTTGCATAGCTGTATTTTCAAATACTGAATTCCTCAAGCATTGCTACATACAAACAAACCTATTTTTAAGACAAAGCCGATTCCTGGCCTGGCCAGCGATGAGCTAATATGTATGTATGTGAACCAGTTTGCAAAATAGCTCTTCTTTTAGGGTTGTTATATTATTTGTGGCATATATTCTTGCCCATCCAACAAGTCCTGTGATCTTAAAATTGAAAAGAGAGAGGTTCAGAGTTAAACTAAGGGGTTGTGTATGATAAAACATAGAGGCCTATTTGTTAAATGGTTTTGTCTTATGAAACCAACTCTCCCCCCCCCCCGCCTGTCCGCCCGCCATATTCTTGGTTTTCCCATTACCAGTTTTATTGGGTTTTCTGTCGGAAAAAGATGTCATCTGAAGCTTGTAGCTGAATGCTGACTGAGATAGTATTCTGTGCAACACACACACACACACACCTCCAAACAACCCAG